TGGAGAACAAGCCCTATGAGGAGCGGCTTAAGGAGCTGAGCATGTTTAGCCTGAAGAAGAGAAGGCTGAGAGAGGATATGATTGCCATGTATAAATATGTGAGAGGAAGCCACAGGGAGGAGGAGGGAGCAAGCTTGTTTACTGCTTCCCTGGAGACTAGGATGCAGAACAATGGCTTCAAACTACAAGAAAGGAGATTCCATCTGAACACGAGGAAGAACTTCCTGACTGTGAGAGCCGTTCAGCAGTGGAACTCTCTGCCCCGGAGTGTGGTGGAGGCTCCTTCTTTGGAAGCTTTTAAACAGAGGCTGGATGGCCATCTGTCAGGGGTGATTTGAATGCAACATTCCTGCTTCTTGGCAGGGGGTTGGACTGGATGGCCCATGAGGTCTCTTCCAACTCTTTGATTCTATGATTCTATGAAAGGCAAACTGCCTCCGAACGAAGCTTCTAGTGACAAGCTCACCTTGGAAACAACACACAAGGGGCACATCTACACTGTTGATTTAATGCAATTTGACACCACTTTATCTGCGATGGCTCAACGCTATAGTATCCTGGAATATGCATCTTGGTGAGACACCAGCACTCCTTGGCAGAAAGGACCAAAGACACTGTAAAACAACACCTTCCAGGATTCCATAGCAGTTTAAGTGGTGTCAAACTGCATTAATTTTGCAGTGTGGCTGCACCCTTCCTACTCTAACTGGTGTGGAATGACTGAAGTACATGCTTTCTGGACTAGCCAGTAAACTAGTCCATGAAGGCATCTAAAGGAGTGGGTAGGAAGCCACTCCAATTGTTGTCCAATTACCCTATCGCACTGGAGAATGAATCCACTTTAAATCCGTTTTCTGCCTCCTGCAGAATTCTGTGGTTTGTAGTTTAGCGAGGCTGTTAAAGGCCCCTCCCTAAACTACAAACCCCAGAATTCTACAGGAGACAAAAACCGGGTTTAAAGTGGATCCATTCTTTAGTGTGATGAGGTCCAGCAATCTCAAAAAGGCAACAGGAGGCGCAGTGGGCTAAACCCCTGTACCGGCAGGACTGAAGACCAACAGGTCACAGGTTCGAATCCGGAGAGAGGCGGATGAGCTCCCTCTATCAGCTCCAGCTCCTCATGCGGGGACATGAGAGAAGCCTCCCACAAGGATGATAAAAACATCAAATCATCTGGGCGTCCCCTGGGCAACGTCCTTGCAGACGGCCAATTCTCTCATACCAGAAGCAACTTGCAGTTTCACAAGTCGCTCTTGACACGAAAAAAAACAAAACAAAACAGGAGGGACCAGAGATATTAGGCAAGCCTCCACCCTGGCAGTCTTCGGGAAGAGCTTGAAAACTTGGCTGTTCCAGTGTGCCTTCACTGAATGAATGAACAATAATTCCCTGACCTGACCAATTTTTGCAAAAATGCCCTCGGAAGCACCTGATTTTTCCTGTTAGTGCAATCAACCCTACCTCACCCTGGATTCCCTGTCCAGATACATTGCACTACTGTCACACCCAGTGTTTTAAATGTTTAATCCAGTGGCCTTGCCCACTATGTCTGACCTCTGCTTTTAATACTTGTGGTTTTATATTGTTGATGTGCTATTTATAATGGTTTTGCATTTCTTATTTTTATTTTCTTACATTTTATTGCTGTGTTTTATTATTGATGTATTGTATTGCTGGCCCCGAGTCCCCTTGAGGAGGTGGTGATGGGGTTATCAATAAAGTATTATTATTATTATTATTATTATTATTATTATTATTATTACCTGAGCGAAGGGCGGAATTCTCTACTTCTCCCGCCTGCCTGCCTTCCTTCCTGGTCCGGCTCCACGCGCTGGGCTTGGCCACGCCCCCTCCGCGCACGTGCGTCCCTTTCCGGCTCTCCCTGCCTCGCGCTCTGTCAGCCTAACTAACCTTTCCCCGAACCAGCGAGTCGAAAAGACCCGAAGGGAGAAAAAGCCGAGCGCCGGGTGACGTAGGCATTCCTAGCCGAGCGCCGAGAAGAAATGAAAAAAAGCAGTCTCGCTATTGGTCGGAGAAACCGCGCCTGCGCACTCGCCTTTCCCTCCTCTCTCCTCCCTACAAGCACTGCCGCTTTCGCCTCCTTCTTCCCTCTCTGTCAGTCATGGAGCGGGTGTTCCGAGCTGCGGCGGGACTCGGAGCACTCGCAGGAGACGACGCCGCCGCCGCCGCCAGTTCCGAAGCTTTCTCCAAAGGGCATCCAAGGCAGGAGAAGGAGAAGAAGCAGCAGCGGCGAGTCCAAGCGGGCGCGCGCCGGGGCGGCTCTGCACGAGCGGCGACAGCTGCAGCGTCGGCGTCGGCGTCGGGCGTCTCGCGCCACTGGGCTCAGCAGTGACGGACCGCGGCGCGAGCCAGCCAGCCCAGGAATCCCCGTCTCGTGCCGCGCGCGCAGGCGCACACACATTTACAGAGGGAGAGACGCGCGCGCGGAGGGTCTCTCAATCTCTCTCTCTTTCTCTCGCTGCTCTGCGATGCTCCAGTGAGTGAGTTCTCGTCTCTTCTCGCTCTCTCTCTTTTTTGCCCTCCGACATTTGGAGCAAAAGGCCCTCTTTCTTCCCGGATTGGACAGAAAGAAGGAAGCAAGAAAGCAGGGGCCGTTCTCATGTTGTCTTCTCCTTCTCTTCTTCCTTCCATGCTTCCTTTGGGTGCCTCCTTTTCCCAGGCTTTTCCCCTTTGCAAGTCTTTTCCAGAGCTAGGCTTGGAAAGCTTACATATTTCAGCCATGAGGCTTTTTGGAGAGTTGCTAAAGATCTTCTAAAACTACATCTCCCATAATTCCATAGCAGTGTAAATCAGATCTGTGCAAACTTTGGCCCTCCAGGTGTTTTGGACTTCAACAGCGGCTGAGAGGGAAAAGGAAGGGGCCTGAGGCCGTGAGGAATGGTGGGAGTTCAAGTCCAAAACACTTGGAGGGCCATAGCTTGCCCATGCCTAATGTAAATGCATCCATAGTTGGCCTTTTCTGCAGCAAGTGTGAATGCTGCAATTGATCACCTTGCAATTGATCACCTTGATTAGCATTGAATAGCCTTGCAGTTTCAAATCCTGGCTGATTGCTGCCTGGCGGAATCCTTTGTTGGGAGTGGATTCACTGTCCTGATTGCTTCTTGTCTGGAATTCCACCGTTTTTGAGTGTTGCTCTTTATTTACTGTCCAGATTTTAGAGGGTTTTTTTAAATACTGGTTCTTTTTCATGCTTTCCTCCTTTCTGTTAACTGACATTTCATTAAAATGTCAGTCTTTTTTGCCCTCCGACATTTAGAGCAAAAGGGCCCCTTTTATTTTCTTTTTAAAAAATTTTAAAATAAAATTGCAAACTGCATTCACAGAGCTGTTTATGTGGTGCACCAAAACTTGGTTACGTGAAGTTTGTCTTGATTAGCTTTTAATTGCTGTATTTCCACATCAATATCGAGTCAATACAGAGTTTATAGTATAGTATGGGGTACAGTATTAGTTAGGGCTGTTTTTGGTAGTAACTCTGAAGCAACCAGAAACTACATTTATCCCGTATTAGTACCAGTTAACTGGGGGTCTGCTGTAGCTTGTAGAAGCTGCAGCTAGCCCTGTGGATGAATGCATTCCATATATATGGCACACACAGACACACATATATATCACATGGAAGCTCTCTGTATCCATGTGTTATGCGTCCAAGGGTTCAACCACCCATGAGCTTGGAAGGATTCCAAATAACCAAACCATGAATTTGCCCTTATTTATTTGGGGACACCATTTTGTTACACACATGATATAATATAAGACTTGAGCATTCACAGATTTTGCTATCCACAGAGATATTAAGATCTGACTTTACTACTATTGTTGCATCTTGGATTCATCTACACTGTAGAATTAATGCAATTTGACACCACTTTTGCTGTAATGACTCAGTGTGTTGCTATTGTGGGAGTTGTAGTTTGATAAGGCACTAGTAGGTAGGGCTGTGGTGGTGCAGTGGGTTAAACTACTGAGCTGCAGAACTTGCTGGCCAGAAGGTGGTTCAATTCTGGGGAGAGGAGTGAGCTCCTGCTGTTGGGCCCAGCTTCCGCCAACCTAGGAGTTCGAAAACATGCAAATCTGAGTATATCAATAGAAAGTTGGTGGTTCAAATCCAGGGAGTGAGGTGAGCTCCTGCTGTTAGGCCCATCTTCTGCCAACGTGGCAGATTGACAACATGCAAATGTGAGTAAATCAATATGTACCACTTTGGCAGGAAGGCAATGGCGCTCCATACAGTGACGCCAGCCCCATGACCTTGGAGGAGTCTATAGACAACGCCGGCTCTTTGTTTTAGAAATTGAGATGAGCACCAACCCCCCAGAGTCGGACACAACTAGACTTAATGTCAAGGGGAAACCTTTACCTTTATTTTAAGGCACCAGTGCTATTTGGCACTTGTAAAACTACAATTCCCATGATACAGCATTCAGCCTTGGCAGTTTATTTAATCCTACAATGTAGATTTGCCCTTAATTTGCTGGTAACAGGTTACCTTTCTATAAACCTTGCAAGTTCAAATTAAACTCTGTAGGAGTTGTGGATGCTTTCTTGATTTAGATTATCTTATTTGAGATATTTTCAGAATGTGATGTGGACTATAGTTAAATGAGAGTTAAATGATTTGTGTACTTGCAAGTTGAATAGAAGTGATGGTTGGAATTATGCAGAGGCTAATGCGAGTGTCCTGGCCTGAGACACACCAAATCTCCCTGTGATGGTCATGGTTTTAAAAGACTATATTAGCAAAGCCGGTCAATAAATAGAGCTGAAATTGGCAGTAAGTTATGTTGATGGGATTTCACCCTGTTTTATAGACTGCTTTGAAATCTGATTTGCTCCTTAACAGCGTGAACCATAGAGCGATCAATCACTCAATCCTGGCATTTGTGAGTTCTCATAAAATCTGACTTGGACCACAATCCCAAGCTGCATAATACAATCACCTTGCTAAAACAAAGTAGATAGGGGTCTGTTGTAGTTGGATGGATGATGACAAGGAAATAACTAGGGTACTGCAGTATGGCAGCCTGAGGCTTTAAACAGAAGGCTGTACAAGTAATAAGCTGCTCACTGTGGATGGATGCAAACAGTTTTGTTGACTCCATGTTTCAGGAAAGAGTTGGAAATTTCCCACGTTCACATAAGAATGAGACTTCTTATGTACTCTTGACTAGAAAAACTAATGGTAGGCAGATACAGTGACATAAAAGGTTTATAAAATCATCTGTATGTCTAAACAGAGCCTCCAGTGGTGCAGTGAGTTAAACTGCTGAACTTGCTGACCGAAAGGTCGCAGGTTCAAATCCGGGGAGTGGCGTGAACTCTTGGTATTAGCCCCAGCTTCTGTCAATTTAGCTGTTCGTAAACATGCAAATGTGAGTAGAAGAATAGGTATCACTCCAGCAGGAAGGTAACGGTTTTCATTGCAGTAATGCCGGCCACATGACCTTATGACAATGCTGCACTTGGGCTTAGAAATGGAGATGAGCACCAACCCCCAGAGTTGGACACAACTGGACTTAATGTCAGGGGAAAACCTTTACCTTAACCTATGCAAAAGCTAAACCTAAGAAAGTTGGCACTTTGCAGCTTATGTATGAAACTGAAAAAGTTCACCAAAAGAGATAAACTTGCCGGTGGTGAAACTGAACCTAACTCTTGATTTTTAGGTTAAGGAAATAGTATTAATAGTACAAAGTGTCATATAAGTCCCATCTATATTAAGCAGAAATGCACAAAACAGAGTTTTCATATTCCCTTAAGGTGGAAGTACATTCAGTACATTCCTATTGAGATTTCTGAATAAAGAAGAAAATGTAAAATGCATCATGACGGTCATTTGCAGCCTTGAGGCTGTGTCTAGTGAAACTCACATTGGTTTCTCGCAAACACAAAAGTCCTAAAAACCTTTGGGACTATTTGAATATCTCAAAAGAGACTCTGACGTATCTACTTCCATGGATATATAGACTTTTTTAGTAAATAGGTAAGGAATGCATTTTGTACTAATGCTGTTTTTTGTAGGCAGTCATGGGAATGCTACTGTCTGACATGGTACTAACGTATCAAACATACTGTAAGAAAGTGATAATTTCTCCATTATTTTAGTATGTATTTTTGACTTGAAACATGTTTTCTTTTCTTTTGAAGGTCATGAAACGTGTACGCACAGAACAGATTCAGGTGGCAGTTTCCGGCTACCTTAAACGCAGGCAGTATGTAGATTCAGAAGGTCCTCTGAAACAAGGGCTGCGCTTAAGCCAGACTGCAGAAGAAATGGCAGCTAATCTAACAGGTAAACTCATTTTAAGTGAACTATGCAACTCTCTTCTTAGCAGAGTGAAATATCTTAAGAAATCATTTGAGAGAAGACTGGAAAATGAATGGTCACATGATTCTGTAGTACAGAAGTGAGTGACAAGGTGTGTCCAAATAGCGAAAGCTATGAATATATTTCCAGGGATAGATTTGTGACTTGTGGCTCCTCTTCAAACAAGACAATCCAAGTGAAGCATGCAGTAGGCATGCTGCCATTCCCAGGTGTCTAAAGTGACTCATCTGAGAACTATGTGGTTAGACTGGGGAATTTTATCAATAATTCTGTTTTCATGGCAAAAGAACTAAATTATCTTGGTTTTTTCCTCAGCTATTATTTTTACCAGCTCAACAGTTTGTTACTCTTAAATATCAGATTTGGTTTTTATAGAACCTATGATAAATAATTTAATCTGGCAATGTTTGCTGTGTGAGTTTTAGAGTAAGCACTAGCTTGGGTACCCGGCGTTGCCCGGGTTATTTGAAAAAGTCTTTTTTTGCACAAAATGCATAAGGTTGTGAATTAAATACAACTGACATCATATCAGGTTAACCCCGGAAAAACTTCATCAGTACTTAAAGTTTATTATGTTGGGCAAGTTTGCTCTGGATGCATCATTGGTGGGGTTCAGTGTGCTCTCTGGCTGTAGAGTAAACTACAACTCCCACTATGGTGAGTCAATCTCCTCAAACCCCTCCAGTAGGTTCAGTTGGTCATGGGGGTTCTGTGTGCCAAGTTTGGTCCAGGTCCATCATCGGTAGAGGTCACTGTTTCTCTGGTTGTGGGTGAACTTCAACTCCCAGAAAGGAAGGTCACCGCCCCCCCCCCCCCAACCCTTTCTAGGAATCACATTTCGGCATATCTGGTATGTGTGCTAAGTTTGATCCATCAGTGTTTGGGTTCATAATGCTCTCTGCGTGTAGGTGAACTACAACTCCCTCAAATCAAGGTGAATTTTCCCCAAAGACCTCCAGTATTTTTTTGCTGGTCATGGGGACTCTGTGTGCTAAGTTTGGTCCAATTCCGTCTTTGTTGGAATTCAGAGGACTCATTGATTGCAGGTGAACTATAAATCTCAGTACTTACAACTCCAGAATGTCCAGAACAATTCACCTCAAAACCCACCAGTATTCAAATTTGTGCATATCGGGTATGCATGCCAAGTTTTGTCTAGTTCCTTCATTGTATGGATTCATGGTGCACTCTGGATGTAGGTAAACTACAACTCCTACAAATCCCTCCAAAGGCCTCCAGTATTTTTTGTTGGTCATGGGAATTCTGTGTGCCAAATTAGTTCCAGATCCATCATTGGTGGAGTTCAGAGTGCAGTTCTTAGATTGCAGGTGAATTATGCATCCCTCCTGTAAATCATGCTGAATTCTCCCCAAACCTCTCTAGTATGTTCAGTTGCGGATCAATTCCTCTGTTTGCTGTGTGGCATAGAAGAGAATAGGAAAGAGTTAAGGGAGAGGCAGTAGGTGGGATCATGCAAATTCCACACCAGTGGAGAAAGCAAGAAACACTGGGATGTCTGTGGTGGAGGAAACACATAAAATCTAGGATGAAATGGTCCCCGTATGAGAGCCTTCACTTGGTTGGTGAGCAATGTGGTGTTTGTGGAGGACATTGGCTGGGCTCTTGTACATGTGTACTCTCTATAACCTGCAATGTCATTGGAGAGAGGGCCATTGGTGTCTCCTGAGTAGTGGGAGCTGTAGGTATTTGTGGAAGTGGGAGCTTGTCTGTGGAAGTGGACACCCCAGTCACACACACATACATATTTTCACTTTTATTATGTGTATAGATTGGTGTAACGTTATATTTTTAATTGGCTGCTTTTTGTTTGAAACGTTAGTTCAATTTAGAGATAAAAGATACTGAATTATTTAAAAGTAGTACTGAACAAAATTATAAACTATGTTGCTTATTTATTTGTCGTGTCAGAGCAGCCAGTCCATTATATTACATTTCTAACAGCAAAGCAAACAATCAGACAAATACAAAACTTGTGAGTTTGGTAGTTGGTTAAATGTAAGAAGAGAAGGCTGAGAGGAGATATGATAGCCATGTATAAATATGTGAGAGGAAGCCACAGGGAGGAGGGAGCAAGCTTGTTTTCTGCTTCCTTGGAGACTAGGACGTGGAACAATGGCTTCAAACTACAAGAATGGCAATTCTATCTGAACACGAGGAAGAACTTCCTGACTGTGAGAGCCGTTCAGCAGTGGAACTCTCTGCCCCGGAGTGTGGTGGAGGCTCCTTCTTTATTTATTATTATTTATTTATTTCAAAGTTTTCTATACCAAACTTCTCAACCTCATTGAGGGACTCAGCCCGGTTTCCAACCATAAAAACACATACACTCATTAAAATATCATATATCACAATTACAATAACAGATTTAAAATAACACTATATATAAAACTACGGTGGTCAATGATCATATTAAAATCAGATCTACATCATCTTCCATCCAAAATCCTAGGGTGTTGTCTCATTCATCGAAAGCCTGACTCCACAACCACGTCTTCACCCGTTTCCTAAATGTCAGGATAGACGGGACAGTTTAGAAGCTTTTAAACAGAGGCTGGATGGCCATCTGTCAGGGGTGATTTGAATGCAATATTCCTGCTTCTTGGCAGGGGGTTGGACTGGATGGCCCATGAGGTCTCTTCCAACTCTTTAATTCTATGATTCTATGTCCTTTGACCAGTATCTGGCCACTTGGAGTGCTTCTGGTTTTGCTGCAAGAAGGTCCTCCATTGTGCTTGTAGCAGGGCTCAGGTTGCATTGCAGCAGGTGGCCAGTGGTTTGCTCTTCTCCACACTCGCATGTCGAGGATTCCACTTTGTAGCCCCATTTCTTAAGGTTGGCTCTGCATCTCGTGGTGCCAGAGCGCAGTCTGTTCAGCGCCTTCCAAGTCGCCCAGTTTTCTGTGTGCCCAGGGGGGAGTCACTCATTTGGTATCAGCCATTGATTGAGGTTCTGGGTTTGAGCCTGCCACTTTTGGACTCTCGCTTGCTGAGGTGTTCCAGCGAGTGTCTCTGTAGATCTTAGAAAACTATTTCTAGATTTAAGTCGCTGGCTGATACCCAAACAGGGGATGAGCTGGAGATGTCTCTGCCTTGGTCCTTTCACTATTGGCTGCTACTTCCCGGCGGATGTCAGGTGGTGCAATACCGGCTAAGCAGTGTAATTTCTCCAGTGGTGTAGGGTGCAGACACCCCGTGATAATGCAGCATGTCTCATTCAGAGCCACATCCACTGTTTTAGTGTGGTGAGATGTGTTCCACACTGGGCATGCATACATAGATAGCTAGTACTTTAGCACTTTGAAGTTTCCATAACTTTGGGAGGGGAGATCCATGCAGACAATCTAAAGCAGGGGTCCTCAAACTTTTTAAACAGAGGGCCAGGTCACAATTCCTCAAGCTGTTGAAGGGCCGGATTATAATTTGAAAAAAACATGAATGAATTCCTATGCACACTGCATATATTTTATTTGTAGTGCAAAAGGCACTTAAAAACAATACAATAATTAAAATGAGGAACATTTTTATCAAATATAAACTTATTAGTATTTCAATAAGAAGTGTGGGCCTACTTTTGGCTGATGAGATAGGATTGTTGTTGTTGTTGTGTGCTTTCAGGTCATTTCAGACTTAGGTTGACCCTGAGTGAGGGCCAGGTAAATGACCTTGGAGGGCCGCATCCAGCCACCGGGCCTTAGTTTGAGGACCCCTGATCTAAAAAATGGGAGCTGGGATTCTTCTTGACCAATGGCCCGAGTTCCAGTTTAGGAAAGATTGAGAGGGAAGTGGCTGCATTCCAGCATAGGGCCCAGCCAATGATGCTCAGAAGGACAAAGCAAAGCATGCTTGGAACATTTAGTTCTTACAAAATTCAACATGTCCCCACCAACCATTCACAGCTCAATTTCTGTGTGGGTCTACTCAGAAGTGATTCCTAGTGCACAACCCACATATCAGAGTCAATGTAGTTCTAGAGAAGGTATTAAACATTTAACAACAACTAATAAACTACTCCCCCGCCTCATCTTTGCTATAGAATTTATTTTTGTACTGCTTCCCTGCTTTTCAGTTATGCTAAATTATATTTTCAGTTTTTATTAAAAGAATGCTAGAGTAACTAGCTATACGTTGCAAGTGGCTTACACGTGAAAATTCAGAGTTCCTTTTTTGCAGGTAGTTTTGCATAGAAAAGCATTTGCTGCACTTGTTTATTGTGTATTTAAGTATAAAGATACTGAAAACTGGTCATTAGCTTTCCTTAGTTCACTGAAGGATTCAGCACTCTCAGTGGATAAAATGGGGACAGCCATGAAAAATAGTATTTTGCTGCAAATTACGACATCCCATGTGAATTACTAGAATGGTTATAAGGATTGCACAATGCATGTTACTTATTGCAGATCTATTCCCAATATGGCTGAAGTTTGTACTGTTGTTGCCAACTATCATGTAACTTACAGTAATCTTTAAAATGTCATCCTGTATGTAAAGGTTGATGTGTGGGTAGCAGGATCCTGAATTACCAACTTTTGCAGAAACCCTTTTGTTTATTTAGTTTTGTGTGTGTGTGTGTGTGTGTGTCAGGAGCGACTTGAGAAACTGCAAGTCGCTTCTAGTGTGAGAGAGTTGGCCGTCTGAAAGGTCATTGCCCAAGGGATGCCTGAATGTTTTACCATCCTTGGGAGGCTTCTCTTATGTCCCCACATGGAAAGCTGGAGCTGACAGATAGGAGCTCACCCCGCTCCCTGGATTCGAACCCCCAACCTTTCGGTCAGTGGTCCTGCTGGCAAAGGGGTTTAACCTATATTAGAGATGTGCATGGTTTTTCATTTTATTGCTAGCTTGTCAAATCATTTTGTATATGGATATTTGTGTATGAATACAGTAGTGTGTGTAGCTTTCCAAGCCTTCAGGAAATTAATTTTCTTAATCTTTGTTTATTACTGTAGTCCAATCTGAATCGGGTTGTGCAAACATCATATCTGCTGCACCTTGCCTAGCAGAGCCACAACAATATGAAGTACAGTTTGGGCGGCTATGCAGCTTTCTTACAGGTGGGTAACAACTCAATGGGAAGTATATGCTTGTCAGTTGAGAAGGCCTAAACATTTGTGTCATCTTTGTCCACAAAGCCTAGAAAGAGATGTCCTTCATTTAAAAATCTTTTGTGGGGTTATATTCCATCTGTTCCTTTCATTTAGTTCTGTACATCATTTTTATTTTTATTTATTTACTGCATTTTTACTCTGCTCTATCTCCACCCTGAAGGGGACTCAGAACGGCTTCCAGTTTGGCAATAATTCAATGCATTCATTGAATTCTGCATGCAATAAATTCTGCATCCTATCTAATACTGGTCATTTTTCTTGTGAAATTTTATTCCCCACTGCAAGAGTAGGCACGGAAAGCAAAGCACCATTCCCAAATGCAGAGTTTACTGTATAGCATAACCACAGCAAACCGCTTGCCTACCTCTCCTTTGCCGTTACCAAGTAGTTCTTTAAAATGTTTATTGTAGTCCTAGAAAATGCAGTGCTGCCCTTTTGGGTATACAGGCAGTCCCCAAGTTCCAAACAATCGACTTACAAATGACTCATAACTAAGAAAGGGGGTGAGACTACAGGAAGTGAAAACAGGTGGGGGGGGGGGAGGTTTAACCTTTCCCTGTGCTATTCAAAGATGTGCATGTGTGCCTGGTTATATTCGTAATTTGGGGACTGCCTGTATTCTCCATCTTAAAATTTGGATCTTAAAACTATATAACAAGAATGCTGCTATAGAACATTTCTCATAAGATGTAAAGAGCACTAAAATGTTTTCTGGCTAGCTGTTTGAGTTTTAAGTGGCCAGGAAATACAATTTTAGCTCCCCATACATTATTCCAATTTGCACACAGCACCATAATAGGCTAGAGAAAAGAAGAACAGGCAAGCACTATGCAAAAAAAATGGACATGTTTTGTTAAACAGTTGGCTGGACTGAAGGAAGAATGCTTCTCTCCTTGTTTTGTCATGAATTATTAAATACTCATATATTTCCTAGAGATAAAATGCTTACAGAGACCCTCTGAAGAAATAACAGAACTGGAATGAAGAGAAAGGAATCAAAAGTGCATTCTGTCTTATGGTTGTGATAGTCGCAAACTGAATAGAGAAAGAAGTGGTTCTGTGAACTGAAGAGAATTGGTTGGGATAGTTCATCAGGTTGCAAAGAACAGTGTGTCCCTAATCAGAAGCATGTTCTTGAAATAACCATTGGGATTCACTTTGGCCCTGGAGCTAAAAGTAGACTAGTCACAACATAAATAAAACCAAAGCATGACACTTGAAGAATGCTTTGAAAAAAAAACCTTTTCTAATACATGTATTGTGGTCTTAGTGATAAAAAGAGGTGTGGGGAGGTAGGCTATCATTAAAAAATGTGCCTTGAGTTGTATGAATTAGAACACTATGCATGGATATAAAGAAAATACAGCTATAACTTGAATAAGATCTCTTACATGAATTTGAGAATTGTTGTATATCTACCACATTGAGTCCCTACAGGAGAAAGGTGGGATATAAATAAAGAGAACAACAACAATGATTTTTTTCATGTCAGGAGCGACTTGAGGAACTGCAAGTTGTTTCTGGTGTGAGGGAATTGTCTGTCTGCAAGGACATTGCCCAGGGGATGCCCGGATGTTTTACCATCCTGTGGGAGGCTTCTCTCATGTCCCCTGCATGGGAAGCTGGAGCTGACAGACGGGAGCTCACCCAACTTACCTAATTTGAACCACCGACCTTTTGGTCAGCAACCCATTGTGCTACCCGGGGTTCCTTAACAATAACAATAATTGGTGAGCTGAAATCGCATTCATTATTGGGTGACTTATTGTGTAAAGAAGAAGAACTTTATTTTTCTACCCTGCCTCTATCTCCCCAAAGGGACTCGGGGCGGCTTACATGGGGCCCAGACATAATACAATTAAAATAAAGCAATAACAATTAAAACAGCATAAAACAACATAAAACAACTTAACAAAAATAGCTAGCAACAACAATAACAGCAGATTAATTTTGGAGGGGGAGGGAAGGAAAACCACTATGTGAACTAGTTAAAGGATAAAGTGGTTTAGTAAGGTAGATGACAATGTGTAGTGGCATAGGGGGAAAAATCATGGAAACAGAGCAAATTAACAGGATCAGTTAATATAGGACATCAGATCAAATGACAATATAATGTAGGACATCAGAATGGGTTATTGACAAATGCTTTGAAACAGAGATGAGTAGAAGATATTTCTGGAGTTGCTCTTGGTGATTTGCAATAGATCAGGGAAGATTTCCAGCTGCCAGCTGTTTGACAAGTGTAACAATTCACCATACCCCCATACTTTCTACATTATATTCCTGAAATGATTTTCTGATTAGGTAAATGGGATATCCTGTTGGAGCGAAACCAATGAAGAATGTAGTGGCACATTTCATTTAACACTAGTAAACATGCTTAAATTGTTGAAGATTTTTCTTATGAGGTTAATAGAGTAAACATTTTAGAAATATTTTAGTGCTATCCCCACCAGTCCTTAAAACCTCACCACATCAAGCTCAGTGTAAAATAGATAAAAAAACAGCAATTTCTTACAAATGCCAAAAAATGTACAGAAATTGTAGGTACAGAAGGCCAATTTGCCAGGAAATGCTTCAGGTAGTTAGAAAACAGGCCCAATATTTTACTGCAGTGTTTGCTTTGGTCCTATTAGATATCATGTCTGGTGGTTCTGATCAAGCATGTAGATTTTTATATCATATGGGATAAATATATGTAATGATAATGGAAAATAACAATTTTGTGTCTCTTTTGAAGTGAGTTTCAGCCAAATCAAAATTGTTAATGTACGTTGATGCAACTGAAAAAAATCCCTCATTATCTGCTTTGATCTGGGATATATGGCAGTGTGGGCTCAGATATTCCAGTTCAAAGCAGATATAGTGGGATTTTCTGCCTTGATACTCTGGATTATATGGCTGTGTGGAAGCCCCCCCATCCCCCACCCCACCCCCCCACCCCCCAAAAAAAAGAAAGAAAACAAAACAAAACCTTGGGCTAACCAAGAGTGGATTCTTATGTTGAATAATTTTGTGGTCTTTATGGTTCTGGTATTCAGAACAAATAATCGAGCTCAACATTGTTTAATTGTAAGTACATTTCCCTTATACTGTCCTTTTTGGTGAATTTGTGAGGCCCCATAAAAAGATGAAATAGATCATCCTATATCTCTCCAGAAGATGATTTGTATTGTTTTCATTGTAAGCCCTGCTGAAAACTGAGATGAAAGTAATGTGTCCTTGCCTTTGTGTTTAGATTCGGACCCCCAGCACAGCCATGAAGTGATGCCTCTTCTGTATCCCCTCTTTGTCTACCTCCATCTTAATATGGTCCAAAATGGCCTAAAGAGCACAGTGGACAGTTTCTATAGTCGCTTCCATGGGATGTTCATGCAGAATGCTTCCCAAAAAGACATCATTGAGCAGTTACAGACTACACTATCAATTCAGGACATCCTGTCTAACTTCAAGCTCCGGGCATTTCTGGACAACAAATATGTCGTCCACCTTCAAGAAGACAGCTACAACTTCCTCCTTCGCTACCTCCAGAGTGATAACAACAGTGCTCTCTGCAGGGTCCTCTCCTTGCACATCCATTTGGACGTGCAGCCAGCCAAGAGGATGGACTACCAGCTGTATGCTAGTGGTGGCTCTTCACGCAGTGAGAGCAATGGCCTTGAACCCACTGACATGCCTACTTCCATCCTGCAAAATGAGGCAGCTTTGGATATCCTGCAGGATAGCATTAAGAGAGTCAAGGACGGACCGCCTTCGCTAACAACCATATGTTTTTATGCATTCTACAACACCGAGCAATTGCTAAACACAGCAGAGATCTCACCGGATAGCAAGCTCCTTGCTGCTGGCTTTGACAATTCCTGTGTAAAACTATGGAGCTTGCGGTCCAAGAAGCTGAAATCTGAGCCTCATCTAGTAGATGTGTCCCGAATCCACCTGGCTTGTGACGTCTTGGATGAGGAGGTCAGATACTCTTTTCATCTTTATATGTATGGAAATTCAGTTGTACTTTATTTTCACCACACTGGCCAACCCACATTTTAGTGCCTCAAATGTTAGACCTGTTTCTGGGTATACTTGACCTGCTGATTCCAAAAATGTCACCAGTTTTTTTCTGATCAGCTCTAGTTTTTGAGATATAAAACATATGCCATCTTCCAATCAGCATCTACTCGCCTTTTGAAAATCATGATAACCATATCTAAGAAACTAGAGGTGACACTGTCTACCCAATGCAATTTTCTGAATCGGCTCTCCAAATAAGCCCAGGAACACGCCTAAAAACCAAGGGCCCTTCCACACAGCCATATAACCTAGAATATCAAGGCAGAAAATCCCACAATATCAGCTTTGAACTGGGTTATCTGAGTCCACATTGCCATATATTCCAGTTCAAAGTAGAAAATGTGGGATTTTATTCACCTGTGTGGAAGGGGCCCAAGACACCAAGAAAAATATTTTTAATTGGGCTGTGTAATGAATGGTTTATGTCAGCTGCTCTCCCTGAGCAAATTGCTCTGACAGTGCTTTCCTTTTGCTCATCAGACATAATGGTTAGGCAGTTGGGATATAGTTTTAGGTATCAACTTTATGTCTGGATAAAATTTCAGTAAGTGCTGACCATGTCCAAGTCTCTGTTTCAGTGACTGGAGTATGGCAGATCTGCTTTATCTTACTTTCCTTCATTAAATGCCTAAAATTTACATCTTTTGCAATAGACCAAGTACTTGAGTATAAAATTGCTTCATCCTTCGTATGTATGATTTATAATACATCCTAATTGCTAAAAGGCAGGAGTTAAATATATAAATTGTGTAGAGGTTAGAGGAAGTGTAGGAAGAGAAAGGCTGACAAGATAATGTGGTTGTTAGTCTCTCAAAAATCTTACGTCATCATCTTCATCAAAAAGTTTACATCATCTTCAATTCATGGCTCAGCATGGCTTCCTGGGTTCTGCATGAACCATTGGAAGCAACTGGAAACCTAAATGTTAATGGGAGATATCAGATAGTAAAGCTAAGGTAAAACTATTAGTAAAAACAAAAATACTAGATCATTTAAAATCAAAGAAAAGCAGCAGCATACTATAATCTAAACACACTATATTTAGGGCTGTGGAGTCAATACACCAAACTTTGAACTCTGACTCCTCTGTTTTTCTGCTGTCAGATTCCCTTATAGTATTCTGTGTGGCCCCCTCCTCCTTGTGCAACCTCCCTTCTCTTATTCTGCGTTCATCATATGTCTGGAGGAGCCCATTCTTTTGGAGCAAGTTTAGGAGATACATGAGCAGTGGTGCTAGATGCCACTTGGGTTTTTTACTATTGCTTTTTTGATGTTCTGGCAACCTAGTAGTTGCCTGACATTTTTTCATCACACGATTGTCATGAAGAAAGCACATAAAACTCACATAAACTAATAATAAACTGGAATAGGAATCATGTGGTTCTTCACATCTTGTTGCATTGTAACTATTGTCAGTTCTAGCCAGCATAGCCAATAGGGAAGGGTGCTGGAAGTTGCAGCCTATCATCATCCAAAGCAGTGATTCCCAAACTCTGATTCTCCAGCTGTTTGGGACTTCAACTCGCAGAATTCCTGGTCATTGGCAATAGTGACAGGAGTTTCTCAGACTTGAAGTCCAAAGCATCAGGAGGACTCAAGTTTGGGAAATGCTGATCTCAAGAGTTGTATAATTCTCATGCCTGCTCTATGTCTCGTTGTTGACTCTGTACCTTTTCATACTATGCAATTAGAGTAATATGATTCCACTTTCAGAGACATGGACTCCTGGGATTTACAACTATAAACCTCAGGATTCCACTGGATGCAGTTATTGCAGTTAAAGTGGAATCATAGCACTATTATAGTGTACTGAGAAAAAGGCCTCTGGCGTAACATTTGAGTGTCTCCAGAATGTGGATCTGACACAGAAAGCTGTTTGATGTAAACAGATCTGTTCTAGGTGAGGAGTATGACTCATTTAGTCTATGTTCTGCTTATATACCTGGAGTTCAAAGCCATGGCCACTTTTGTCTATGCAAAGGCATATTGCAACACCTTTGAGATAAAGTGAGAGAAAGAAATGTATAGCATAAGCTTTGGTATGCTAGATCTACTTCCTCAGGTGTATGAACTGCCATAAATGAATGAGCAGATTGTGCATGTGAATAGTAATAGAAAAGCAAAATCTGTGGCTGTGGTAACAAGTTTAAGTTTAATTATGATGGTTGGGGACAGGAATTATATGTAGATATCCATACGAATGGTGGACTTGGAAGTAAGTCTGATTAAACCTAGCTGGCCATATATCTGAGTCTTTCTTGGCTACTGTGTGTTTATGTGACCTCAAGTCACATTCCAAGTTATGGTGACTCCATGAATTGTATAGGGTCTTCTTAGGCAAAGAATCTTCAAGGGTAGTTTTGCCAGTTCTTTCCTCTGAAATATAGCCTGCAGTATCTGGCGTTCATTGGCAGTCTCCTATCCAAGTACTAACCAGGTTGACCCTGCTTAGTTCCCAAGATAAGAGCTGTTGCTTTTAGAGTATTTTGGCTATTTCTTGCCTACTAGTTGAAACAAATTACTTGAGGTACTAGTGGGAATGTTCACCTTGAAGATTTATTTGCTCAGAATTTATTTATTTGTGCATTTAGTTCATAAAGTAAAATTAAAAGGTAACTTCAGACAGTTTCCTTCCCTTTCAATTCACAGTATTTTTAATTTTAAAATAGGGTATTGAAAAGTTAGCATTTCTGTTTTAGTCTGCAATGACAACCGTACTCAAACCTGTTGCTAATGTAAATATAATTTTATGGCTATTTATCCACCAGCTGAGCTAAGCCAAGGAGATTGTTGTGGATAGAATTGAGGCACCAGAGTGAGCACTCCACTTTACAAAAGTATTAAAATAATGTGTAATTTGAACCCACCGGTACTGAAGCCAATAAAAGAATCTGAGTCATGGTAGCTATAACTAACAGGTTTATTCTTTTAGTATACATAGATATGAAGCAGTGAAGTGGAATACAAAGCAAAGTTTTCCTTTTGTCCTCCAGCTGCTTTACAAAGTTAGGTGGTGTTTTCACTGCTACACATCTCCTGAAAAGATCATACTGTACCACAGAAACGAGTAACAGTTTTATACCATAACATTTCATCTTGAATCTACAGACAATTAGGTCTATTGCCATTTTTTTCTGGTAGCTGAGTTTTAAATGGGTACCAGCAAGGTGTGACAGTCACAGGAACAATAAATAGTGCCTGTTACACTTCAGAAAATTAAAGAATGAAGGTTTGACTTGTCTAGTAAAATTTTATACATTTTTATTACAAATAGTTCATCTGTCTCAGGGAAACTGTTTCTCTTCTCCATGAGCTACAAAGAAGATGCAGATAGTATAAAGGACAAAACATGAAAAATGTTTGAATCCAGTGTTGTTACTGTTGCGTATCATTTCTATTTTATGGTGACCCTAAGTCAAACTTATCATAGGGAGTGCTTATCATGATTTATTCAGAAGGGGCTGCCCTTGCCTTCATCTAAGGCTGAGAGAGTGTGAATTGCTCAAAATGACCCAGTGGGTTTCCATGGTGAATCAGGGATTCAAATCCTGATCTTCCTGAGTTGTAGCCTAACACTCAAATCACTACACCATGCTGCCTCTCCTGAATCAAATACTACTTATAAATGTATGAATACCTGACTCCTATTTGTAACATATGTTTTAAACTTGAATGAACTTGCTAATACCATATTTCCTTGATTGTAAGACACCATTGATTCAAAGATGGAGCCTGATTTTGGAGCTCCTGTTTGGAAGAAAAAGTATTTTAGATTTTAAGATGCACCTTTTTTTTTTGAGCCTTGATTCTGAGGGGGAAAGTGTGACTTAGAATCAGTGAAACATGGCATTTTTCTATACTGTAGCTTAAATTATGTAGATTTCTATGTGGTTTTTGATTCAGATTGTTAGCATGTTTTGTCCCGTTTCCTCCTTGGTATTTTATTATTATCTCCTTTATAGTTTTTGAAAAAGAGGTGTCAGTTACTTGAGGAATAACAAATCTATTTTGTTGGACAACATCAGACTTTGATCTTCTTTTCCCCCATATATATCTGTGAGGATACCATGAACTAGCTGTACACAGGCAATCTAATAGTAGTCACACTGTTTTTACACAGCTTGGCCAAAATTTCCATTTTCACCCATGCATTGTCTGAATAGAATGGAGGGGAAAAGTCTCACCTGTGTTCTTCTTTGCAGGATGAAGAAGATGATAATGTGGGTACAGAAATGAAGATACTTCGAGGGCACTGTGGACCAGTGTATAGCACAAGGTTTCTTTCAGACAGTTCGGGACTGTTGTCGTGTTCAGAGGATGCCTCCATCAGATACTGGGACCTGGGCAGTTTTACCAACACCGTGTTGTACCAAGGGCATGCCTACCCTGTATGGGATCTGGACATCAGTCCTTGCAGCTTGTATTTTGCTAGCGGTTCCCATGACCGCACAGCAAGGCTTTGGTCATTTGATCGGACGTATCCCCTGCGCATATACGCAGGCCATTTGGCAGACGTGGACTGCATTAAGTTTCATCCCAATTCTAATTACTTAGCAACAGGATCGACAGATAAAACAGTCAGGCTCTGGAGCACCCAGCAAGGAAACACAGTGCGTTTGTTTACAGGCCACCGGGGCCCCGTGCTGTCTCTTGCGTTTTCTCCAAATGGTAAGTATTTGGCTTCAGCAGGTGAAGACCAGCGGTTAAAGTTGTGGGACTTGGCATCTGGCACGCTTTACAAAGAACTGCGAGGGCACACAGACAATATCACCAGCCTTACCTTTAGTCCGGACAGTAGCTTAATTGCTTCTGCATCAATGGACAACTCTGTTCGGGTGTGGGACATTCGAAACACTTACTGCAATGCTCCTGCAGATGGCTCTTCCAGTGAACTAGTTGGTGTATATACTGGACAGATAAATAATGTACTCAGTGTACAGTTCATGGCCTGTAACCTCCTTTTAGTGACTGGAATTGCACAAGAGAATCAGGAACATTAAAAAACATTTTTTTAAAGAATGGGGTGGGGTTTGGTGGGGTTTTGAAAGCCAGAGTCTATTATAAACTGAGATTATATATAATTGACTGTGAATTTTTTGTCACACTTGGCGGAAATGTCCAGAATGATGGAAATACTGTACTTGAAGATGTTTTGTATTGTCGCAAAAGGATAGAGAAGACAGAGCAACAGAGAACATCATTGTGGTTGTATATGAGTAGCGCAGGGGCAGGAAGCAATGGGTGAAAGCCAGCAACCCAGAATATTTTGTTATAAGGATAACCCAAAACCTGACGGAAACAATTAAAATCCACAAGTGGGCATTTGCACTTAAATATCTTTAATGGGCACATCCTATGTAGTTTTACCATGGGTTTCTGGATCTGACTATATCAACTATTTGGTTAAATTGACACTTTCTCTGCTAAAACGTCTCTGCCAATACCTGAATCATTGCCAATTTGGAAAGAAAAAAGCATATTGTGTTATACAGATGCTACCAAATATAATTAGCGTTACAATAATGTTTATAATAGCTGAGACAGGTTTCCAGCTTGATATAAAAGGCCCGAAGTTGGTTCCAAATTTCATCCTTTGTTAACAGAAGGATGGTTTTCATCCACAGAAGGGTTTTGATCCATAAAGTAATTCAGTTGGTGAAGGGGGTGAAGAGTAAGTACATTGGCAAATTCCAGCCACTTCCTATAATGTTCTAGAAAATCTCAAATCCTCTAGAGAAGATTTTCAGAGGGTGCAACAGGCTTCCGCAAAAGGAAAATTACTAAAAGTCACCTGCCATTTCATGGGTAAGGACAAAGATTGAATCAAAGCCATTGTATTTTTTTAAAAAAATGAACACATGTGACAGTGGCCATCTCTATAAGGAGATAGAATTGGAGTGACTGTCTGTAAGAAGATACAATTGAGATGTCATTTCTTTATACAGTTATAATGCATGTAACTGTTAATAGGTCAGAAGTTTGGATTCCCTCTATCCCTAAATCTAGTTGCACTGTGACGGTGATAAAATACTAATGATTGGTTGGCGGTACCTTGCCTCATGAAAATAACCCGCAAAAACATGCCTGAGTTTGTAACATAGCATGTTTCAACTTAAAATAGGAAAAGACCCATTTCATCTCGCCAAAAATATTTTCTGAAGATAAATATGAACAAATGTATATGGAGAATTGTATTAGTAAATTATTAATTGTAAGAAGACACAATTTGCCAATTTCTGGTGTTTTCCACTAAATATGGAAATACAGATTTCATGAAGTTTTTATACAAAAGTGAGAGCATGCAAAAATGGGGGGAGGCAGGGAAAGGTGGGGAAAGCAACTTTAATTACTTCATTCTAAGAGAAGATTGAATATTTCTGCTTTGAGGAAAGAGGTTTTGTAATTTTTTCTATTAAAGCATTTAGTTTAAAGAGAAGTTTGGTGTCTCTTTGTCAAATCGAGCGGTTTTAGGCTCCTTTAAGCAGCAGAAACTACCTTTGCCTCACTGATTGCTTCTGTGTATTGTTTTGAACATTGGGGACATCTTCTGCCGATGTTCTTTTATCCGTTGGTCTTCTGGAGGTTGCTTGTTTGTACCTCCCATGATTCCTAGCCTTTGGCCATTCAGGCATCATGTAACTGTAGCTCACCAGTTTCTGGAGGGCAAACCCCCCTTCCCCTCACAAGCAGGTATATTACAGGTGATAAATCACGTGATTCAGTGCCCTCTATCAAGATAAGAGCATAAATGGTATGTTTCTTAATTTTTATGTTAAGGTTAGCTATTTCACTCCCTTTCCTTAGCTCATAACGGCTAAGTCAGATAATCTCTGGAAAACATCAACTGGCTTGTCCAGCACTGCTGCCAAGATAGAGTCAAGATTTGCATTTTCTGCATGTCTTTTTCAAATCAAACATTGCAAATAGTTGAACTGAAATATAGTACAGCTAGCTTAGAGAAAGAAACCTTAGACATTTAATTAAAATTGGGGTAGTTAATAAAGGATTTAAACAACACCTTGAAGACAAATAAGTTTTATTTGTTGTAATAAGCTTTCAGGACCATAGCCCATTTTAGCATATACATTGAGCATTGTCTCATTTGGCAGATACTTATACACATTTGGGTGTAGGGACTGTGGAAACAGAGAAATGCAAAAAAAAATAAATAAATGATTATCTTAATATGGTCCTAATAGACAGAGTAGAAAGGATATGCAGGCAAAAATAAGATTAGATGTATGTACAGTGATGAAAAGCATTTTACAATGCAAGTATAAGATACAGAATTTAACTTCTGGATGAACAGCAAAGAGTGAGGGATTGTAATGAGTTGGGTTAGTGAAAAAGGAACTGGAAAAACTTGCAAGCAGTGAAAATTCTGGAATTCCGGCACGGAAACAGGTTGGACTCATTGTATGAGGTAAGTGACAGGAATGTTTGGGGTTACTGACAGGTTTTCCTGTCAATAGCAGGGGAGAGGTTTATCACAGGGTGGTGGCCAACTGACAATGGGTTGCCCATGATATGCAGTAGGGTGATGTTCCTCTTTCAATGCCAGTTTGCAACCTTGGTGCAATAGAGTTAAGGTCAGAAAGCCTTTGTCCCTACTTGGGCCACAGAAGATAATTCAACCTCTCTAGATGAATTTTTACTTTGCTATTTCCCTTTGCGGCTACAACTCCCAAATGTCAGGGTCTATTTCCCCCAAACTCTACCAGTGTTCAAATTTGGGCATATTGACTATTTGTGCCACGTTTGGTCCAGATCCATAGTTGTTTGAGTTCACAATGCTCTCCAGATGTAGGTGAACTACATCTCCCTTAAATCACTCAATTCTTCCCAAGCCCCTCCAGTATTTTTTTTTACATGAGAGTTCTGTGTGGAGGTCTCAGTGGTCTGTGGAAGTCAGAGCTGAATTGGTTGAAGGTACTGCAAATCCCATCATCTGTTTTCCATACTCCTCTAAACATATTTTTTCTGATTAATCATGATGCTTTAATTATGTTGAATTTGTAACAATGAAAACACATCCTGCATATCAGATATTTACATTACGATTCATAACAGTAGCAAAATTAGAGTTATAAAGGAGCAACGAAAATAATTTTATGGTTGGGGGTCACCACAACATGAGGAACCATATTTAGGGGTTGAGAAAGGTTGAAAACCACTCCTATAAGGATTTAAAAATCACAAATATATTTGGTACTTATCAGCTGTCTTTCAAAGTTCTTCAGATTCATATCTAGTAATCAGACTTCACCAAACTTTTACAAAATGCCATATTTATTCGAATCTAACGCTTGCCTTTTTTGGCTAAATTACCTCGCCAAAATTACTGTGTGCAACATAACATAAATATGGTAATCTTAGTGCTGAGCCAAAGGAAAAGCTGCTTGAGACGCATCTGGAGCTCCTATTTGAGCGACATAACCTCAAATGTAATTGCCACAGCTCAATGCTATGCAATCCTGGAATTTATAGTTAGGTGAGGCATCAGCATTCTTTGGCAGAGGAGGCTCAAGACATTGTCAGACTCCCTGATTTCATACCATTCAGCCACAAAGTGGATTCATTCTACAGCATAGATGCACACCAAGATTTTCTTTTCCGCTGCTGGAAGCTTTGGAGTTCTAACTCATTTGTTTTTAAAGAAGGAATTCTAAGCAGGCAGCAACCATACTGCACACCTTTTTTGGCCAAATACAAAGAGTACACTTTTTGCCACTGCTCATGACATTCACCAACAAATACTTTTCTTTGGTTTCAGGGTTCTGAAAATTGGGGTGCGCATTAGATTCAATGGTGCATTAGAATCAAGTAAATGCAGTAATGTCACCACACAAAATTTCAAAATGACTCAAGGTTGAACCATATTTTTCATGTGTTGACAGGGTTGTTTATACAAATGTATTCAACTCTTTTAGGGCACAATTCTGCCCCGTTAACAGCTGTTGGGTTTCTTTGAGTTATGTGAAATGGCTGCATTTATTTTAGATGTCACATTATTCATTCTGAGCCAAGATCTAAAACTGCTATACAAGATTCTCCTGTATCAGTGTCATTACATGCATAAATAAGCTCTGTCAATGGCTACCTAGACATTTTGGATAGAACTCAAGCACAAGATATTTTGGATAGAACCCAAACACAATAGCGGTCTACTTACTTGCCAATTAATAGCATTCTAGGTGTAAAACATTTTTAATAGTTTTCTTTAACTATATTTATTTTGCTAAGGAACCTTTTTAAAAGTGCAAGTTGGTCATTCAGTGGCATGATTCTTCACTGCTATTGCCTATCTGGAACATACTGCCTTGGAGTGTGTTGGAGTCTCCTTCTCTGGAGGTTTTTAAACAGGCTGGATTGGTCGGGGATGCTTTGACTGTGCTTTTCCAGCATGGCATGGGGTTGGGTTGGATGGCCCTTGCAATCTCTTCCAACTTTATGATTCTATTGGTTTTCAGAATTAGAACACTGTGTTCCAACCACCCCAACCAAGCTATTTGTGTCCATGGGCATCCATCCATTTGTGCACATGGATGTTCACTCATATGTACAAAGGTAATAATTACATTTGTTATGTATGCAGTATTCCAAATTAAACCCATCCCTTAATAAAGTATGCAGCAGTACTTACAAAATGATCAAAGTAGTGTACTGCTGCCACTAATGTAATCCTGTTTTTCCTTATCTGGTTGACTGTTTCCTGACTATACTTTTATTTTTATTTTTTAGCAATCAGCTAAAGGTTAATCTTAATCTGAGATAACAGTGTAATATTTCTTTCTTTGCATCCTGAAAGACCACAATATGGCCTAAATGACCCTAAATAAAGCCCTATAATATTCTCCAAACACTTTGAGACAGCATAAGGCAACTTGTAAATAAAAGCCTGAGTAATTACTAAAAATGAACTAATTGTTGTCATGAGCTGTCTTGAATGGTTTCATAAAAGAGCAGGCGAACTGATTTTCATAACAAAGAAACTTGTCTGATGTTCCCTTTGGAATTTAAAAACTGCTCTTTCTTATGGAGCAGAGCACTATATATTCTCATTAACTCAGAAGTTTAGAAGGTCTGAAAATTGAAGTGCCCATCCTAGCAATTAGAAACTTCTTGACTTTATAAAATGTGACCAATAGTTGAAAGTACAAGCAGTTAACAACTGTTTCTGCAGTTAACTCTATGTGGATTGTTACTGTTTTCAAATAACTTTTATACATACATACTATTGCCTTGAGAGAAAGGCAGAATATAAATGAATTACACAATTTATCACCATCAAAAAATCTGAATTATATCCCCATGGACACTATCACAGTAGCACAATTACAAAAAAAACCCGCTGCTTGGAAAGTGCCACATTATCCAAAGATACCTCACTGATTCCTGGATTGTTGGCTAGAATCCATTCCATTAATGGTCCACCATTCCAGTTGGTAGTGTCTGCTAGATTGTGAAACTGATAACAGTATATTGAATTAAGCACTTCAATGTGAAAAATGCATAATATATATGCTATTTCATGCTGTAGAAGGGACGTTATAGTTTTAACAAAAATCTGGGGAGAAAGTACCTCTTTTCAAGATAATTTAGTGTCATGTGTTCTTCCATAGTGCCTTACCATTTATTCCATTGGAAATATATGACAATATAGAGGAAGGAAAAGGGGGAGTTAGAATATATAGAAACATATCAAATTGGAAAAAGAGGGGTTAATTCCGCTCCAGGTGTGAGAAAAAAGGCTTTCCAGGATCATGGTTTCCTTGGTCAAGTCTATCCACCTCTAATGTGATCTTCCTCGTTTCCTGCTGCCTTCCACTTTAGCCAGTATTATATTTTCCTATGAGTCATGTCATCTCATAATGTGTGTGAAGTACAATAGCTTCATTTTAGTCATCTTGACTTCTAATAAGAGTTCAGGTTTGATTTCCTCTTGAAACTACTTGTCCTTTGGTCTATTGATGGTATCTGTAAGAACTCTTCGAGCACATTCCCAATGAGCTAATTTTCTTCCTGTTCCCTTTCTTCCCTGTGTAGCATAGAAATTGCTCTTTGTGGTTGCCCAATTACAATCCCTATTTCCTGTCTTTTTCAAGGAAAAATATAAATTGAACACTGGGCTTGAACATCCTATTACTTCAGATCCTATTACTTGTCTGAGCAGTCCTACAACTAAGGAGGAGTGTCATTCAAAAGGCGAATTCTTCGTAATACTTTTATATTTATAAAATGAGTCAAAACCTTAGAACCATACACTGAATAAGCAGCTCTTGATTTCTGCACACAGCCTGCTTCTCCAATAAACTGGCTACTTTCCCTCTCCCCCATTTCTGTGCTGACAGCAAATAAAGGGGTCACATTCACTCCATGCCCAAAGGAATTTCAGGGGTGAAAGGGGCAGGCATATGTCAAAGCACTGCAACAAAAGAGCATCTAACACTGCTCTCCTTTAGTTGAGGATTTAAAGTGATATTTGCATTCTTCTTTCCAAGATGAGCAATAATCCCTTCAAGAGCCAGGGTTTGTTCGGCAACTTTTGCGTAACAGGTGGAGAATTCTTGAGGGTTATTAACTAATTTGTAACTTTTTAACAATAATAATAATTTTATTATTATTTTAAAAATTCTGTTTCTACCCTACAACCATCTCTGGAGGGACTCGGGGTGGCTTACAGAAGCACTTCAAGGTGCTGTATGTAACACAAAATACATAAACATATACAACAACACATAAGTCTATAGACAACTTTACTTTACATATAAAGTAAAGGTAAAGGTTATCCCCTGACATCAAGTCCAGTCATATCCGCCGCTGAAATGCCATCTAATAAAATAATAAAATAAATAAAATACAGTAAAACCTACAAATAAGACTGGCTGTCTACCATTAACAAACTAAAGTGCCAGAGTGTGGCCATCGCTAAGTCCTCAAATCTGACCATAAATTACACAGGGTCAAAAATCTGTTGAAAAAGCCATGTTTTTAAAAGCCAAAAGGCATGTAAAGTGGAGGCTAACCTAATCTCTCAAGGGAGGTTTTCCAGAGTGAGGGGGTCACCACTGAGAAGCCCTCCCTCTCATCTCTACCAACCACACTTGAGACGCAGCTGGTGGGGACAAGAGACCAAGAGAAGGGACTCCCCAGCAGATCTAGGAGCCCACACCGGTTCATAGAAGGAGATGCGGTCTTGAAGATAGGTTGGACCCAAAAATAACCTGCACTTTGAATTGAGCCCGGAAACTTATCGAAATCCAGTGAAGCTGCTTTAATAGGGGTGTAGTAAGCTCCCTATAACTAGCCCCAGTTAGCAACCTAGCTGCCAATCTATGGACTTACTGCAGCTTCTGAGCTGTCTTCAATGGCAGCCCCATGTAGAGTGCATTACAGTATTCCATTCTGGATGTAACTAAAGCATGGGCCATCATGGCCAAGTCAGGCTTTTCGAGGTACGGTCGCACCTGACGCACAAATTTTAACTGTGTAAAGACCCTCCCAGCCAGAGTTCAGGAGGACCCCCGGACTGCGGACCTGTGTCCTCAGGGGGAGTGTAACTCCACTGAGCACAGGTTGCCACCCTATACATCAATTGACCTTGAGACTGACCAGGAGGACCTCTGTCTTGTCTGGATTAAACTTCAGCTTGTTGGTCCTCATCCGGAGCATCACAGCTACCAGGCACTGGTCCAGGATCTGGGGAGTCTTCTTGAATTGGAAAAGAGTAGTAGAGTTGTGTGTCATCTGCATAGAGGTGACACACATTTTTTGTCATAAATAAAGGAATTAACCTGTTCATGTTTTCATCATAATCACCATTACCACCTTCACACTTCTAAAAGTTATACTTATAACTGTATTCTCAATTTGCTTCTGACATGATAAATAAACTTATAAGACACCAGTATGGCTGCCAATATTAGAGCAGTTATGATTAAAGTATACTTTTAAACACCTTTTCCATACAAAATCTTGATATCCCTCTAAAATCAATTTCTCTTGTAAATCCAAATGTTGTAGACAAGATAGCTAGATGGCTCGGCTGAAAATTAGCTACAGGTGTTTTTCAATTTAAGAATAGAAATACTTAGACATAGTTCATATTCTTTTTTCAAAACTAGGCTTTGATAGATTTTGTTTTCTAAGTGCAACATTTCACAGAGAAAAAATTAGGAAGATCTGTGAGATATGTATGAAGAGGATATTTAGAAACATCTCCCAGTTCCCAGAGTGGGTAGGGTATTGTAAGACTGAATGGCATGTAAAACTAATGTCACTGAAATGGTGGTCTTTTATGCAGCACTTGTCTTACAATGCTTTTCTTCACTTTTCCCGCCAGGGGTCTCTCTGGTTGGTGCACAAGAAAGCCTGAGATGTGTTGTTTTTATATTTATTTATATTTTATTTATTTATATGACAGAGGAAAGCAAACATTTGGATTAAGCGACTGCTGGTATTACTCAGTGGTATTTTTTTCTTCATTTAAATTCTTGGAGTGCATAATTCTATTTCTCAATATTTAAATGTTTCCACACACAGACACCATTTGTAGGAAGCATACAGATAAGAGAAGGCATCAAGTACTTCTCTGTCTTGCTGAGGGATTATATTCACTTCAGCCTGAAGGCTGGGATGGGTTAGAGATAAGCTATCAGCATGTAACTGGTGTATAACTGTACTATGTTTCTGGAATTGCAGGGAAGGATTTGAACTCTTCAATACTAAGAGGCATAGCTTGATCTGATGGGACCCCAGTATATCATTATGGAATTCCTTTATGTTTCATATATATCTTATACATGTAACTTTAAGCTAATTTTATATAAGTGTTTGGGTCCACAGATGATATTGAATGACAACTCTCACTGCTTTTGATGATCAGCCATGTAAACTGGGGATAATGGGAATTGCAAATGAACTGTATTTGTTGGGGAGAGGTTAAAGTCAGACATCATACTCAAAAGCCTTGTATGTAAACCCAAACTCTCATCACTTTTGATGGTCTGCCATGTGGACTGGGATAAAAGGAATGGCAAGCACTTGTGACTCTGCAGTTGGGGAATTGCTAAAAAAAGACATTTTAAAGTCAGATATAATATCCAAAAGCCTTGTATCAGAATCCAAACTGCTCTCCTAATTGAACAGAACAAAGGGCAATCTTCCAAATGTTGCTGTATCACAACTCCCATCAGCTCTAGTCCTGATGTCTAATGATGAGGACACAGGAGTGGAAGCCCAGCATCGGGAGGGCCAAATAAGATAAGGCAGTCCCCAAGTTATGAAAAAAATAGCTTTTATAGGTTTATTCTTAAGTTGAATGTGTATGTAAGTCAGAACAGCTACTTATTAAAGTGTAACTCCATATATAACCTTGGGTGGCATAGAAATGGCTTATTTCATTAGAGGGTCTCTGTAAGCATTTTATCTTTGGGAAATTTATAGGAGTATTTAATAATCCATGACAAAACAAGGAGAGGTGCATTCTTCCTTCAGTCCAGTCAACTGGTCTTGGATGCCCAGAGGTTGCTGGCCTTGGAATGATGTTTTTTGCATAGTGCTCGTCTGTTCTTTTTCTCTAGCCTACTATGGTGCTGTGTCCAAATTGGGATAATGTAGGTAAAGGTAAAGATTTCCCCTTGACATTAAGTCTAGTCGTGTCCGTCTCTGGTGCATGGTGCTCATCTCAATTTCTAAGCCGAAGAACTGCCATTGTCCATAGATGTCTCCAAGGTCACGTGGCCAGCATGACTTCATGGAGCGCTGTTACCTTCCTGCAGAAGTGGTACCTACTCACATTTGCATGTTTTCCAACTGTTAGGTTGGGGCTAACAGCGGGAGCTCACCCTGCTCCCTGGATTCGAACCGTCAACCTTTCACTCTAAAAGTTCAGCAGCTCAGTAATTTAACCTGCTGCACCATCAGAGGATAATGTATGGGGAGCTAAAATTGTATTTCTTGGGCACTTAAAACTCAGTTAGCTAGAAAAAAATGTAGTGCTCTTTACATCTTATGAGAAATGTTCAACAGCAGCATACTTTTTATATAGTCTTAAGATCTGAATTTTAGGATGGGGAGTACAGGCATCCCTAAATTATGAACAAGATAACCAGCTATACCAGGCATAGGCAAACTTCGGCCCTCCAAATGTTTTGGACTTCAACTCTCATACCGGCTGTTATGAATTGTGGAACTTGAAAACACCTGGAGGGCCAAAGTTTGCCCATGCCTGAGCTATACACACACACACACACACAGAGAGAGAGAGCTTTGAATAGCATAGGGAAAGGTTAACACCCCTGTGAAGTTTGTTTTGCTCTGTGCCTCTGTTCAGATTCCCCCTCACTTTCTGTCCCTATGAGAATTGGCTTATGGAGGAAACAAGGACTGGGGTTTGTTTGTTTGTTTTGTGTGTCAGGAGTGCCTTGAGAAACTGCAAGTCGCTTCTGGTGTGTGAGAATTGGTTGTCTGCAAGGATGTTGCCGAGGTGGTGATGGTTTTACTCCCACAAGAATCCTTCTGGGAGTCTTCTCTCATGTCCCTGCATGGGAAGCTGGAGCTGACAGACAGGAGCTCACCCACTTATGAACCCCCGGCCTTTCGGTCAGCAGCCCTACCAGCAGAAGGGTTTAACCCAGTGATTCTCAACCTATGGATCCCTAGATGGTTTGGCCTTCAGCCCCCACAAAACTCCTAACAGCTGGCAAACTGGCTGGGATTTCTGGGAGTTGTAGGCCAAAACACCTGGGGACACACAGCTTGAGAACCACTGGTTGTACCTTTCCCCCATTATAATAACTCTTCCCAGAGTGAATTTCCCTCCAGAGGGGTAGATACCTCTCGCTTCCTATTGTCTCATCCCTGTTCTTAACTGCGAGTCGTTTGTAAGCCGGACGTCTGTAACTTGGGGACTGTTTGTATTTGATGAGTTGTCGAAAGCTTTCATGGCGGAAATCACTGCTTTGCTGTAGGTTTTCCGGGGTGTATGGCCACGTTCCAGAAAACATTCTTTCCTGACGTTTCGCCTGCATCGATGGCAGGCATATTTGGTCTGACACAGGCGGCGTGGGTGCAGCCTTTCCCAAGGAGACCTGGCTGCCTTCTCTTCCTTCCTCATCAGCAGTGACGCCGGGAGCCGGCAGGGGGCGCTGCGGGGTTCTCTCTCTCCCGAGAGTGATGGGCAGGAAGAAGGCGGGAGGGAGGGAGCGGGCCTTATCAGCAGGCGGCAGGCGGGGCCTACCGAGGCCTCTCCTCCCCCTCTTCTTCTTCTTCATGGGGCGGCCGCCTTGGAGCCCGTGAGGCGCCGCCACCGTCTCCTCCTTCTCCTCCTCGGCCGCCTCCTCGTCCTCCCCGCTCTCTATGGCGGGCCTGGCCCCGCGCCTGCCTTCGCTGCTGCTGCTCCTGAGGCGGCGCCGGCCTCGGGCGCCCTTCTGCGGAGGATGGGCCGCGCTCGCCTCGCCTGCCGCCTCTGGCCGCCTCTCGCCGCCTCTCGCCTCGTCCTCCTCCTGGGCAGCCCCGCCGAAGAAGGCGGAGGACCCCCCCGAGGCCCGGCCTCCTCCTCCTCCTCCTCCTCCTTCTCCTCCCTCGGATGCCCAGAGGTTGCTGGCCTTGGCGCGGCCGGAGAGGGGGCGCCTGGCAGGTAAAGCGCCTTCCCTGAACGCACGCGGCTTGACCCCTTTGCGATGCCGTAGCTCCCTCTCTCCTAGGAGCTGTCCTTTGCTGGAGGGACGAGTGGGAGAAGCTCACTTCCGCCCTGTTTCCAGGTGTTTGGGACTTCAGCTCTCACCATGACATTGTTGACTCATGTTTAACTTGTTGTCCAAGATCTTTTTTCCAGTCCAACCCCCTGCCAAGAAGCAGGAATATTTCATTCAAAGCACCCCTGACAGATGGCCACCCAACCTCTGTTTAAAAGCTTCCAAAGAAGGAGCCTCCACCACACTCCGGGGCAGAGAGTTCCACTGCTGAACGGCTCTCACAGTCAGGAAGTTCTTCCTCATGTTCAGGTGGAATCTCCCCTGTCTTGTAGTTTGAAGCCATTGTTCCACGTCCTAGTCTCCAAGGAAGCAGAAACAAAAGCTTGCCCCCTCCTCCCTGTGACTTCCTTTCTCATATTTATCCCTGGCCCTCATAATCTCTCCTCTCATCCTTCTCTTCTTCAGGCCAAACATGCCCAGCTCTTTAAGGCACTCGTCATAGGGCTTGTTTTCCAGATCCTTAGTCATTTTAGTCACCCTCCTCTGGACACATTCCAGCTTGTCAATATCTCTCTTCAGTTGTGGTGCCCAGAATTGGATACAATATTCCAGGTGTAGTCTAACCAAGGCGGAATAGAGGGGTAGCATTACTTCCCTAGATCTAGACCAGGGGTCCCCAAACTGCGGCCCGCAGGCCACTTCTGGCCCGCCAAGGGCACTTACCCGGCCCGTGGAGGAGGAGCGCCCCCCCCCACACACACACAGTGCCCCTCCCTTGGCTGGCTCACGCTATCCGTCAGGCCCGATGGGCAGCGTGAGCCAAGGGAGGCTGCCCCGGCTCCATGCAGTCATGCCGGCCACATGACCTTGGAGGTGTCTATGGACAATGCCGGCTCTTCGACTTAGAAATGCAGATGAGCACCACACCCCAGAGTCAGACACGACTGGACTTCATGTCAGAGGAAAACTTTAACTAGGAAAATTGTGGAAGATCCAGGGTGGGAGAAAGAACTCTTGTCTGTTGGAGGTAGGTATGAATGTTTCAATTGGCCACCTTGATTACCATTTCATAGCCTGACAGTTTTTAGGGAGAATCCTTTGTTGAGAGGTGATTAGCTGGCCCTGATTGTTTCTTGTCTGGAGTTCCCTTGTGTTTGAGTGTTGTTCTTTATTTACAGTTATAATTTTAGAGTTTTTTTAATACTGATAGCCAGATTTTGTTCTGGTTTGCCAGATTTCCCATTCTCTGCTCCTGGAATTACTGCCTAAAGAGAGCTAGAAAGAACCCCCTCTAAGGGCCCTTCCACACAGCAAAATAAGATACGTGCAATGTGCATAAGAATTTTTTTTATTGATTTTTTTTTTAAAAAAACTATAGCCCGGCCCTCCAACAGTCTGAGGAACAGTGAACTGGCCCCCGGTTTAAAAAGTTTGAGGACCCCTGATCTAGACACTATGCTCCTATTGATGCAGGCCAAAATCCCATTGGCTTTTTTTGCCACCACATGACATTGTTGACTCATGTTTAACTTGTTGTCCACAAGGACTCCAAGATCTTTTTCACACATACTGCTCTTGAGCCAGGCGTGCCCCATTCTGTATCTTTGCATTTCGTTTTTTCTGCCTAAGTGGAGTATCTTGTATTTGTCACTGTTGAACTTCATTTTGTTAGTTTTGGCCCATCTCTCTAATCTGTCAAGATCGTTTTGAATTCTGCTCTTGTCCTCTGGAGTATTGGCTATCCCTCCCAATTTGATGTCATCTGCAAACTTGATGATCATGTATCTTGCATTTGTCACTGTTGAACTTCATTTTGTTAGTTTTGGCCCATCTCTCTAATCTGTTAAGATCGTTTTGAATTCTGCTCCTGTCCTCTGTGTCATCTGCAAACTTGATGATCTTTCTAGCCCATGCCTGGCATATCTACACTAAGTCTGCTCTGTAGGTGGAATGCAGTTTGACACCACTTTACTTGCCATGGCTCAGTGCTGTGGATTCCTGGGAGCTGTAGTTTGGTGAGGCACCAGCACTCTTTGGCTGAGAAGTCTAAAGACCTTGTGAAAATAACAACTCCCATGACTCCATAGCATTGGGCCATGGCCATTAAAGCCGTGCTAAACTGCACTCATCATACAACATACCCGCTCTGCCTTGACTTCCCCTCACATATTTATATATGGCCATCATGTCTTCTTTCAGTCTTCTCTTCTTCAGGCTAAACATGCCCAACTTTTTAAGCCACTCCTCATAGGGTTTGTTCTCCAAACCCTTGATCATTTTAGTTGCCTTCCTCTGATCACATTCCAGGTTGTCAATATCTCTCTTCAACTGTGGTGCCTGTCTAACCAAGGCAGAATAGAGGGGTAGCATGACTTCCCTGGATCTAGACAGTATACTTCTATTTATGCAGGCCAAAATCCCATTGGCTTTTTCAGCTGCAGCATCACATTGTTGGCTCATGTTTAACATGTTATCCACAAGGACTCCAATATCTTTTTCACATGTACTGCTGTCAAGTCAGGAGTCCCCCATTCTGTATCTTTGCATTTCAATCTAAGTGGAGTATCTTGCATTTGTCCCCATTGAACTTCATATTGTTAATTTTGGCCCATCTCTAATCTGTTAAGATCATTTTGAATTCTGTTCCTGTCTTCTGGGGGTATTGGATCGTGTATTTGGCCTATTATTGCAAATGTGTATGGCATTCTGTATGCAAAAGCCACTAAATAGATACTCCAACATATGGAGGTTGTGTTATGAATAAGATGGAAGTCTTCTCCACTGTCTTTCTCCTTGGTACATAACTTTGCACAGGCCTGAAGTTGTCTACTACCTGATTCAGTGGTGTCAGTATTTTTGTAAAAAGAAACTGATCAAGCAACCTTATTAACTAAGAGGCTGTTTTGATCCATAACAGATTTGTTTTGTCCATCTTGTCCAGTATTTCTTGCTCTGCCAGCAGGGCTGGTCCTTCCATTAGTCAGAAAGAGGCAACTGAAAAGTTTCCAAAGGAAGAGCTACATGTGTCCCACAGCTACCCTGTGCTCCAACACTTGCCTTCTGCTCTGGGGAGCTCTAGATAAAGTTATCTAGTTGCCAGTGGGATGGGGTGGGGTTTCCCAGAGTCTTTTCTTCAGTAAAGAGCCAGATGTGCAACTTCAACCGTTTATCACTACACCCATTTCTGTGGTTATCTGGCCACTCCAAAAGATATTTCATGCATCTGATAATCTGTCATCCACGTAAACACATACCACAATAAGAGTTTCATTTACTCTTTTAAGTGTATATTCTTACTCACACTTTTCTGGAAATAAATATGGGAATTACATTTGAATTAACTGAGTGTCTTCAAGTCACTTCTGACTTAGAGCAATTCTAAGACGATGCCCCAAAGGGCAAGATTGGCAAGATTTGTCAGAGGAGGTTTGCCTTTGCCTTCCTCTGAGGCTGAGAATATGTCAGGAACCACATGTTGCAGCAGATTGAAAAGGCTATCCCTCTTGAAAGCATGAATAGAATATTATGGACATTCAGTGTAAAGAGCTGAATGTTTGTTTTGTTTTCAGTGTAAATATAAAGTGTATATCTAATAATAAGTTATTTAAAAGAGTTGTTTTTTGTTTTCCCTAGCTGCTGTTGGCTTTCTGACCGTTTCCAGTGTGATTACTATGTCTGCTCCTTTTTTCTTGGGAAAAGTTATTGATGTCATTTACACAAATTCCAGTGGTGACTTTGGGGAAAACCTATCCAACCTCTGTGCCTTGTTAAGTGGAATATTTTTGTGTGGTGCTGCTGCCAATGCGACCCGTGTCTACCTCATGCAGACAGCAGGTAATTGGGATAAAAATGCCAAAACATCTAATTTTTTGTGTAGTAAACAGAATGACTGTCTGAGATAAATTCCAGACCAAAACTTCCATATTTTAAGTTTTGCTATTTGCTTTAGAAATAATTAATTTAGATTAATTAGGGACAGTTGCTGTTGCATTTCAGAATTGTTATTCATAATCTTGTACCATTATAAACTTCTATTTCTTCATAACCACATGTTGCCCAACACATTTTCCCAGGATCTGTTGCAGCCATTTAAATCAAGTTATACTGCTAGCTCATTTTTAATATATATAAATCCTTTTTGAAACAAATTGTCATACCTCTTGACCCTTGCAGGACAACGAATTGTGAAACGTCTAAGAGCAACAATGTTCTCTTCTCTCTTGAAACAAGAGATAGCGTTCTTTGATAAAACCAGCACTGGAGAGTTGATTAATCGCTTGTCTTCAGACACGGCACTCTTGGGCCGTTCAGTCACTGAAAACCTTTCTGATGGACTTAGAGCTGGTGCTCAGGCCTCAGTTGCAGTTGGGATGATGGTACGTGTCTGTTTGTTTCTATCTCTCCCCTTTCCTGTGATTGAAAGAGCCAAAATACTTAGGTTAATAAGACAAAGGGTTCAGTATTCCACTTGCAAAGCCATTGTGCAAAGATACTATAATAAGAAAGTCTTTAATTATGCCTGGGGAAAGCAATGTAATTCGGTAGACAGAGAACACAGCTTGAACCAGGAGCCAGTCTATTTGAGGAAGAAAATTCAAACTTCTCCTGAATTGAATTTTGGCTGTCCACATGATGTTTGACTATGGGGAGTCGCGTGGGTTTTCCAGGGTTAAACTGCTTATCAAAATTCTTTGTTCTGTGTCAGGCTGGAGGATACTCCAGAGTTTGCTTTCCCTGTGTTTATCAGTGCAGAAAAAGCGGATGGATCATACCCATATCAACCACTGCCAGAGACACAAAACTCTGTGTGAGATTCTGATTATTGCAGATACCTCATTTTGGCATCAACAGAGATGACCAGGTAGAAGGTGGAGGGATTGCCCACTCCCCTTAATGGTTGTGATGATTGGGATGCCCATTATGGCCAGGAGTTCACAGGAATCTCTGCATATGGCTTGGAACAGCAGTGGCAACACAGAGGCTATGACTTAGTAGCCTCCAAGGCAGATCCAAATAATTTGTGCTCTAAAGATAGGATTGTAATATGTGCTAATATTCAAAGACCTTTGCTCTAAAATGCATGCATTTGTGGCAGTGAAAGTATATTTCCTCTTATGACAGGTGATGTGGAGATCAAAGCATGTGTGGGAGATAATCCATCAAACATGTAGTCACAATTGCATACGTTTTTGGCAGTAGTCCGTGACTCCTGATGCAATTGTATCATGCAACTTGGAACGGATTCAGCTCATGACTCTAAGCAGCATCTGTGTTTAGAGCTGTAACCTTTCCACTTTTAGTACAAATACGATCAATGGTAATAAAAGTTGCAGTCTGGCTCCAAAGGACTCATTCAGCAACAAGGAGTGAAACATTTATCTGCACCACTGCCTGTTTAGCACTTTTTATTGCGGAGGACTTTCAGTACTTACAGTAAAATAATAATAAAACTTTATTTATATCCCGCCCTACCTCCCCAAGGGGACTCAGGGCGGTTTACAACAAATGTCGGCAAACAATCAATGTCATAGAGACTGGACAAAGACCAACCCACCCAGATCCGAAAAACAAATCTACGTCTACATCAAAAATAATAACACGTTATTAAAATTAAACAATAACATAGTAGATATACTGCATCACAACAGACATTGGGAAACAGACAAGAATCTAAACAAAATCAGATAAAGATTTTAAAAAATTAAAAAATTGTAGCTGGCAGCTGGGATGACCAGCCATTTCCGCTCCATGGAAACCATGCATGATATTCTCTGCCTCCTCCTCCTTTACTAGTGGTGGTAAAGAACTGAGAAAGAAAAATGCATTGCAAAACCCCTGTGAAATATTGGAAGCATATTATGCTGCATTACATTTTTGTCACCCCAGTAAATAGAAATAGCAGGATCTCTTTAATTGTACTAAAATGTTAAAATTAAATTCTTTTTATTTCCAGTTTTTTGTATCTCCCAAACTAGCCACATTTGTTCTGAGTGTGGTGCCACCTCTGGCTTTTATCGCTGTGCTGTATGGAAGATATTTACGAAAACTTACTAGAATGACACAGGATTCTCTTGCAGATGCTACGCAGGTGGGTTCTGAAATCATTTATTTTAAAGTAGAACATAACACAGCAGGGTAGTAACAGCTATTAAAGAATCATCTGCTTCATTCTTATCTCACCCTGAATTTTTAGTATTTTATCCTGTACATGTGGCCTGCTCACTGTCACTGTGATTGTGAATGACTTTTATTGTATTTTATATTGTTTACTGTATTCTTATGTTTTATGTATTTTATTGTGGTATTGTTTTATGCCTTGGTTTTATTTTATTTTATTGTAATGTGTTGTTGGGCTTGGCCTCAGGTAAGCTGCCCCGAGTCCCCGTCAGGGAGATGGTGGTGGGGTATAAATAAAGATTATTATTATTATGTAATTACATAAGAGTACCTGAGCAAGTGCGGTATAGTAGTCTGAGTGTTGGACTAGGACATTGGCAAATTAGGGTTCGAATCCTGGCTCTGCCATAGGAACTCAACTGATTGGCCTTTGGCAGACTACACTCTCTCAGCCCCAGAAGCCAAAGACAAACTCCCTCTGAACAAATCTTGCCTAGAAAATCCTGTGATCAATCTACTTAGGGCTGCCATAAGTCAAAAGTGGACTTGAACACACACAACAATAAATTACATACTATATGACACAGCATATCAGAAGGAGTGCTCAAATGTCAAAACAAAATTGTTGAGCGTTAAGCTAAACATGTTAATTTCTTTAAAAATAACAGTAAGACCCTCCTGTATTTAGATATTCTCCCAAGTATCTAGCTATTTCCTGGTTGAAGTTCAGTTAAAGAATCAGAAAACATTGGGGCACAGAAATGTGGAACACTTCAGTTTTGTTTTTTAATTTTTGTTACTGTGAGATAAAGAAGGTTTTTTCTCCTTGTTGTTTGCACTATCCTGGCCTTGTGTCATTGCACAACTATTTATTTATTTATTTATTTATTTATTTATTTAGAGCTTTTATAACCCGGTCTTCTCGACCTCCGAAGAGGGACTCAGGCCGGTTCACAACAGAAGATTCATAGACAATAGTATAAAAACATCACAACCTCATAATACACTAATCCATAAAATACATTAAAATACAATCATATAATTACATAAGGCCAGGTCGTCAGAGTGAAATCACAATTCATCACCATCCGTCAGTGTGGTCAAGAGTTATTGACTTAATCATCAAATGCCATATTCCAAAGCCAAGATTTCACTAGCTTTCTAAAAGTCAGGAGGGAAGGGGCAGATCTAATCTCCAGCGGGAGAGAGTTCCAGAGCCTATCCAAATTAATCTATGCAGTACAGTACAGTCAACCTTGCCTAGTGGCAATCAGAAGTGACCATGTGCTACGGTCTTATACTTGTTTGCTTGAAAGTAAGCCTCGTTGAATTCAATTAAACTTATTTTTGAGCAAGCACATAGGATTTGATCTCTCCACATTTCAGGGTAAACTGATCCAGATCACTTAAATTAATGCATAGACTGAAATTTAACTATGTGTTCTGATTTTACATTTCTCCAGATTTTGCACATTTTGTGAGACCCCACCCCCCAACTAAAATATATCTTTAGATACACATTTTAAAAACCCACATCTATGCAACAAGAAGCAGTTTGTATTAAAAATAACATTCAGGAACATGCAGTTTGTATTAAAAGTAACATTCCTTTTTCTTTGGACCATGAAGAACCTCAGACATGCCATTGTTGTTGTTGTTGTTGCTGTGTGCCTTCAGGGTATTATCAATTTACAGTGCTCCTAAGGTTTTTCTGGAGCTGAGAGTGTCTGAAGACCCTTCCACACAGCTAAATAAAATCCCACATTATCTGCTTTGAACTGGAATATATGGCAGTGTGGACTCAAATATCCCAGGTCAAACCAGATATTGTGGGGTTTTCTGCCTTGATATTCTGGGTTATGTGGCTGTGTGGAAAGGCCCAAAGTTGCCTAGTGTCACTCAGTGGGTTTTCATGACCGAGAGCAGATTCGAACCCTGGTCTTCAAAATCACATTCCAGTGCTCAAGCCATTATACCACTGTCTCTTTTTCATACATATGGAAAATCCTTTTATCTTATATAAATCCCTTAGCAGAAATCCATTTCGCCAGTGTTTGCTTAAATGCAATGAGAGAACTCTTAACATTCCTGCTGTATTAGAAAGTTTTCCTTAATTTTTTTTTCTTTATAGTTAGCAGAAGAACGGATTGGAAATTTAAGGACTGTTCGAGCTTTTGGACATGAGTTAAATGAAATGGAGAAATATAGGAACAAAGTTGATTATGTGCTACAGTTGGCCAATAAGGAAGCCATTGCTCGAGCAGGATTCTTTGGAGCAGTAAGTATAAGGAGAAGGTGAGGAATCCACAAAGTGTTTTTGAAACACACCTGGAGATTTTTTTTCCTTTGAGAGTTCTTAAAATGTTCTTAGGTTGTCTATACAGCCATGTTAATTTGCCCCTGTAAGATAATGTATTAGTTCCTTTACAAAACATTATTTGCAAATGTATAAGTTACATTTCAGAACATGGAATGTGTGTGTGTTATTGAGGATTTGCTTGTCCGTATTTACTATGGTCATCACATCCAGACCTATCAGAGAGTTTCTTCACCAGTAGCTACCGTAGAAATTCTCAAAACTGCTTTGGAAACTTATCTTATTAATAAGTAAATTTTTAGATTGGTTATTGGAGCCTTTTAAATAGAAATTGGACCAATGTGGTATTAATATTTCCATTAAGCAGTTCTTATGGCAGTTGCAAAAATTTTTGCTCTTCAAATCTAGTTGGAGGTTAATGATATACTTCTTTAAAAAACATTTAATCAAAAAATGCTTGCAAGAGCTATGCTCTAATAACGGATGGGAATGCAAATAAATTAGTCACCAGGTCAATAAATCAGGCAGTTGGTTGCATGATAATTACTCCTGTAGAAATTTCCACCTTGGCTTTCTTCTTCACACCTCTTGTCTGGCATATCAGAGTAGCAGTTCCTGAGCATTGAGAACCTTCAACTAGATGTGTACCAGGGCAAAGCTGTAGGGAAAATACATGAAAATTACAAGTAGATTGTGAGCAGAAATATGTTTTGCTTAAGCAGTGTTATTCCACATGGTGTGCCCTGGTTTGGTGCTGGTCCCATAGCAGTTCTGCCATTCCTCAGCAAAAATTCCAGGGCTATAGTTGCTGGCCCACCATACCAGTTAACTTGAGAAGCACAGAACTAGAGCGCTTTGGGGGCTTATGTTTATTTAGCTATCCTTTGAAGCTTAAGATAAGACCAAAAATAAAATCCAGATCTCTCAGAAGTAAATGAGTTTCTTCCTGATGTAGATTGTTGTGCTCAAAAGAACAGTGATGAAAATGTTGCTGCCTTCAGACATTCCCTTAGGTTGCTTTTCCAAGTTACCATATATACTTGAGTATAAGCCAACCCAAATATTTATTTATTTATTTGTGGTATTTATATGCCACCCTTCTCACCCCGAAGGGGACTCAGAGTGTCTTACAAGATATGCATACAATATATTATATTATAAATGTAAGCCAAGGCACCTACATTTACCACAAAAAAAAATGGAAAATGTATTGACTCAAGTATAAGCCAAGGATGGGAAATGCAGTAGCTACTGGTAAATTTCAAAATAAAAATAGATACCAATCAAATTACATTAATTGAGGCAAATTTGCATATTTCCATATTTGAATATTTACATAAAACTGTAATTTAAGATTAATGATTTAATCCAACTCTGATTAAATCATTATTCTAATCTTCAGTGTAAATGTGCTTACGTATCCTTCCAATAATAATAGAGTAAAATAACAAATGTAATAAAATAATAATAATAGAGTAAAATAATGGAAATGTAATAATAACAGTAATAATAGAGTGAAATAATAAATGTAATAATCACAACAATAACAATAGAGTAAAATAATAAATGTGATAATAATAATAAAGTAATGTAATTGTAATAATAATAATAATAATAGCAACCCAGTAAAATAATAAATAACTGACTTGAGTATAAGCCAAGGGTATATAAAATAAAAAGGGGACTGAGAAACTTGGCTTATACGCGAGTATATACGGTATAATAGATGGGGGATAGACTTTGGAGCATAATTTTTTTTTTTAAATGACAGCATTTTAGAAGATGTAGCTTGAAGGATTGTATTGAAATACATGTTACTCTTTCAGCATTTTTTTCTTTTCTTCCTCCTCAGACTGGGCTCTCTGGGAATTTGATTGTGCTCTCTGTTTTATACAAAGGAGGATTACTGATGGGCAGTGCCCACATGACTATTGGTGAACTGTCTTCTTTCTTAATGTATGCCTTCTGGGTTGGCATAAGTATTGGAGGTATGCATCATAAAATGTATACTTGATAACAAAAATATTTTAAAGCCCTTGAAAGTAACTGGTATGAGTGGCTCTTGAAGCACTAAAGGTATTTTTAAGTGTATCAATTACCTGGTAAAGATCATGAGTGTGTGAACACTATGATTTCAGTACAGAAAGTCAGCAAAGTTAAATAATGATCATATAATTTAGCTGCTAAAGAGTCTTGGCTTAAAAAAACCCCCAAATACAGTTATTGTTCCTCTGGTTGTAAATATTAAAGATGTACAAACATAAAGCCTCAAAAGATCAGCCAAACAGTGTTTCTATGCATAGTTCTCTGCCCCTCTTTATCACTAGGAAAATAAATTGGGCAATTGATAAATACTACACAGGGAAGTACAGATTATTTTTAAAAGGGTGTACAAATCTTAAAAGGTTGCAAAAGGCAGAATTCACCTTCCTTTAATTTTTTGGTGAGGACTTTTAATACTTTTTGGCTTATGATATGCTTAGCCCAGCTATATAGTTGCAGAATAATTATATTTCTAACTAACAGAATTACATAATTAAAAGGCTTTTGTTAAACTTTACTAACAGAATTATGCCTAATAAAAGATATAACTTTATATATTTTATCATTAATGTCCAGTACAGCAACACTGGCCTGCACACTTTGGTCTATATAATAATAATGATCTGTAACAATTTTATGGTGGTGCAGCAGGTTAAACCGCTGAGCTGCTGAACTTGCTGACTGAAAGTTTGGTGGTTCAAATCCAGGGAGCAGGGTGAGCTCCTGCTGTTAGGCCCAGATTCTGCCAACCTAGCAGTTTGAAAACATGCAAATGTGAGTAGATCAATAGGTATGGCTTCTTTGGGAAGGTAATGGTGCCCCATTCAGTCATGCTGGCCACATGACCATGGAGGTGTCTACAGACAACAATGGCTCTTTGGCTCGAAATGGAGATGAGCACCAACCCCCAGAGTCAGACACGACTAGACTTAATGTCAGGGAAAATCTTTACTTCTTTAAACAGTTTTATGAAACAGCAAGATTAGCATGGTAGTGCTTTTATCAGTTGCAAATATATTCATAACTGATATGAAAGCAAGGGATATGCCTGGAACCAGCCCTTGTGGAAGGTAGACTCTATGCAGCCACTTAATTAGGATAATGCATGTTTGAAAACTTGACTGGGAAAATAAATAGGGCTTTCAGATGCATTTTTGTTATCTTTACTGCTGTACTACAGATAAGGTGAGTTCAAATAACAGATGTAACATGTATCAGAAAGTAATCCACTCAAAATATGCTTGGCAACTCAGTGTTTCCACAAACAATGCACAAGCCAGATTAAATCAGACCAGTCCGCAAGTGTGCACTGTGAGTAAATTGATCCAAACTAATTTCCTTGGTTATTTATCTAGCAAATGATGTGGAGAAAACTTGAAAGTAATGAGAAATAGCATTTGTTGAATATGCTATGTACATTCATTGATTAGAAAAAAGGGACATTATGAACATAAGATGAGATCTAGGAAACTCTCCAAAGCTGGTGTATTTCAAAAATATTTCTTTCTCTTATATATAGCCTGATCTCTAAACACTAATGGGTGTATACATTTGTATTACTATTTTAAAAGCCTTTAAAATGCCCAGTGCACAAAAAGTTATCATCTTTTCTTATAAGGTAATGCTTTAACATGGATATATATTGCATTCGGAATTAGGGATCAGAATAAGTTTTTGCTTACCATTATCTTTATGAAATATTTATTATTATTTATTTATTTACAGTATTTATATACCACTTTTCTCACCCCTAGGGAGACTCAAAGCACTTTACACATAGATAATGGCAAAAATTCCAATATAACTACAATAGTAAAACCACACTTTAAACATAAATCATATTAAAAACAGTACATCAATAAATATCAAAACAGTTATTAAAACCATAAAACAATCTTAATATGCATGCTCAGAACAACTCATTCATTTTAACTTTAAAAAATTATAATGGTCTTCTTGTGTCACACTCATTCTTTTCATAGCTGGAAAATCAGTTTTGCAGTATATAAAAAACTTGCCTATTGTGTTTGACTTACAGGCTTTCAGTGGGACAAAAATAGGTGCTTCAAAGAGATGATGCCCCAGTTAATGCCTCGTTATTTCCTGGGGTGAGAAATGTAGCAGCTACTGATAAATTTCAAAATAAAAATAGATAACAGTAAAATTCCATTAATTGAGGCATCAGTAGGTGAAATGTTTTTTAAATATTATTTCAAAGAAAAACAGTAAACTTGCTCTGTAGGTGGAAAGAAGAAGAAGGCATGCAGCTTCTCCTCTCCTCTCAGCCCAGCAACCCAGCTGAAAAAGGCCCCCTCAGCATATACTCGAGTGAGTGTTCTGGCGGAAAGGCGTGAAGCTGAAAGAAGTCCTTTGTAGGGCTTCTACCAGCTGCACGCTTCCTCCCCTTTCGGCACATCAACCCAGCTGGGTCTCTGTGCTGAGAGAGGAGGAGAGGAAGGATCAAAAGTCACACACCTTCCCGCCGGGCCGGGCCTCTCCTTTCGGCAAAGCAACCCAGCTATGAGAAGAGTGCATCTGCTAAGGTGCCCCTATGTCAAGTGGAGCGTCTCTACAAATTACACCGAGATGCTATTTTAAAGAGTTCATTACAGCTTTTATCAACATGCCCATGATTTTGTCACCCTTCTCTGCGCTTTCCATTGTGAAGCTCCATTCTGTTTTATTCCTTTATCGACTCCTTGTAGCTGTTTCTCCACCTTTAAGATTGGTTATGAATCCTTTTTTATATATTTACTATATATTTTTACTATATATTTATTCACATATACACCCATATCTACACTGGTATCTGTTGGAGTTTAGTTCCAAGACCTCCAGTGGATATGAAAATCTATCCTTATTATGTACAGTGGCTCAGCAAGATGGAGTTCTTTATATAAAATTGCATACAACGAGTACCAAAGAGAACCTGAGGATCTGTGAAACAGCAGGGTGTGCTTACGTATCAGTGTTCAGTGTGTGGCAAAATCAACGTTTGCTTTTTGGATATTTTTCTAATATTTTTGAACTGCAGATGTTTGAATCCATGGAATACAGAACCTGTGGATACAGAGGGTCGGCTGCATTTATCTTTGCATTAGAACTGTGCTTGACTTCAGGACTGTGGAAATGCACACTGTTCTACTCCTGTTGTCTCTTGTGTAGTTCATCTATTTATAGTAAGTTGTAGTTGCCTCCTTTATGGTTGCTCTAGGACAGTGGTTTTCGACAGGTGGGTCTCCAGGTGTTTTGGCCTACAACTCCCAGAAATCGCAACCAGTTTACCAGCTGTTAGGATTTCTGGGAGTTGAAGGTCAAAACGTCTGAGGACCGATGGGTTGAGAACCATTGCTCTAAGAGAAAATCAATCACCTTTAACACTACAAGTGTAGAGTGAAAATAATACATCTAGCCTTTCAAACTACATGGATCAAAAGTTCAGGTGATCACGAGGAAGATTTCCTCCTTCATGTCTGAAGTATTGCCAGCCACGTCAAAAGTGTCTTTTACTTAAAGGAGAGGGGGTGAAGCAACTCTGTACTACATGCAACCATCTGCAGTCTTGGGGTGCACTTACTCTCTTGAACTGGGAGAGGGAGGCAATTGCCCCATTACATGAACTGTTCTTGTCAAGAATGTTCTTTTTTATAATCTACTGTTTTAAAACACATTAAAAGAGTTTATTCTGTAAAATGTACAGAACTTGTTTTTCAAGCTGTGTGTTGACAGGGATCATTGGAATGGGTATTCAGTAGTGCATCTTTCAAGTCCATGTATATATTCTATATTATTCATGCATAACAATAAGTTTTCTTTCTTAGGTTTAAGCTCTTTCTATTCTGAACTAATGAAAGGATTAGGTGCAGGAGGGCGTCTCTGGGAACTCATTGATCGAAAGCCAGGACTTCCATTTAATGGTGTGTTCTCTGTTTTCATTAAAGTTTTGCAATTGCTTAAGCTGACATGGTATATCCATAGACACTTTAAATCAGAAAGCAATAAATATTTTGCTTAAATTTGAATATCTTATGAGTCATTCCAGATGTATAGGTAGCCATATTTGTCTGATGCATCAGAACTGAGCAAAATTATTGATGGTACTTAATAGATAATCAGATAAATGAAGAGGTAGCCTCAGTAGATTGGTATGCATACAAACAAAAGGATGGAGAAAAAATGTTTTTGCAGCACAAGTCCAAAACACTAAGAAATTCCAGAGAAATTTGTTTATCATGTAGATCAGGGCACTTTTTACCCTCCTGGTGTTTTGGACTTCACCTCCCATTAGTACCAGCCAACTAAGTTGACATGTAATGATTGTGGGAATCGTAATCTCAAATATCTGGAGACTAAAGTTTTCCCAAAGTGATCTAGAATAAAATTGGAATGAGGTGTTCAAAGGTAAAAGATGCAATTTCATTTTTGCTGCTGAATACACCTGCTTAGCACAGTAGAACTTAGACGCTTTCCACTGCTATACCACAATTGGATTGTGTTAGTGTCATCTTTAGCTATATCTTATTGCATGACATTGTAGTTTTCTTGATGCTATTCTGTATTGGACCACTGTTTGGACATTTAACAATCAGTTCTTTTCCCAATAGAAATAATCAAAACAAACCCCAATCGCACTATGATTTAGTGCTGATAGTCTCATTTTGCTTGGCTACCATATTGGGAGGAGCCCCCGGTGGCGCAGTGGTTTAAAGCACTGAGCTGCTGAGCTTGTTGATCGAAAGGTCGCAGGTTCGATTCCGGGGAGCGGCGTGAGCTTCCCCTGTCAGCCCTAGCTTCTGCCAACCTAGCAGTTCGAAAACATGCAAATGTGAGTAGATCAATAGGTACCGCTCCAGTGGGAAGGTAACGGCGCTCCATGCAGTCATGCCAGCCACATGACCTTGGAGGTGTCTACGGACAACGCTGGCTCTTCGGCTTAGAAATGGAGATGAGCACCACACCCCAGAGTCAGACATGACTGGACTTAATGTCAGGGGACTACCTTTACCTTTTTTACCATATTGGGAACATAGTGGGCATGGCATGGATATGATTTCAGTGCTCCTTACTTAGGTATTCCCCAGGGATCTCTAGGGAAACTCCAGACTATTTCCATTGGGATCCCATTGTAATTCTCAAGACAACCACAGTACATTCACCCCCAGAATTTTGTTACATTAATTTTTAAGAAGAGGAATAGTGAAATAGCATAGTATAGATGTAGTCTTTTTAAGGTTAGGTTTCCCAAAGAAATGATAGGTTTCAGGAAAAGTTTAGAGTAAAATTTTAAAAATACACAAAACATTTAATAGTGATATACAAAAGCAGAAACAGGGAAGTATTGTTTTGTGGGAAAACACGTAGAAAAAAACAGAAAAGGGGTCTGCATAGCCCTTGTATTTTCAACTTTCTGAACTGAGTAGGGAATTCCTGGAGAGCGCAGTTGCATTAAAGCAGAAGTACAGAATTGCTTAATTGCATTATTGGGCATTATATATTGTGCAATTATATCTTCCTGATTTTTTTTTTTTGAAAAACATGCAGTAATTATAGAGCAGGAGGCTCAGCAAACATGATAATGTAAATTGTTATATTTCAAGTGTGTGTCAGCAAACAAGGATATGTATGCAATTGAAATGCAAGTGTGGCAATGATACAGAAGAATAAATGACTATTCCCCTGCCTTCCCTAGTATTTAAGCAGTGGGTCCCACAATCTCTTTAGGTCCCTAGTGTCTGCCAACCCCATTTGAAGGGATGGAACATGAAGTAGCGCCCATAATTCTCCCCTCCATTTTATCATAACAACTCTACGAAAATTGGTTGAGAACCAGCATGATATAATAACTTGAACATTGGAATATGACTCTGGGTTTGAATTCCCACTTGGCGATGTAAATCCACTAAGTGATTCTGGGCAAGCCACACACCCTCAGCCTCAGAAAAGCCTGTGATAGGATTGCTATGAGTCAAAAACAACCTGAAGATACAACCAGACCCAGATCTATAAGACACTATCTAGTCAGAAAGCAAACCCTTTGGCTTGTTAATGATGTCACTGAACATAGCACAGAAAAGGTACAACTATGAAGGATACTTGGACAAATGGATCTTTCTTCATTCAAAATGTATTTATATGTGGATATCTTTGAAAGTTCCTATTCTTGTCTCTCTTCCCACCTCCTCCTCCCCCACCCCATTTAGAGGGCATTGTATTAAACCAGGATGCTTTCAAAGGTGCTCTGGAGTTCAAAAATATCCAGTTTGCCTATCCAACTCGACCAGAAACTTTAATTTTTCAAGACTTTACCCTTTCCATCCCAGCGGGCTCTGTTATGGCCTTGGTTGGCCCGAGCGGCTCTGGCAAATCTACTGTTGTGTCTCTTCTGCTTAGGCTTTATGATCCTGTCTCAGGTAAGAATGTGTATGTAATGTTGGGGCCATCCACACTGACCATACAATTCTGTTTCAAAACCGTATTAAAGATAGTGGCTTTGCAGTACAGATGATTACATAGGACATTCTGGAACCAGTTTGAGGTCTGGATGGATGGTGACTACATAAACCACAAAGCACTGGTGCACATAAAGGACTTTCCTTTGAGTGCTTTTGTGAAAGATATCATATTTATCTTTATTTCTACCCCATCTTTCTCCTAATAGATATTCAAGGCAGCTTTGTTGTCTGGCCACTGCAATTTGATGCTATTTCTACTCAAGCAGCATGCATCGAACAGCATGAAATGGTCAGTGTAGGTGGAGCCTAACCATTTAAATTCATGCTGCTTGAGGAGAACTTTCCTCCTGAGAGAGACGAAACAATTTCCTCAGCTATCTCTGTTCCACAGTGAATTGCAAATGTCAAGTTGTAGGAGTTTTGTATATCTGCTCAAGGCTACTGGCAAGTGACTACTGAGGGAAAATGCAGTGCTAGGGTGATGGGGAAGGAGCAGCACCTCATAAAGAGGGTCAATAACCAATATTTTATTTTTTAAGAGATAGAGGAAGCTCAGGCCCTCTGGTGGCACAGCAGGTTAAACCACTGAGCTGCTGAACTTGCAGAGTGAAAGGTTGGCAATTCTAATCCAGGGAGAGGGGTGAGCTCTTGCTGTTAGCCCCAGCTTCTGCCAGCCTAGCAGTTTGAAAACATGCAAATGTGAGTAGATCAATAGGTACTGCTTCAGCAGGAAGGTAACGGCACTCCATGTAGTCATGCTGGCCACATACATGGGAGGTGTCTACGGACAATGCTGGCTCTTCGGCTTAGAAATGAGCACCACCTCCCAGAGTCGGACACGACTAGACTTAATGTCAGCAGAAATCTTAACCTTTACCTTAGATGAAGCTCTATTCTGTTCAGAATAAGGAAGGATTGTATGAAGAAGGTTCAGAGATATATATTAGGCTCATGTTGTATTTTTACACATTCTCGGGGTACATTTCAAGTGATAATATGAGTTCTGTGTATTCTTGTGAGATGTACTATCCCTGCAGTCCTATACATTACTACATTATCTCAGATGTATTTCACATGTTTTTGGCTTATTTGCTGTGCCAAAATGGAGGTGTGCATTACATTCAATGGCACATAGAATTGCATTCCTAAAGGTGTCTGTACCCCTCCATCAGGCTAAACCTAGCAAACTCACCAGCCTGATGGGAGAGCAGTGGCTACCCCCCCCCCCCAAGCCCCGTTCTCCGTCTCTCAGTTGAGGCAAAGAAATGGGTACCCCTTCCCTCTCCAAGCCCTGTTCTCCTCAAACTTAACAGCCTCTGCTTGGCAGAAGGGTGCTGCTTCTCCTTCCTTCCTTCCTTCCTTCCTTCCTTCCTTCCTTCCTTCCTTCCTTCCTTCCTTCCTTCCTTCCTTTCTTCTTCTTCTTCTTCTTCTTCTTCTTCTTCTTCTTCTCTTTTTTTTTTTTGAATGAGCACCTCAAGATTGAGGTGTTCATTACATTTGATGGCACACTAGATTCAAGTAAATATGGCTATTGCATATGACACATATTTCTCTGAATCATATTAAATAGAGACCTCTGTAGAAGTTGTTCACATTGCTGCAGTGTAAAATATTATCTTTTCTGGAAATACAAAAATGTATGCAGGACCTAGTCATTTTATTTCATAAAGCTATTTGAAATGTCTTGTTGTAATCCACTTCAACACTTGTATCTGTAGATTTGTTTTACGTTCTGTATTTCCTGTTCTTTCTTTCCTCTGAAAATTTGGAATCTGAAATTTTACCTAACAAGATCCTTTTAACTTTTTAAAGGAGTGGTCACTGTTGATGGTGTTGATATTCGTCAACTAAATCCACTCTGGTTCAGGACTAAAATTGGAACAGTAAGTCAGGTAAGAAGATAAGTTGTGTTTCTTCATTGTAGTATTTATTCTCATTCATTTTTCTCTTTATACGAGTTTGTCCATTCTAAGCACTGGACAAACTTTTGGGAACACTGGAGGGCCTTTTTTGTATTATCAATTTGAATTCCAGGAGCCCCCGGTGGCGCAGTGGGTTAAACCCCTGTGCCGGCAGGACTGAAGACCAACAGGTCACAGGTTCGAATCCGGGGAGAGGCAGATGAGCTCCAGCTCCAGCTCCTCATACGGGGACATGAGAGAAGCCTCCCACAAGGATGATAAAACATCAAATCATCCGGGCCTCCCCTGGACAACGTCCTTGCAGACGGCCAATTCTCTCACACCAGAAGCGACTTGCAGTTTCTCAGGTTGCTCCTGACATGACCAAAAAAAAAAAATTGAATTCCATCTCTTGAAAGTCATACTTGAACAGATAAGCCTGTACTTAAGAATATTGTGTTTACTTTTTCATCCTGTTTGTTGCATGTATTTGAACTCCCTAACTATATATTGTGATGATTCACTGTGCTTTCACACATACTAGGAACCTATTCTGTTCTCATGCTCTATCGCTGAAAACATTGCCTATGGTGCGGAGGACCCCTCTGCAGTTACTATGGAAGAAATTGAAAAAGTTGCTGAGATTGCAAATGCTTTTAGCTTTATCCAAAATTTTCCAAAAGGATTCGATACTTTAGTTGGCGAAAAAGGAATTCTTCTTTCAGGTAAGAGGTTGCCATTTTGAAAATATGTTTATGTGATTAATGCTTTCACATGATGATATGTTAAACTATATGGAAGAATGTTACATTAAGAAGAAGGCAAGCTTGTTTTCCGATGCTCTAGAAAGAAAACAGAACAATGGATTCATATTACAGGAAAAGAAATTTCACCTAAACATTAGATAAAATTTCCTCACCATTAGAGTTTCTTGGCAATGAAATATGCTGCTTAGGAGTGTGGTGGAAGCTCCTTTTCTGGAGGTTTTTCAATAGAGGCTGAATGGCCATTCATTGAGAATTGTTTGTTTATTTCTGCTTGGCATAATGGGGTTTGACTGGGTGCTCCTGGGTCTCTTTCAGCTCCATCATTCTGTGGTTCTATCTATAAATATTTATCTTTTTCTGTAAATTAGTAGAGAGCATAACATCTCTATAATATTTAAGCTAGAAGCTTAAGACAAAAGGGGAAAGTGTTTTTTTATATTTAAAAAAGAATTTTAATCTATTTATTGACAGGTGGACAAAAGCAACGAATTGCAATTGCCCGAGCTCTTCTCAAGGTAAGCCTTTGTGCCCATTTCTCTCTTGAAAAGCTAATGAGAATAATATTGAAAAATAGGTGTCAAAAATCTTTTCATAGTTGATTTTTTTCAATTGGAAATCTTGTAGTTATACCAATATCACGTTTGAGATAGATTGAGAGAATGAGAGAATGTGTTTCTTTGCAATCTGCTGCCTTTTCTGAGGAGTTAAAAATCAGGAACCTGCTCTACAGCCTTTTCTAGAACAGCCAGTTCTGTGGAGAGCAGCCTCTAATGGGCCTGTTAAGTAACTACCAGTAATTTTAATCAGGATGTCAAAAGTATTATACTTGTTGCTCTAAGAACAATAGCTAACTCCTTGGTAACACTAATTACAGTTTGCTGATTATTTTTCATGCATATTAATAGTAAAATCTCTGGACTTTACATAGTAGAAGACACAACTATGTATTATCTAGTTGTGATCATATCCTGGTAATATTCAAATACCAAACAGTAAAGCATTGTCATTTTTCAGATATTAGGATTTTTCTCAGAGAGATCCTAATACCCAATTTCTTTATTTATTTGATACATTTATATACCGCTTTTCTCCCTCTATGGGAACTCAAAGCGGTTTCCAATATTATAAAGGCAAAATTCAATGCTGCACATAAGATAATAACAAGATAATAATATATAACTAACTATAAATTAACCTAACTAAATTAAAATATAAACATAAAATAAAATTTAGACGTAAAGCATAAAAAATTAAAAATCGGTAATACAATAACATTTATATTAAAACCACCAATAAACAACACGATTTAAAAATAGTTACTAATGCCATCTAAGTAGGATATTTCCCTCAAGTATCTATATAGAAGCAGTCTTCGAGTTACAAACATCCGACTGCTAGTTACAAATGGGGATGAGATAACAGGGAGTGAGAGAAATCTACCCCAAGGAAAGGAAATTCACTCCTGGAAGAGTTATCACGGGGAAAAAGTGTCTCCACTGAAGCTTTATCACCAATCCTTGCTTCCACAACAAACCAAAAATTTCAAAATCCAATTGTCACAGGGTAAAAGTGAGACGAAATCTCCTGAACAGAGGCACAGATAGCAAAACAAACGTTACAAGTGTATTAACCCTTTCCTATGCTATCCAAAACATATATATGGCTGAAGTTACACTTTAAAAATGTACCTGCTCCAACTTACATACACATTTAACAAGAATAAACCTACAGAGCCTATCTTGTTTGTAACCCAGGGATTGTCCTTTTATGAGAGGAAAAAGATCATGTTGAATTTTAGATTTTTTGTCTCTTTCTTTTTAAAAAGAAGATGCAGCATATGCTTCTGTTTTGCACATTCTTCATTTTACTAAAGTTGTTGTGCAGCAGCCTCTTTTACACTTATTTTATTTAAACATAGACTAAATGTAACTGTCCCTAGTCACTACTTGTGCATTATTTCTAGCTGAGAAACCTTAGAGAAATTCATTATTTAAAAAAAGGTGGTTTCATCATTTTCACCTAATTGTGCACATTTGGGTGTACATGCAAAAAAACTTAAGAGAGAATATATGACATGACCATTTGAAAATAATAAACACATACATTGTTAACATGCAAAACCTGAGGAAACTTTTATTTGGGAGGGGGGCGGAATCCTCTAAAAGAAGTGAATTCAGCATAGCTATTCATGAAAATCTGTGTCAAAACACATTTTTCTCCTCTAAAGCGTGAATTAAATACATTGCAAACTGTGACCAGTACCAGTTATGAATGACATTGGCTATAGCATTATCATCCTCAAAGTGAAAAATGAATATCCTCAAAGAAACTCACATGGTGGTTGAGAAAATATCATTCTTCCACAATCCCTTTCAATATTGTGTTAGTTTTCTCGGTATTGGCACACCTGTCACTGTTGTTTCAGTCGAATTAACATGGTTCGACACAGTGCAGCTTTTGCATGAATAGTCAATACGCTGAGATTTATCTTCCTGATGATAGAAATTAATTTGCATTCCAATTTGCAGTCTTAAAATTTTCTCTTAAAATTTTCCTCCCAAAAATATTGTTCATATAAAACCACATTAATTTTGTTTTCTAGAATCCAAAAATTCTTCTTCTTGATGAAGCAACAAGGTAAGTAATAAAAGTGACACAATAGAATAACAAAGTAGAAAAATATTTTACTTAAAAGGATAGCAACCATGTTCAAGACAGTAGGGGTGGATTGGCATCTCTGTAGTAAACCATATAATGTCTTTTCTTGTCATTGAAATATGCTGCCCTATTAACCTTTGTGTGTGTTTTTGTTAGGAGTGACTTGAGAAACTGAAAGTTGCTTCTAATGTAAGAGAATTGGCCGTCTGCAAGGAAGTTGCCCAGGGGACACCCGGATGTTTTACCATCCTGTGGGAGGCTTCTCTCATGTCCCTGCATGGGAAGCTGGAGCTGACAGATGGAAGCTCACCCTGCTCCCTGGATTTGAACTGCCGACCTTTTGGTCAGCAGCCCTGCTAGCACAAAGATTTAACTCATTGCGCCACCAGTGGCTCCTGCCCGGTTAACTATTGAATACTGTCACTTTTTTACTATCTCTGTGAATTTGCATCAAAGGAGGTTACATATTCTTCATTAATACATTGCAGCAAGAGTTCAAGGTTCTCATTGAGCATAATATTTTCTGGGAAGCATGAGATACCCAGGAAAATATTGCCTCTGTTGAAATCCTTGAATATAATTTAATAAGTTGGAAAACAAACAATGCCAAAGTACTAAACTCACCATGAACAACTGTAAGTGGATATTATTTTTGTGTGAGAGGTAAGAAACATTGTTAAAATATTAAGAACAAGGTTTCTGTCTGTGATTCTATAATATAGAAAACCACTTACAAGGAGAAAACAGATTTAGTTTAATCTAGCCACTGTATCTACAGTACTTGGGAGGGTCTGTCATGGTTCTCTTATCTGTCAAGGAGTTAAGTGATTGCTATGACAAAATTATTGCTCCTGATAGATGACTTGTAGGTGGTCAGGCAGTTTTAGAAAGGGATCATTGTTTGAGTGAGTTAATGAACTTCTTCGACTGGTGATGCATTTTTCAAACTATCTGTGTACAAAACTGTCCATGAGGTCACGAAGAGTCGGAGACGACTGAACGAATGAACAACAACAAAACAACGTGTACAAAACTGACAGAATTGAAAAGTGGGCCAGTCAGAATCAAGGTGGACTTGAGGGCTGCATCTACACTGTAAAATTAATCTAATTCAGCACCGCTCTACTTGCCTGGCTGAATGCCATATAATCATGGGAGTTGTAGCTTTACAAGGGCTTTAGCCATCTCTGTCCAATAGTACTGATGCCTCAGCCAGCTACAGCTCCCATGATTCCATGGCATCAAGCCCTAACCATTATAGTAGTGTCAAACTGCATTAATTCTACAGTGTAGATGCCCTCTGGGACTGGTAAAAGTCTGATGTGAGAACAGTGCGTTTCCAAGCCTTTGGTAGTGTTAAGCTGTGCCTTTGCAACTAGGTTTAGTCTGTGTATTTCTTTGATTAAAAAAAGTTACACATTCCATAACTTTCCAGTGACCTCCCTTTTGGAAGACTTTCTGATAAACTGAGACTTCCATCTAGAAATATTCATTCACTTAGTGTCTGAAACAGATTTGAAACAATAATCTAAAGAAGTATGTTACATTGCAGGTTAAAAATATGTGCACTTACCTGAATTTCATCAGGGACTTGATTTATCAGAAGGGTATATTTTTTACACAGAAATAAAGTTGTTGCTTTTAAAAAGAAATGTATGTAATACTCTTAAAATACTGTCACATTATAAAAAGCCTGAAATGAAAGCAAACTAGTAAGCTAACTATTCTAAAGTGGGATATAGGACAATAACATATGTTTTCTCATCATTTTGTTCATGAATTAGTGCATTGGATGCTGAAAACGAATTCCTTGTCCAAGAAGCATTAGATCGACTCATGGAAGGAAGGACTGTTCTCATAATTGCCCATCGTCTGTCCACTATTCAGAATGCGAATTCTGTTGCAGTTCTTGATCAAGGAAGAATTGTTGAGTGTGGGAAACATGAAAAATTGCTTGCAAACCCAAATGGACTCTTCAGCAAATTAATGAAGAAACAGTCTTTTCTCCAGCACAGTGAAAATGTTGCATTAAATGTAAAATCTTGAAGAAGAAAAAAGACTTTAAAATGAAATAATATAAAGAATGGAAATGTAACACATTTCCAAGTAATTTTAAATTATGTTTCAATTCATGTATAATAAATGTGTTTATATTTTTCCTGTGTATTTTAAAACATGGCTGTACTAAACTTTTTATTCAGAGAATCTAATTATAATTATATTCTTGTGAAGATATGAAACAGTAAATTGTTTTTACAATGTAAATATTTTTATGCTGCTTTGATTGATGGATATGGATGTTTACTATTTTTTAAACCTGACGGCGTGGAAGCACATTCTTTTTCCATTTAAGATGGTGATAAATTAAATGTGTAATTCTGGTATTTTGTTTGAAGTCATTGTATTGAAAAGATAGAGATCAGTTCAGAGAGCATTTTGCTTACAGAAAAGGGGGGCTCTTTTAACTCTTACATTCTGAAACTGCTTTTGTTTTAAAAAGCAAACATTTAAAAATTTCCTCTACTGGATTTGCAAGTCTTCTGCAATAGAACCCAAGTCATTAGAATTAAATCCCTACTGTGGTTTTGAAATTTTCCTCATCACACACAGTATTGGGATGTCTGTTCTGAGCTTAAGAAAGAAAGCAATCTGTATGCTGAAGGGCCCAGGTTCAATTCCTACTATAGTAGATTACGAAGAATTTTGGCCATCATCTGGGCTAAATCTTTATCAGATACTATAAAGACTATTACCATTCTCAGTGAGTTAAGTGGACCTATGATTTGACTTGATAAAGGTCATGCCAGCCAGCCGCTTTCCCTGCTCCTGGTTCCTGCCACTTTCCCTTCTGCCCACCGCTTTACTTCACCACTCCTGGCACTCCTTGCATCCTTGGGAAGGTAGAAAGGAGGGATGGAGAAAAAGAAGAGAGGTAGGAAAAAGAGGAGGAGAGAGAAAGGGAAGAAAGAAATGTAAGTAGGAATCAGGGAAGGAGGAAGAGTAAGAAAGGGAGAAAGAAGAGGTAGAAAAAAAGAGAGGGAAGGAATTCAGAATTCAAAAAGCCTGGTGTAGTGGTTTGAACCTTGGGCAATGGCTCTAGGGGACTTTAGGCAAATCACACTCTCTCAGAGGAAGGCAAAGGCAAATCTCCTTTGAATAAATCTTGACAAGGAATCTCTGTGGTCGCCCTAAGTCTGAAATGACTTGAAGACACACAACAACAATCTTAATCATTATTATACCTTACTTGAAAATTGAGGTACTAAATACCTTTCTGCAGCCCCAAGAGGCTTAGCCTGTCTAGTTTGGCCCCTTAGTACTGAGGTCATCATTATAATTTAGTTGAAAGTAATCTCATTTTTAAATAATTTATTGACAAGATTTGCACTCAAAAAGCGGTTTTTCCAGGATAAGAGCCAGTGTAGTTTAGTGGTTTGAGTGCTCTGCCTATTGTTCTGATGCCCCGCTCAACCAAGGCAATTCACTGTGTGACCTTACACCAATAATACTCCTCAGTATTGAACCTCATTAAGTTATCATGTAAGTATTATGAAATTATTATCAAACTTTAGGAAATGTTTGCCAACATTTCCCATGAAAACCTTGCATGTGTATGTGTGTGTGTATAGGATTTATTGCTTATTTCACATAAACTCAAGGTTTTTTTCCCTACATCCGTGACACACCTACACAACAGGTCAGTGGACACAGCAATAGTTTCGATGCACAGTTGGGAAAGCTCTGCATAACCACCATCAAATCCCATTCTCAGGCCCCCACTACACTGCCACATAATCCAGATTATCAAAGAAGATCATCCACATCTGCTTTGAACTGGATTATGAGTCTACACTGGATCTTATATGGCAGTGTAGAAGGGGCCTCAGTCTCAGAGGAAGCCAGTGTTAAATTTCTTCTGAACAAATTTTGCCATGATAAAACCTCATGATACATTTACTTTGGGATCGCCATAACTCAGGATGGACTTGAAGGCACACAACAGACATGGATAGGAAGCCAGTGAGGAGTCCTGGTTTGGTGCTGGAGACCAGAGTACAAATCCCAATTCAGCCATGGAAACCCCCTGGATGGCTTTGGATCAGTTACTGGCCCCTTCTACACAGCTGAATAAAATCCCATATAATCTCCTTTGAACTGGAATATATAGCAGTGTGGACTCAGATACCCCAGTTCAAAGCAGATATTGTGGGATTTTCTGCCTTGATATTTTGGGTTATATGGCTGTGTGGAAGGGACCACTCTCAGGAGAAGGCTAAAGCAAGTCTTCTAAGGACAGACACATCCAGAATGGGTTGTAGGTATTTCGAGCTATATAGCCATGTTCTAGAAGCATTCTCTCTTGACGTTTCACCTGTATCTATGGAAGGCATCTTCAGAGGTTGTGAGGTCTGTTAGAAACTAGGAAAAAATGGGTTTATATATCTGTTTATATATCTGTTAAAAGTCCAGGGTAGGAGAAAGAACTCTTTTGTCTGTTGTAGCTAGGTGTGAATGTTTCAATTGGCCACCTTGATTAGCATTTGATGGCCTGACAGTTTTTAGGTGTAGCTTCTTACTGTTGTTGTAGGTATTTCAAGCTATATAGCCATGTTCTAGAAGCATGACGTTTCACCTGCATCTATGGCAGGCATCCTCAAGTTGCGAGGTCTGTTTTTTTTTTTAACTTTATTTGTACCCCGCTAGCATCTCCCGGAGAACTCGATGCGGCTTACACAGGCCGAAGCCTCAAAACACAATACAAAAAAACATAACACGACAGTAAAAAACACAGCAAATCAATAGTTAAGCAAGCAACAACGACAATAACAATACATCATGACACTTTAAACTGGGCCGGCCAGCGCAATGGGGTACAGGGTTAAAAGTGCTAGAGTGGCAGGAGGAGCATAGGAATAAAAATAGTACGGTGTGCAGTAATGTTAATTGTACTAAAGTGCTTCTAGGACTTGGGTGGGGGATTCCTAATCTGAGAAGGCACATCGGAACAGCCAAGTTTTTAGGTTCTTTCTGAAAGCTGCTAAAGTAGGGGCCTGGCGAAGATCTTTTGGAAGGGCATTCCAAAGTCGGGGGGCCGCCACAGAAAAGGCCCTGTCCCGTGTCCCCACCAAGCGCGCTTGCGACGTGGGTGGGATCATGAGCAGGGCCTCCCCAGATGACCGGAGCGAGCGTGTGGGTTCGTAGATGGAGATGCGGTCACGCAGGTAGGGTGGTCCCAAACCGTTCAGGGCTTTGTAGGTGAGCACCTGCACCTTGAATTGGGCTTCGGAAAATAAATGGCAGCCAGTGGAGCTCCTTAAACAGAGGGGTAGACCTCTCTTGATAATGAGCCCCAGTTAGCATCCTGGCTGCTGCCCGCTGGACCAGTTGGAGTTTCCGAGCCGTCTTCAAGGGCAGCCCCACGTAGAGCGCATTGCAGTAATCCATTCTAGAGGTGACCAAGGCATGGACCACCCCGGCCAGATCAGCCTTCGCGAGGTACGGTCGCAGCTGGCGCACAAGTCTCAATTGTGCAAAGGCCCTCCCGGATACCGCCGACACCTGAGCCTCAAGTGTGAGCGAATCCAAGAGGACACCCAAACTGCGGACCTGTGGCTTCAGGGGGAGTGTAACCCCGTCCAGCACAGGTGCCACCCTATACCCCGATCCGGTTTACGATCGACCAAGAGGACCTCTGTCTTGTCGGGATTGATCTTCAGCCTGTTCTTCCTCATCCAGATCGACACAGCGGCCAGGCACTCATCCAGCACCCGAGAGGCCTCCTTGGCATTAGGTGGAAAGGAGTAGTAGAGTTGTGTGTCATCCGCATAGAGATGGCACCCAACTCCAAAACTCCGGATGACCTCTCCCAGCGGTTTCATGTAGATGTTAAAAAGCATGGGCGACAAAATAGAGCCTTGCGGGACCCCACAGGTCAAAGGCCAGGGGTCCGAGCAGGCGTCTCCCAGCTTCACCATCTGGGTTCGACCCTCCAGGAAGGACCGGAGCCACGATAGAACCGCGCCTCCGAGGCCCATCCCAGAGAGACGACCCAGAAGGATACCATGGTCGATGGTATCGAAAGCCGCTGAGATGTCCAAGAGAACCAACAGAGTCACACTCCCCCTGTCCAGTTCTCTGCGGAGGTCATCCACCAAGGCGACCAAGGCCGTCTCGGTGCCATGACCAGGCCTGAAACCAGACTGTGACTGATCTAGGTAGTTGGTATCATCTAAGAAGCTCTGGAGCTGGGAGGCGACCACCCGCTCCAGCACCTTACCCAAAAAAGGGAGGTTGGAGATTGGCCTGTAGTTGCTCAGCACCGTGGAGTCAAGGGAGGCCTTTTTGAGGAGTGGACGAACCACAGCCTGTTTCAAGTTAGATGGAAAAATCCCTTGCTCCAACGATGCGTTGATAATCAATACAAACCAATCAACCAGCCCCTCCCTGGCTGATTTAATGAGCCAAGATGGGCACGGGTCTAGAGATGAGGTGGTCGCTCTCACAGCCCCAAGAATCTCCTCCACGGTTTCAGGAAGAACAAGCCTAAAAGAATCCCACAAGGTTGGACAAGCAGATGTCTCCGTCACCTCTTCTGGCACTGCGATGAAATTGGAGTCGAGCTCAAGGCGTATCTGGGCGACTTTGCCTGCAAAGTGGTGTGCGAAATCGCGACACCGAGCTGCTGGGTCATCAGTGACCTCCTCCACCGCAGGTGGGTGGAGGAGTTCCCCCACGACCCGAAACAGCTCCGATGATCTATTTGCTGCAGACGCTATCCGGGTGGTCGTGAATGATTTCCTGGCCACCCGTATAGCCACGGAGTATGCCTTAAGAGAGGCTTTAGCCCGTGCTCGATCAGACACGACCCGAGATTTCCTCCATTTGCGCTCTAGCCCCCTTCTCGCATGCTTCATCACAGTCAGCTCCCCGGTGAACCAGGGAGATGGCCTGTCACGACGCAACGAGATGGGGCGTTCGGGTGCGATCACATCTAACGCCCTGGACATCTCCCCATTATAGAGAGTCACCAAGGCGTCGATGGAATCGCCAGGCTCCAAGGCAGGAAGAACCCCAAGATTCCTCAGGAATCCATCCGGATCCATCAGTCTCCTAGGGCGGACCATTTTAATCTGTCCTCCACCCCTGCGGAGGTTAAGAGTCGCAGCAAGTCTAAAACTGATCAGATAATGATCAGACCATGACACCGGAAGGATGTTTTGATCTTCCACTCTAATCATTTCGTTATCTGCCACAAAAACAAGGTCAAGAGTATGTCCAGCTTGATGAGTGGGACCAGATATTATTTGTGACAGTCCTATGGTCGTCATGGTGGCCATAAAGTCCTGAGCTGCACCAGATAGGGTGGTCTCGGCGTGGATGTTAAAGTCTCCCAGCACCACCAGGCGCTGGGAGACCAAGGCCGAATTAGAGACCACCTCCGCTAGCTCAGACAGGGAAACTACTGGGTCGCGGGGTGGGCGGTACACCAGCAGGAACCCCACACTGTCACGGCTCCCCACTTTCAAGTGGACACACTCAAACCCAGAAGCCTGCGGAACAGCGCATCTGATCACGGCGATGGATTGCCGAAAGACTACTGCGACCCCTCCTCCCCGCCCCCCTTGTCTGGCCTGCTGATGCACTCCGAAACCTGGTGGACACAACTGAGTGAGATTTACTCCCCCCAGCTCGTCCAACCAGGTCTCGGTGATGCATGCCAGATCCGCCCTCTCATCCAGGATCAAGTCCTGGATGGCCGCGGTCTTACCATTAACGGATCTGGCATTAATCAGCAGGACCTTAAGACCAAGGGGGCTGCCATGGAGCCTACCACTACCTACCTTCTCCAGGGTCGCAAGAACTCTGTTGCGCTTCTCCCTGGGATGTTGGTGACCCGCTATTCTCCACCCCCACACGACTTGATGGCACCCCCTTCCTCCGGACCCCTCCCCCCCCCCTACATGGCCAGGATCTGTAACTAGTCAGCTCTCAGAGGAAGAAGTCGGGCTGGGGAATAATCTCCCTTGGGCGTTAGGTAGGGATGTTTCTGATGATGAGGTAGATAATGAAACATCAAGGGAGCTGAGTGGGCTGAATAAGGGAAGTGTTCTCGAGCGAAGGAGTGTGGCTGGTTGAGTGGGGGCGACTGGGGCAGATGGGGTCTCAAAATGGTATGAACCGGGAGGGGGGGAGGGGGAGGCCCTAACCGGGGAGCTAATTGTGTTCACACGGGGACCTGATGGAGCATGGCGAAAAGGAACCCCGGAAGCAAATAAGGGGCGTATCTGAGGGTCCACAACTACCCTCCTGATGGTAATGCCCCATTTCTTTAAGCCAGAGCGCTTTGCCATTAGCTCTCCGAGCCATGAATTGTCTTCTGGTGTTATTTGAAGACGGGAGGAGCGGTCAGATGATTGGTAGTCCCTCCATAACCACACTATGGCTTCTAGTCTTATTTCCTGTGGTCTTTTACCCAGGATTTGGGCCAAGGAATTACAAACTGCCCTCTTAGAGGTCCATCTGCCTCTGTTTACCATTTGGTCAGCAATGTCCATCGCAAACATGTCAGTTTGTAGATGTTGATCCTGAGTACAACCTGCGGTTGGCTGAACCAAAAAATCTGTTGTTGTATTATTGATCGTCCTCTGAGCGGCTATCACAGACCGCTGCCACTCCAAGATATTTTCAATCCTATGACTGCCCAAAGATTCTCCCCTTCCCTCAGTCAACTCATCATTCATTCCTCCTTCCACCCTGAGAACCCCAAGATCTGACGTGCCTTTCTCCCCATTTTGGCACAAGTCCTTAGCTGGATCTGCACACAAGGAGTTATCAGTCTTTGGGGGATAGGATTGCACTGGAAAACCTGAGAAGGAGGCAAAACCTCTAAGGAGATGGTCCATTTTCTCGTTTAAAAACCTGAGTTGTAACAACACATGATTAAACGATTCCCTCAGGAGGTCGTAAAAGTGCAAAAGATCATTCTTCGCATGAGGCTCTGCTTCACCCATTCCTATGTCTAAAGATAGCTCTCACAACACTCAAATCTAGGCACTCCCACCAGCTTCCCTCTCATTCACTTCTAACACAGTCAGCCCCTGTTGGAAATTTGATTTATATATCTTGTCTGTTGGAGCTAGGTGTGAATATTTCAATTTGCCACCTTGGTTAGAATTTGATGGTCTGAGTTTTTAGGTGTAGCTTGTTACTGCCTGGGGGAATCCTTTGTTGAGAGGTGATTAGCTGTCCCTGATTTTTTGTCTTGAGTTCCCCTGCATTTGAGCATTGTTCTTTATTTACTGTTATGATTTTAGAGGGTTTTTTTAATACTGGTAGCCAGTTATCGTTCATTTTCATGGTTTTTTCCTTTCTGTTGAAATTGTCCATATGCTTGTGGATGTCAATGGCTTCTCTGTGTAGCCTGACCTCCAGAATGCCCAGTGATGGCGTGGCTATAGCTCAAAAACGACTTGAAAGGCATCCAGCAACACAAGGGAAAGGATAATGGTGCTGGTAAAGGGCCCTCAAAAACCGTTCTGAATTTCCCTTAAGCTGAATGAGGAAGACAGTAATGGTTAAGAACGGCGGGCGTTAACCTTCCCGCCAAAAGCTAAACTCCAAAACTCCCGAGGCGGCCCTTCAGCCCCGCCCAGCTGGGTCACGGAAGCCCCGCCTTTCTCAAGCGTTCCAGCCAATCCCATCCTGGGAATCCGGATGATGCTATTAGAACGCGCGAGAAACACAACGTCTACGTCATCGGGAGCCGCCCGCGGAACTCGTGTACTTCCGAAAGCTCCATGTATTCTGTGAGCTTTGGCGTCCTGAGGTGGAACCATGTATCTTTCGACCCCCGTGGGCTCCCCTCACACCCCGGTAGGTGGTGGGTCAGGCCGAAGGGGCCTCCGTCTCGGCGGCAGGAAGGGCCAGGCGTCTGTCAGTTCCCCGGCGCTGTTCTCGCCGGTGACCCGGAGGAACGTCAGCTCCCTGTCCGCGCGGTGAGTACGCGAGGGGCGGCCTACTCGGGTGAGAAGGCTAAAGGCCTGGTGAAACTACAGCATCAAACTGCACCCATTCTGCAGAGCAGATGGGGATAAAGGGAATAGGTGGAGAATCTTGTACGTCATTAATTTTGGATTAGGAACATTCAACCTATACTTTTAATTAATGAAAGGGGACTAATAGCAAATCAGGTATGGGCAAACTTGGGCCCTCGAGGTGTTTTGGACTCCAACACCCACCATTCCTAACAGCCTCAGGCCCTTTCCTTTTCCCCCTCAGGGTCTGAGGCTGTTAGGAATGGTGGGTGTTGGAGTCCAAAACACCTCGAGGGCCCAAGTTTGCCCATTCCTGCTCTAGGACCCTGAAGTTTGCCCATGCCTGGGGTGTGTGTGTGTGTGTGTGAATATTTTGTATCCAAGATATCTTGGAGATATCTTGGAGATCTGATTCACAGCTGAACACAAAATGTATCAATGTTGCATATACATCTCTTTCTCACACACAGCTGGAAGATAATTTTATTCACGAAGCAAAGTGAAACAAAGGCGCTATTTATTTTATTTGTCGTATCAGAAGCGAACCAAGGGTAGAGTTGTACTGTATTTACAATTGTAGATCTGAGGATAACGGGGCAGTATAGAAGGGCCCTTGGCTGCCCAGATTTGGGTTGTGGAGTAGTCCAGCTTTCCAGATAAGGGATTCTCTGTCATAACAACAACAAGAAATAAGGACCCAATGGCCACCGCATTAACTGTATGTATAGTACAACTTTTAGACACTGAACACTCAGAAAGCAAAAGTGTCACACTCTCAGGGCCCTTCCACACTGCCCCTTTATCCCATGATCTGATCCCAGATTAACAACAACAATAATAATAAACTTTATTTGTATTCCGCCCTATTTCCCCAAGGGGACTCCGGGCAGATTCCATACAACAGCCAACTAGAATTCCCAGAACTTGTTTATCATAGGTTATCGACAGTGAGGAGTTATATATATTTATATAAGCAGATAGTCTGGAATCAGATCCTGGGATAAAGGGGCAGTGTAGAAGGGGCCTCAGCTGCCCAGATTTGGATTGTGAAGCATTTCAGCTTTCCAGATAAGGGATGATGCTCAACCTGTCATAACAGCAACAGGAAATAAGAGCCCAGTGGCTATCGCATTAACTGTACATGTCTCTATATCGTCATGTGCATTCAAATTGATCCTGACTTAGTAGGCACCTATCTTTAGCTTTTTTTATTCAGAGGATGGTTTGCCAATGCCTCTCTGTAAGCCTAAGGAAATGTAACTTCACCAGGGATAACTAGCAAGTTTCTGCGGCTGAGTTGGGTTTGGGACCCTTATGTCCCAAAGTTGCACTCTGCGAATATGGATACACCTTATTCAATTGTAGCTCTTTGGAACATTGACTCCATCCTGTGGAATCCATACTTTGTGGAGATAGTCAGCATTCACACCTAGAAAGTTTTAGTGCTGTTGCTCATGGGCGTGTTGTGTGTGTGTGTGTTTGTGTGTGTGTGTGTGTGCACATGCTTGTCTTCAAATTAATTTATAGTAACCTCATGAATTTCATAACATTTTCTTAGGAATAACTGGAAGAAATTCTAAGCATCTTGTCAAAGGGCAAAGTGGTGTCATATTGCTATATCTCTGTGTTGTATATATTCATGTAATTTGATACATCTGTAATGTATGTATTGAATGTGTCCATTTTCAAGAAATGGAAATGACAGCTGTGGAGGCTGGGCTGTTCACTATAAGGTTTGGAGAAGGCAGAAGAGAACTCATCCTTTTTCTCTGACATTTTGTTCCCAAGGAAAATCAGTATTCTGAAGTTGGTAACTGCTGTGGCTTATATTAACTTCAGAACATTGGATTTCACCATAGATAGAACTTAATAGCAGCCCTGTTGGTTTTTAAATGTGAGGATTTTCCTTCCATGGCAAGAAGAAAATGCATTTGTGGGTCGTCATCCCCAATAAATGAAGTGGCAACTGAAATCTTTGTTTTGTTGTGTGTTCCACACATTTGTTCAAACAGTGATGAATGAAATTAGCATAAGTCAATGAAGCAATGTTCTTGACAAGGTTATTTATTTTTTTATTTGAAACATTTATATTTTGCCCTTCTCACCCCGAAGGGAGCACAACATATATATGGCAAACATTCCATGCTGGGACATAAAATAACTATAAATATACACAAACTCTCAAATCAGTTGTAGCTACTTTACCACTTAATTGAAACAGAAATATGGAAAATGTTGGTTACTTCTCTTTTTGCTTAGGTGTACTCCCACAAAGGTTGTGCATCATCCAACAGGAAGTGAAACCATTAACTATGACGTGAAAGGGTTTGGCTCGCCCCTACCAGTAAAAGTTATGGAGGCCTTGAGAATGGCTGGTGGTAAGTGTTTAATTTTTCTATGCAAGTAACCAAACATGGAAAAATAGCTAAAATCTTCCTGCTAGGTTTGTAACATTCCTGGGAACATTGCCAATATCCTTTAAAGTTTATGTCTACAGCTATTTTAGAAAGCATGGGTTTGAAGATTGAGATAGAAAGATGTAACCTTAGTGTTATTTATTTGTACATGAGATGCTTGTTATTTCGATTTAGGTAGAAATAGCTTTGTTTATCAAACCAAGCAAATGGTATTCATTTTAACGTGTGGTTTTGCTGCTTTCCTTAAGGAGATAGTTCTAAGTATGAGAATATTCTTAGGTCCCTTCTATACTGCCCTATATCCCAGGATCTGATCCCAGATTATCTGCTTTAAACTGGATTATAGGAGTCTCCACTGCCAGATAATCTGGTATAAACAGATAAAAACACAGGATTTGTTCAGGAATTTGTACTTTCTTGCAGCTGAGGACTACTTGAGCGTGCAGATAGATGGAAGTGGATGGGCTTGGCTGGTATACAGAGACAGACTGATTATTTGGAAAATTGGTCGATCGCCAACTGCAAAGGTAAATTAAGAGTAGGTTATAGATACACAAATGTAGACTTTTAAAAATAATCATGGACATTTTCATAAGAAAAATATAGATGGCTAATGGGCAACTTCAGAGCTATTGTGTTAGTGATGTTAAGCTGGCTTTGCATCTGTTTTGCATCATTTAAAACTTTCTGTGAAAAATTTAGGCCAGTGCTTTTCAAATTAACTGATGTGGCAGCCTGGAAATTTTTCTCCAGTGTGCCTGAGATCAGTCTTATATTTGTACCTTTTATTATCATTTGGATGTACGTTCCTGGAAATTTACTGTGGACTGGTTTTTAGTGGCTTCTGAATTGGTACCAGTCTATGGACCACTGCTTTGAATAAACCTGGCTTAGACTATGAATCAGAAGACGCTTACTTCTTGGGAGGAGAGCAATGTCCAGTCTCGATAAAATAGTAAAGAGTAGAGACATCAGACTGGCAACAAAGATCCGCCTAGTCAAAGCCATGGTATTCCCTGTAGTAACCTACGGATGTGAGAGCTGGACCTTAGGGAAGGCTGAGCGAAGGAAGATCGATGCTTTTGAGCTGTGGTGTTGGAGGAAAGTTCTGAGAGTGCCTTGGACTGCGAGAAGATCCAACCAGTCCATCCTCCAGGAAATAAAGCCCGACTGCTCACTGGAGGGAAAGATACTAGAGACAAAGTTGAAGTACTTTGGCCACATCATGAGGAGACAGCAAAGCCTGGAGAAGACAATGATGCTGGGGAAAGTGGAAGGCAAAAGGAAGAGGGGCCGACCAAGGGCAAGATGGATGGATGGCATCCTTGAAGTGACTGGACTGACCTTGAGGGAGCTGGGGGTGGTAACGGCCGACAGGGAGCTCTGGCGTGGGCTGGTCCATGAGGTCACGAAGAGTCGGAGACGACTGAACGAATGAACAACAACAACAGACTGAATTATTTTATATTGGGCATGGGCTTTAAAGTGAAAACATACTTTCAGTCTATTAGCTTACTATTATGAACAATCTGAGTCTATTCTGTGTGTTGTATTAAAGGAGAAAACTGATAGTGTGTGCCCAAGCTATTTTGATCTTTGATAAATATTCTCCAAAATAACTTTCACACAATTGGAGTGACCCAAATGCATACTTTTAAATTTATCAATTGACAAACAAAACGAACCAAATGTGTGTGTTTCAGCTGTCCGTATGCAAGGAATTGCAGTTGCCACCCAGTGACTTTCAGGGCAATGCAGACTTAGTAGCAGTATCCTGTCATAAAGTTCCTGGTGAGGCTCCTTCTTTACAGGTGAGGAACATAACAATTTTTTTCATTATATAATATGCAAAAGTTATTTAGAATGTCTTTGGTTATGAAATCATTCCGAACTTTATGGTTTATTGAGTAGTCTGTATGCTATCCATGCAAAGATTGTTTTCATAAATATTTGTATTTAATTTGGTGATACATAATTTAAATAGTTAAAATGTTTTTTTGGGGGGGGGGTAGACATTGGGGAAAACATTCAAACAGCAAAGAAATTTACATGTGATGATTTGGTAACTGTTAAACAGTATATATCTGAATTCTGCCTTTACTAGTTGGGAATGTTCAGTATGATGAGAATACAGGTCCATTCTAAAATTTGATGTGATTTTACTGTATGTTAAGAGCAGAAAATGCGTGTTCAAGCTACTTCTCTCTCATTGAATCGATGGCATATGCAGAAATAAAAACACCCCTTAATAGTCCTTAGGTCAGGTGTGCTTTGTATTTCCTCACAGTTATTTTAATTTGCTGTAAATTGCAGTACAAAGGAGCTTGAAATGGGATGCTGAATTACACATTCAGATATGTTTGATAGTGAACTCAGTGTTTCTCCTTATTATGGCTTCCTTTTATGATCTCAAGCTGTGTCTGAACAAGCTCATAGTGATTTGAATTTGAAAATAAGTGATTACTTTGAATGAAAAAGTAGCTCAGGTCAGTAGCAACTTGGACTCCATTCCCAGAAATCCCTCCTTGAAGACCATTCCTCCTGATCATTATCGGTCAACTGTAAATTTCAGCATTCCCATTCCTGGCCTTCTGTATTACTAAATATACTCATATAAGTACAGATTTTTGTCAAAAATTGACCCCCAGTGTAAGCATTGTACCTTAACTCTTGTTTTAAAAAATACCCTCTTATCTGAATAGAGTGATGAAAGACTAGTCCATCTCAAGAAAACCAAAAAGAAGCACTGACCCCCTTTTTACTCTATGTCAGTGTTTCTCAAACTGTTCCTCCAGGTGTTTTGGACTTCAGCATCCAGAAATGTCAGCCTGCTTACCAGCTGTTAGGAATTGTGAGAGCTTAGTTTGAGGAGCAAAGTTTTGAGAAACAGTGTTCTATACCATGGTACTACTTCTGGCCTTCTTGAATGCCTAGACAGGAAAATAGCACCAGTATCTAGCCCCCTGAAAAGGCACTCACATTTTCCCTACTCCATTAAATAATCTTTGAGATATTCATGAATCATATAAAAATCCGTAAGTTTGGCCCCCAAACCTGCCCTTGACTTAGACAAGCAGTCCTCAAGCTATGAACAAGTTAGATTCTGTAGGTTTGTTCTTAAGCTGGATTTGTTTGTAACAAGTACATTTTTAAGTGTAACTACAGCCAAAAATATATATGTTTTAGCTTTGGATAGCACAGGGAAAGGTTTACACCCCTGTGGTGTTTGTTTTGCTGTCTGTTCCCCTGTCCAGGAGATTTCTGTCCCTGTGACAATTGGATTTTGACATTTTTGGATTGTGGAAACAAGTATTGTAGATAAAGCTTCAGTTGGAGACATTTTTCCCCCATGATAACTGTTTCAGGAGTGAATTTCCTTTCTAGGTGTACATTTCTCTCACTTTCTGTTGTCTCGCCCTGGTCTTAACTATGAGTCATTTGTCAGTCAGATGTTTGTAACTCAGGGACTGCCTATATATGAGGTTGACATGTGCACAATTATACATAGTATGTTTATTAAACTGTAACCACTATTTTTAAGTCTGTTCAGTGCTTAGAAATTCTAAGTTGTTACTGTTTTTGTTTATAGAGCATCTGGAGTCTTAATGTATTTATGAAAAATATGGTGGTCAGCATTGTACAAATCTTTCTTAGTCTTAGGCTACACTGAAGTACACATTTAAAATAATCTTGAAACAATTTCACAATGTTTAACAGCCTTAAACAATCAATTCCTTTTCCCCCCACATAATCACATAGTGTAGGTACTATGATAACTAAAATCTTGAAATTGTTTACATTTGTCATGTCAACACAGATTGCATAGCTAACATAATCCAATTTGCTGTCTTTACAAGTCTTTATCAGTAATGGTTACCACAAGTGAAGGATCGATAAGATATTGGCCCAGTCTTGTGCATGAAAGTTCCTACACTGAGACATGCACAGATTTTGGAGGCTCTCTCTGCAGTTTTCTCACAGCTGTAAAGGTAAAATAGGAACTTAAATGTGAAAATCAATTTCATGGAATGTTAATGTTGCAGCTCAATAGCTCTGGAAAATCTTTTATTTTATTTTGTCTCTGATCATTGCTTCAAGGGCACCATAATATATATATTTAAAATAGAAGAATATAATTTTGCTATCAGGAAGACTATTGTATTTTAATGTATCATTAGCTTACATGATTCATTGGGGTGGGGGTGTAACACTGAGAAAAGTGGAAGGCAGTAGAGAAAAGCAAAGACCAAACTGCAGGAAGATTAGTTTAATTGAAGAAGCCATAACGTTTGTGAGCTCTGAGCAAGGCTGTTAATTACATGATCTCCTGGAGTTCTCTCATACATAAAGTTGCCCTATGTTGGAGCTAATCTGAGAGCAAATAGCAACAGCAGCACTAACAATAGGGTGTTCTTTTTCAACAAAAAGTTTTCACCTAATAATGTCATAGACCAAACTGAACATTTTTTCATCTTCTAGGGAGGAAGTTTTATTTTATCATCGTCACGGGGCCAGTTTATCCGACTGACACCAGATAACTCTGGAAAGATTCATCAGCATGGCCTGCCACAAGGACAAGGCATGTTTTCAGGAATTGGTCGAAGAGTTTCTTCTCTGCTGGGCATCTTGTCTCCCAGTAATGATGCAGCAGTAAGTCTAAATGTTTTATAGCCGAACTGGGAATCCTGTAGGTTGCAGGTGGCCCTCAACCCTTTTTGGTAGTTTCTTTTTCAGGACACTCCACCGCATTTTAAGGGAAAATTTGACTCCAATTTTTTAAAAAAGTTTTAAGTCCACATCAGAATATGGTTTAACCCTCTACAAGCCCAAACTCCTAAAAGATCAAAGATGGGACTAAAGCGACACCAAAAATGACACGTGGCTAGCTGAGAGATGCAGAAGAAAAACTGATTCTCAACATGAACCAGTTAGAGCATGGATAGGAAATAATTTTTCTGCTGAGCGCTACTCTCCTTAGGGCAGTGGTTCTCAACCTGTGGGTTCCCAGGTGTTTTGGCCTACAACTCCCAGAAATCCCAGCCAGTTTACCAGCTGTTAGGATTTCTAGGAGTTGAAGGCCAATACATCTAGGGACCCACAGGTTGAGAACCACTGCCTTAGGGGAAGAGTGAACAGACTGACAGTGGACAAGAGGACCCTTTTTCTCTTTTCTTATCCACTTATTTTTTGAGTTTGGGGTGTTGTATTTTCCCTTAATTTACTTTCCATTGTTTGAGCAAAAACTAACATCTGTTTTCTGTAGAGTAAAATCTTTATAGGATTGCTGTTGATCACATTCTAAATTTGTGTGTTATCATTGTCATAGATACTTTGCAACAAATGGCTGTGGTACCAACAGTGAGCAGCACACTTACTTCCATGCTCATTTATGACTCAGTCACACAACAAACACATTTCCTTATGCTTGCAATATTTTTCAGAAAAAAGAAGGCTTATATGGGAAGGGAATGGTAACTGATGGGCCTTAGTAAAATGCAAATAAGCTGATCACTTTTAGCATTAGAATAGTATAAATGGATAATAGAATAGTAAACTCTTGTTTTATTCTAATGGAACCTTCAAATATAGAAGTACATCAGAGATATTATCCATAATTTATCTTTAATGCAGCTCTCTAGTGTTCTTTGGAACAACAGCAGTTCAAGGTTTTATGCATTAACCAGCTGTAATCTTCACAAGTGGGAAGTCGATGAAACTGCAGAACGGCAGGTTCTCAGCTGGGATGTAAATAGACTACTTAAAGAAAGTATCATGGAATCAATATGGGTAAGTGGCAGTACATATGGAATACGCGTAACACTAAATGTTTGTCTTATTTGTGGTACTTTAATATCTCTTATTTCAACAGGGATCTGAAAGCAACTATGGAGAAATTAAGGGAGAGGTCAATGTTCAGTATCTGGATTTACAGCAAAATCGGTAAGCTCTGTACTTTTCCCATTCCCTGGCCCTATTGTTTACAGCTTGGCCATGTTTGTATTAACTATCACCATTGACAGATGTGTGCAGTTTTTATTCTGAGTTTTATGTTGTGATTACATTCTTATATGTTTTATTCAATTGTGTTGTATATGTCTCGTTTTAGGCACCTTGTGCCTCGTGTAAGCTGCCCCGAGTTCCTTCAGGGAGATGGCGACAGGATACAAGAATAAAGTTGTTGTTATTATTGTTGTTGTTGTTGTTGTTGTTTAAAATATTAGGCAAGAGTAGGCATTCTGACACCATTCCAATATCTTGGATTTGTAATTCCGAGAACCTCCAAGCATTGTTTACTGGAATTTACAAAAACTGTAATCCAGAATATTGAATGCACTAAAGTGTGCACTTGTGTATTTTCACAGTGGGTGGATTACTGGTGTAGGTGGTAGTAAAAAGCCTAGATTTTTCCATCTGTAGCTAGATCATTTCTGCTTGAATTTGAAGACATGAACAATGCTGTATCTCTGAATTTAGTATATTTCTTTTAAACCTGCCAGATTTAGCTAACCTTTTGGATATATGAGGCTATCACTTCTGTCATTCTCAGCCAGTATAGTGAACATGACCTGCAGTTCAATCACATTTTGAGGGTATGAGTTTGGGGAAAGCTATACTAAAGATTTAGTGTTATGGGTATGATAGCGTTGTAGGCAGATTACTGAGCATTTAGGACAAACAGTGGAAAAGTAGCTAAAAGTATAAATACAACAAGATTCATAAAGTAAAGCAATGGTCAGCAATTTCATAGTATGCTCATCTCCCTCTTTAAATCCATGGCAACACAAATAGAATTGATAATATCATTTTTTTAAAGTTCTTACTAATTTGTGGATTTAACAGCTTAGAAAGTTGTCAATTTCTGTAATTTAATCAGGGATCTTTTATTAAATTCCTCTCTCCCAGCCAAAAAGCAATAACAACATTGGACATTTATACATACATTTATATTAATTAGCCGATGAAATATCCTTTTAAAAAGTGCTACATAGTTGCAATTTTGCTTCATGCCACAGCTAAACACATTGCTTGTTGTAAAGAAGGATTAAATCCTTAGTCTGCATTTCCTGAGTGGAGCCAGCCAATCTCTGGCCTTGGAATGCTGAGAAGGGGGGCCTGAGGGGGAAAAAAGAATATAAAAGGGGGAAGCTTGACTGTTAAACTGTCACGTGATGGGGACAGTTAGCAGTATAAGGACCAGGAACAAAAAGGAATGGTTATGGTCATAAACAAAAGATTCCACCTCAACATTACACTTTTTTTAAAAAAAGTATGTAATAGATTTCCTTGGAGGTGCTGGACATCTATCTTTGGAAGTATTTAAATAGTTTGGCGGGACTTATTTCAGAAGCGCTTCAGCTGTATATTTCTGCATGGCAGGGGGTTGGACTAGATGGTCGCTGTGGGCCCTTTCCACTCTTAATATGCTTTGATTCAATAAATAGAGGACTTAAAGTAAAGTGTGGTTATGTCAGTGATGTTTCTTATGCAGAATAAATTAAGTGCTCTTTTGAGAATAGAGGTGATGATTGATCTTTCTGAACATTTGAAGGAATATTAAAAAGGCTAAAGCATGTGATAGTTGTGGGATGAAGATAGAGATTAGTTTGGTTTAGGACAATTAGGATAAACTAGGATTATGAGAGAATAGGGAAGAATGAACTAGTGGGATGCATTAGGGGTTTATGAGCAGTTAGGGTGCATCTACACCAGTGAATCCCAAACACTGGTCTTCCAGGGTCTTTTGGACTTCATCTCCCAGCATCCCTATTCACTGATCAAGGCAGTTCAGGCTTCAAGGAACTGAGGTCCAAAACACCTGGAGTACTACAGTTTGGGGAACCCCCAATCTACACTGTAGAATTAATGCAGTTTCACACCATGCTAACTTCCATGGCCCAATGCTGTGGAGTCATGGGAGCTGAACCTTTGTTTTGCTACTTGTGTTTTTAATAGACTTGTAAGTTCAATGTCTGTTTAACTCTTATATCCCTAAATGAATAGTGATGGCTTGGTGATTTTGGCTGCTGCCTGGCATCTTGGTGACAATCCATGCCTCATCTATTATGCTTTGGTAACACTGGAAGATAATGGTTCTCCCACATCTGATAATGTTGTTGTAGAGGTCACCCAATACAACCCACCTTTTCAGGTAACTGGCATTTCTTCTGTTTACTTTTAGTTCTTGAACTTACGAATATTATTTAGGACAACATGGTGTTGATAGTACATTGGTCATCAGTGATAGTAAGAGTTTGTTTGAAATATTTGAATATACATAGTGAAACAAGCATTATAGGATTCCTTTTTGGTGGAGGAAATAATTTCCTCCACCAAAAACATTATTTTCCTCTCTTGTTTTTTTCCTTTCTAATATTGCTTTAAAATCTGTGCAATTAATTTATGATCAAAGTTGCCTTTACAAGTCTCAGTCTTTTGGGGCAGAAGGTGTAGTATGCAAAAGTACAAGAAATTAGTAGTAGTTGTTGACTTTTTGTGTGTCAAAGGTGTATTTCCTGCTTTTTAATTCTTTTTTTATTTAAAAAGTAGGAATCTTGAATTGAAACAGCTGGAAAAAAACCAAGAAATCAAAGCAAAGGCACAGTGTGTTTGGGGAGAGGCATCTTTGTGTGTCTTACTATCAGATGTCCATTTTTAATCTTTCAGGCTGAAGAACCGGAGGGTCATTTAGTGGTCCCAGATTTCTCCAGTCAAGCTGCTTGTCTTTACACAGAAGAAGCTGTATTTGCTTGTTCAACTGGGACAGGAAGACCTTCCTTACCCCAGGAAAAAATTACTTTTAGTTCGCAAGGTACAAACTCCAGTGAATCCAAATTGCTTATTTTACAGATGCTCAGTAAGCCAAGGAAGGTGCTTTCGGACCTTCCCAGAAAAAAAAAATTGCTCTAGCTATTCCAATTCCTTTTTCCATTGGCTAAATAAATGACTTAGCAATGAGGTGGCTGATAATAAAATATAAGAACAATGCCAGTTATGTTTTGGAATACAGTCATCATGTATAGGGACTTCTTTTTTAAGCTTCAGATGGCATCACTTTCACTTCATATGTGTGTATTGCACCAAATTACTGCCTGTTGTAAGGCCGCCTTGAGTCCCCTCCAGGGTGAGAAGGGTGGGGTATAAATATGGTAAATAAATAAATATGTCTGAAAACCAGTTCTTAACAGTGTGGGTGTTAATATTAAACTATTTCATCCTCATAAATGACAATGTGTAACTTCCAACATTTTGTCCAGTAATTAGGCATCCCAGAGTGTTTGAGTAAATTGTTATCTATTAAAATGCATGTGGTATTTATTTATTTTAAAAAAGAGAGGAATTTTGGGTTCTGTGCAAAGAAAAACACTTTTCCAGATAATTGGGTTTATTGTGAATGTTTTCTGTTTTCGATGCCAAAAAATTACAATTTTGGAGTCATAAAATCTTGTATATGAAATAGTTATTTTGTAAACAAAACCATGTGGCATTGGTGAATGGTGGTAATGTTGGATTTCATTTATGTTTTTTCAGGTGATAGAATCTTAGGAGCAGGTTCTTGTGCTGGACTTCCCATTTTCTTTGCTAGAAAAAGTGGTCTTTTAGCTGTATATTCGAAGGAAACAATTTCTGTGCTTCCAGAAGACATTGAGGATTCTCTAGCCTCCTCTATAGCTGAGCCAAATGATGAGGTAATCATGACAGATTAAAACACTTATGCCTTGTAGTGACTTAGAAATGAGCATAGGTTTTCATGGATTGCACACACTTAATCAGATACACTAATTGTGTTCATTTTAGTTAAGGATATAAAATTTCTGCAGCTAACCTTTCCTCCAGAGTTAGTCTCTTTTGAAACAGCAAAGTTGTTTTTTGTGGAAGGGCTATTCCTCCCTTATTTTTTCTCTCTATTGTGTTTTAGAGTATTGCATTTGAACCTTCTTCGAGAATGGATATTGTAGCACCAGAGGATAAGATAAAACTGTTAAAATCTGCTTTCTTGCAGCATTGCAGGTACGAAATAAAATGTAAATGCAGTGTTGAATTAGTTTCATTCCAGGAGACACATTGTCTTAGTATAGCATCAGCGATTAACTTCATATTTAGTGAGCTTTCTGTTTGTTGGATAATATGTTAAAGAAATTGTTGTACAGTAAGCATTGATATTTCTATGGTTATAATATGTATGTATGTATACATGTGCTTTTAAGCAGCCTCTCAATTTATAGTAGTCCCATGTACTTCATCAGATTTTCTGAAGCAAGGCGTACTCAGAGGTTTGTCATTGCTTTCCTCTGAAATACATTCTGCAGCATCATACATTCCTTGGTGGTTCCCCATCTAAGTACTAACCAGGCCTGACCCTGCCTGACTTCCAAGATCAATTGGGATGTTACTGGAGTATACAGATCACATGAAACTTATTATTACTCACATATAAGTATATTTAGTATATATCTGCTTTACATTGTGCAAACTACACATAACCTTCTTAAGTGAGTGATGTACAGCGCAGAATACATGTATGACGAGGGAGATTCTTGTCTACCAAATGCATTTTGGGTTCTTTAATAGTGGGACTACTAGCAGAACATTTACATAGCAATGCTGAGAAGTTTTCAGAAACACCTAAAATTTCAGTGATCAGGTTTAACAATGTCATATAGCATTGCCACCAACCCAGTCTCTAAAATGCAACACAAATAAGAGTACTTGTGCTTTTGAGTTCATAGTGCCAAGAAATATTCAGAACCTCATTGTATAATTACACCTCACACCCAAGTGCAAGCAACATGCCTCCACAGCTGCTTAATAATGAGGGGAGAAGTCACCCAGGGCGTACTTAGTTGTTTGTTCTGTAGAAGAATATAGATAATATATAATTACCCTTGATCTCGCCAATATATGTTAGTTCACTGTGGATCTGGAAGAGTAGTGTCTTTCTTTCCCAGGCATCCCTTCCTGCTCACTCCATAATCCAGGGTGGGAGCACTCTCTGACATTTGGAATGGAGTGGAAGGGAACAGGGGTAAATGTATGCTAATGGACTGTTACACATGTCGGATTTCAGCCATGGTTCCCTTTGAAGAGTTGACTCATTTGTATCTTTTCTTTTTATTTGAGGGATGATGTGAAGAATGCACAAGCCATAGTTGCTGAGCTGTTTCCCCAACATATAGATTTAGGCCCATCTTCTGATCTGGATAGTGCTGTGGCTCAACTCAGTGAGGAATTAGTGGATGATTATCCTACATCTGACCCTCGTTGGGCTGAATCAGTACCTGAAGGCAAGGACTGTTGTGTGTAAAATGGCTGTGCTCTGTGTTGTGGGTGGGAATGATTATATGGTGAGGGATCTCTCTCAGAAAAAAAACCTGTCTTCTCTATACCTTAAGAATGAAAGATGTTTAGAAACTCAGTCACAGGGAGGAGGGAGCAAGCTTGTTTTCTGTTGGCCTGGAGACTAGGATCCGGAATAATGGCTTCAAACTACAGGAAAGGAGATTCTATCTGAACATTAGGAAGAACTTCCGGTCTCTGACAGCTGTTCAGCAGTGGAACTCTCTGCTCCGGAGTGTGGTGGAGGCTCCTTCTTTGGAGGCTTTTAAAGAGAGGCTGGATGGCCATCTGTCGGGGGTGCTTTGAACGAGATTTTCCTGCTTCTTGGCAGAGGGTTGGACTGGATGGTCCACGATGTCTCTTCCAACTCTATGATTCTATGTAAAGCATATATTAAAACATACATATATTAAAATACATAAAATAAACATTCAAACACAATAAACACAGGACAGGATTTTAAAATTCATAGAAATGGAGTGGGTAGGCCTGCTGGAAGAGATAGGTCTTCAGTGGTGTTTCACATTCTGACATGCCATTCAACTGTTGGATCCCTTCTGGCAGGTCATTCCACAGTCCTAGGGCAGCCGATGAAAGGTTCTCTGTGCTACAGTTGGGTTCTGGCTGGTTGGAGTAGTTGCCCTCTAAAGGACCTCAGTTTGTGGGGTGAATTGTATAGGAGAAGGTGATCCTCAAACCATGTAGAACAGACATGAGCAAACTTTGGCCCTCCAGGTGTTTTGGACTTCAATTTCCACAATTCCTAACAGCCTGGAGGGGCAGAAGTCTGCTCGTGCCTGATGTAGAACTTTAAAGGTCAAAACCAACACTTTGTACTTTGCCGGAAACTAATTGACCATCAGTGGAGTGGCTTTAATATGGGAGTAAATGGGAGGGGGGTCGGATTCAGAGGCAGAGTGTAGCTATAGCATTGTGGTTGTTAGTCTGAGTGCAGGATCTAAACTATATTTTAGAAGGGGCATATATGTGTGGTGACAGTTTTTTTAAAAATAGCTACAATTGACCTAATTAATACTCTTGTGACATTTTTGTGCAGAAGCAGCAGGTTTCACTGGCTCCTCCATCATCCTTCTTCGCCAGTTGGACAACAAGTCACAAGCACATTGTCTCTTCATTGACTTCCTTCGCAAGGTAGGCTCCCAGAGTTCTCAATTAGAGGCATGGGTAATACGCAGTGTAGCACAAGGCTTTTAATTTACTGTTATCTCTCTCCAAGATGGGTCTGTTGGGACGTCTGAATGTTATTCAAATCAGAAATGCACCGATGGCAACTCGGCTATTACTCAGTGAACATTCGGAAAAGTTAGCTGCAGCCATTGCTCTCAAAAACTATCACTACAGATTGCCAGAGGTAGTGAATGCAGCCATACAGCTTGCTTTGGAGAAAAGAGAAAGTGACATTCCGCCAAGTCTAACTCCTGCTGATGTTTTCTTCAGAGAGGTAAAACAAAGTCTTTACAAGCTAAAACACTTCTATATTTTCTATGTGTATACAATTTTGCCCCAGGGTACAAATGCTTAGGATTTATATTTTCTTTTTCCCTGTTGACATCTGTGCTGCGTTTCTCAAGAGAATATTTAATTTCTTAAGCAGAACATTTAAATTTCCTGATTTCATAAAATCTGAGCCAAATTATTGCTGTATATCTCAAGAAGAATTTTAAGTGTTGACTTTGCTCTTGTCAATTTTTCAGGTGTCGCAAATAGATGCTATTTTTGAATGTTTGCTGGAAAAGGAAAAACAGATCTTGGAGGATACATCTGTTCAATCTGATGAATGGGCTGAAATAGTGATCTATGTAAATAACATCATGAAGGTATTAAATTTTATTTTAATAATAATGTGAGAGGAAAAGGGCAGTGTTATGAAAGGTGATTTCAGCTCACAAAAAGTACATCATTTACTCTGGTGAGTCCTCCAGTCCGTTGCAGAAAGTTTGAGGATAGTATTGGTGGTTGCAGCAGGGAGGAAGATCCATTTTTGTCAATAAATGTCAGTTCCATTATCTGACAATTCAATTTCACACAGTGACCTAAAAAAAACTATGGCTGTATTTCACCCAGTTAAGTGCTTTTGAATCTCATTCGATTTCAGTAGGAAAATTAAGTAGTTCCATACATTCATACTCCAACATACACCCCCCCCTCAAATCAGTGGGATATTTTTAAAAAGGGGATATTTCCTGGTCTTTTATTTCATTCACTTCCAAAAAAACCGCTCTCCCATTTGCCTATTTCCTTCAAAAGTTAGATATTTGAGAACAACTTTTAAATAACTAGTTAAGATTTTTGGTAACTTTGATAAAATTCTATCAACTGTACTTGTGTCTTGGTCTGCATGTTCTTTTTAATGTATACATATTTTTCTTTTTCTATGTTGATTGATATTGTTCTTAATTAATGTTTAATCCAGTGTTTCTGTGTTTTGACAGCAGATATTATTTCATATTAAAATACTTTTAAAATGGAATTGAATTATTTCCTGATTCAAAATTCAATAAGAAATGGAAAATTGTTATATTATGCATTTAACAAAGAGAATCTTGTTATAGATAGTTATGGTAGTGATAGCAAACAAATAAAACTATTACTACATTCAGCAAAAGAAACAAAGGAGCAGGATGTACAAAGCAGCTTCAAATTACCATACAGGATAGAATATACAGGGTTAGTCAAAATGAATAGGCCAATAAGAAAATTAATTTTAGACGAATGTATGTTTACTGTAACCAAACCACAGCTACGTAGTGACAGATAAACTATCAAAGTTTTTTTTGAGCAACACACATGTACGTTAATGCCGCTAGGCGTCGCTAGGGGTCGCTGTTTTCAAAATGGCGGAATCAAGCAAAGAGAAGGCGTTTTGTGTGATGACATTTGCTAAAACAATGTCAGTAATTACGGTCCAGCGAGAATTTCAAGGGTTAGGGTTAGGGTTAGGGTTAGGGATAGGGTTAGGGATAGGGATAGGGTTAGGGTTAGGGTTAGGGTTAGGGTTAGGGTTAGGGTTAGGACCTCAACGAACACCTTCCCAGACGTTGCTGCATTCGATGCCATTACGTCGGATGTGCTGCAACGGATGTGGAATGAACTGGACTATCGCTTGGACATCTGCCGTGTCACACGGGGCGCCCATATCGAACATCTCTGAAGGTGAGACAAAACTTTGATAGTTTATCTGTCGCTACGTAGCTGTAGTTTGGTTACAATAAACATACATTCGTCTAAAATTAATTTTCTTATTGGCCTATTCATTTTGACTAACCCTGTATAAATGAAAACTATAAATAATTTTAACCATCTCTTAGTCCATACGTTCAAATGGTGGCAACATTACTTGCAAGGAAAGAGCTGTGGAGAGCTGAGTATGACTTGTGAAAAAAACCCATCATGTTTCTGATAATTTTACAAAAAAATCAGTAATGCCAACAATATCTCAAGTTGTATCTATTCATGGTTATTATCTAGATAGCCAATCCAGCAATTCATGTTCACATGAGTTAACTCCTTCATGGCAGGGGAAAATCAGATTACTTTTTGGGTTGAAATTGTTGACTCCTTTCTTTTCTGCATCATTTTTTCCCCTTTATTGGCAGATAATTTTGTTTCTTTATTTCCTTACCCTTTTTTTACATAATAGGCGCCTATTATTCTAGTTCTCTTAATCTTTATCTCAGTCTAGCTATCCCAGGGTTTTAGATTTGACATTTTTTTTAAAAAATGTTATCCTTCAATCATATAGATGCTTTCCTCTAGTTTTGCAAGTGCCCTCTTTGATTACAGCCATAGAAGCACTTGTCATTTGAGTTGTACTATTAGATAGCGATGCTGATAAGTAGGCTCCTTCACAAACAACTCACCTTTGGATAAGATTCTGCATTTTCTTTTTCAATGTTCTTTAGGATATGCTACAAGCTGCTCTCCAAGACCGCCAATCCAAAGCATCTTCATATAAAGTAAGAGAACTTCCTGAAACAGAACCAGAATATGTTCCATGGACAGGTGAGAACAGGAAAAAAATACATTTACACCAGAATTTTTTGGTGTTATTTATATCCTACCTAAAGAACAATACTGAATTAGCTTTTGAATTTGTTGCTTGTGCTTTATGTCTCAAACCTCAGTGTTGTGTTTCATAAATATCTGAGAGGCTTTACAGAAGATAGATTTAAGAGTTCATCTTCTATTTTTACATTCTTGTCCTGATTGTCTAGGGTAGAATACCTTCTTCTTGGCAGGCCAGTGATAGGAGAGTGCTGACTTCAGGCTTAAAGGATCTACCCCCTTAAAAAAAAAAAACACCTAAAACCCCAAAAGAAGCCCATCAAAATTGGTGCAGTATTGTGAATTCAATAATGCTGAATTCTAGAGGTCATTTTGCCCAGACTGAAGATGTATCATAATTCTTCAACTTAAAAACTGATTAATAGTTAATCTAGGTTTTTTCTTGTTTTAGTAATATTGTGTATGAAGACCATTTGTGATCTTACATTTTTTTAGGTTTTAAATTATATATTGTATTGCTTTTCTTGTTTTCTCCTTTGGGTCTCTTTTTAGAGCGCAAAAGTGGGATAAAAACAACTATTATTTTGGTATTTTGTTGCTGCACTAGTTTAATAATTACCAAATATTTGTTAGTCTATTGTAAATCACACAGAGATCGACCTATTGGTACCTCTGGTTTATGGCATGATGTCATTGGAGGATGTTACCATTTTAAATAGGTTGTCGTGTGTTATTTGCTCTAGAACTTATCACACACTACTCATATATTCAGTGTGATTTAAAAACAAATATAGTTGCTGACAAGTTTCTTCTACATCACAGAAGGATGCAGTTAACAATTTTATTATGATTAACAGAGAAGTTCATAAACATTTTGGCTTCTTCCTTTTTCTGTTACCTAAAATAAACTAAATATACATTGATTTTTAGGGACTGAAGAAACTAGAAGCTTAGTTAATAAAATTCTCTTTGTTAATCACATTGTATTATGCCTACATATACGTACGCATATACATGAATGAATGTGTTTTCTCAGTCACCATGTGAACTCATATGTTTCTTGCTGGAGAGGAAATAGGGAAGAACAGAGGAGGATTTAATATATTTCAGACACAGTACTTTCTCTACCAGTTACAATATTTGTTTCTGTGAATCAGTTTCTTGATTATTATGGCATATCTAGAGTATCTTGGAATCAGTACTTGCATGAAAACGAAATGCAACCAAAATATGTATTGTAGAGGTGATTTTGCAGTAAACAGCACAATTTCTCTCATCATCGTCTGAGTAAATGAATATGTCTTGTTACAACTCCCTAGTGCATGTATACATATGTTGTTACACATAATTTACCTGTATGCAGGCTACATATATCTTGAAAACACCTTTAGCTTAGAATTTTCTGAAATATGAAGTGATTTTCTTGAGCATATTGGGAGCTGTAGTATTGCAAGTATTTTAAAAGTCAGTATTACATAAAGATAACTTCTAGTAAAGTGAACCTCTGCTACTTTTGTTAAAAACAGTTATGTTCTCTGAACTTTCCAGATCATATGAGAGAAAAATAGTGGCATGTGTGGATACTTCCCACTGAACTTTAGAATTTACTTTTTGTCCTGTGGAACTGTGGCTTGCCAATATTTTGTAACATCCACTTTTTCCTTTCTTTCCTGGACACATAGAGAGTTCCAGCTTATATTGGGTATGCCTATTTTGATCTAGAAATAGTGAAAACATTTATACAGGCAGTCCCTGGGTTATGATCTAGATAGTTTCTGTAGGTTTGTTCTTAAGTTGAATTTGTATGTAAGTCAGAACAGCAACATTTTTTAAATGTAACTCCAGCTAAAAACCTTTTTTAAGTTTTGTATAGCATTGGGAAGTGTTAACAACCTTGTGGTGTTTCTTTTGCTATCTGCGCCCCTGTTCAGAAGATTTCACCTCACTTTCTGTCTATGTGACGAATGAAATTTAGAAATTTTGGTGATAACGCTTCAATGGAGACACCTTTCCCCCTGATAACTCTTACAGGAGTGAACTTCCCTTCTTTTGGGTAGATTTCCTCTCACCTCCTGTTGTCTCACTCCAGTTTGTAACTAGGAATCGTATGTAAGCTGTATGTTCCTAACTTTTTGTCCTGTGGAACTGTGGCTTGCCAATATAAACTTTTTGCATTTACTCTGTATGTCAAATGGCTTTAAATATTTATTTTTCTGGTCTCTTCAAGCATCTGTTGCTGTGCGGACTGCAATAATGCAACAACATGAAATTGTTCTGAAGAAGGTCTATCCTCAGGTTAACAGTAAGCTTCGTAGCACAGTGACAGAACAGCTGGTGGCACTATTAGACTGCTTTCTGGAGGGTTATGTTTCTCAGCTGAAGTCTGTGGACCGGCCTGAGTATCGAGAGCGACACAAGAGTCTTGAAATGGAATACACGCAGAAGAGATCAGAATTATTGTTACCGCTACGTAAGTGATGTTATTATTACATGAAGGTCTGTGTAAGTCTTTAATAATGGATATCTGCCAATGGTCAGCTGGAACAGGTTATATATATGACAGGAAATGGGAAGACAAAGGAATAGGAAAGATACTTTCAAGTTTTACATGCACAAAAACCCCTACATTTTTTGAACGATTTCTTAGTTCTATTTTAGACATTACATTTTTCATTTCCGTTTGAAATTTTAAGCCTAAGATAATGTTTGAATTAGTTTATCTTTGCGGGTGCTTTTGTGATAGCAAGACCGTTTCACTGTGAGATTTTAATTAGTAATATTTATGGATTAGTTGAGATCTTTTCAGAAGAAAATCATTTTAATAGAATATGTGACTAATTTATTGCAGCTCACATGGGATACAAATATCTTTCTCTTGTGTTGTGTTGAATTCCTGTATTTCTTCCTGGTAAAACTATAGATACTGAAAGCCAGAAGTACTAATTCATAAGAAGTGTACTAATTCATTTCAAATGTAGTAGAAGTGTTGTACTTCTACTAACACATGACTTGTGTTTCCATATATTAACTTACTACTTTAGAGGGAAGAACGTGCTAATTTTCTACATTTCTTGGCTCATCTCTCTATTATATCTGTATGGGATGTCATGCTGGTGTTGGTGGATACTGGGTAGGATCATTGTTGTAGACCTGGCTTTAATAATCAACAAAATACAAAAGAAGTTTTATAAGGTGAAAGGGGAATGTGAGTCTTTTGGAATGAGTTGAAAGATTCTGTAAGGACAAAAATCTTTTGGGGTTTTATGGAATCAATTCAGATATTTCAGAGAATTTATTAGCAATGCTGTGTGCAGATTATTTTGAAGAAATACCACCACATCTTTGTTTTTCTTCCATGATGTGAGGTTTTTCTACCATACTTACTTTTAATCTGAAATTGAATGAATGATTAAATGTTTCTTATGTATTCTGCAAGAGTCACAAGATAAAAATATTTGACTGTAGGCCTTTTCTTTGTTCCAGTTTCTCTCGGACAGTACCAGTTAGCTGCTACTCTGGCAGAAAAATACCGTGACTTTGATATTTTGATACAGATTTGTGAACAGAGTGATAACCAAGCCAAATTGCAACGTTATATGACCCAGTTTGCTGATCAGGTAATTCTGCTGTTCTCTTAATCAATAGTAGTTTATGGGGAAAACCTTTGGAACTTACTTTTTTAAAAAAGAAATTGCTAACCAGTGATGCATAATAGATTTGCAAATGTTAGGCAGGACATCTATCATGTCTAATCTTAATTTCAAATTTCAGTATGCAGTTTAGGTATACTATCATTCACATAACGTATTTGAAAAGTAGTCCTGCTGCCATCCCAATGTGTTTCTGTTGGTCACACACTGGAAACATGTGTGATGCCATTGCAGGAACCTGGAGAAACAGTGGATGTTGGCATGAGAACAAATACATTGATTTATTTCTCCAGAAAATGTGAGAGAACAACAACAACATTAATAATAGTAACAATAATAACACTTTATTTGTACCCTGCTACCATCTCCCCAAAGGACTCAGTGCGGCTTACATGAGGCCGAGCCCAAACACACAATACAAGCAATAATCCCAACAATACAAGCAATTAAAATAAAACATAAACATATAACATTATCAATAAGACAACATACAATTAAAACTATGGGAAGGCCAAATGTAAAATTAAAATTGGAAATAGTGCTGAACATGGACAAACAAGTGATAGTGGCGTTTGTGGAGAGACATATGGGCAGACCTAAAAAATGTAAAGTGCTTTAGAGGGACAAAGTGTTATGGGATCATTTATCCGGGAAGGCACACTGGAACAACCACGTCTTCAAGCTCCTCCTGAAAACTGCCAGAGTTGGGGCCTGTCTGATGTCCTTAGGGAGTGAGTTCCAGAGTCGAGGGGCCACAATATCAGGAAGGATGATTTGGTGCAGTCTGTTCTTTTTCGTTATCCATTAGTAATGCATTAGTATATGATTTTTTTTGGCTGATTTCCATTACTGTAGCCACAGAGCATCTCAAAACTGATGTACTTTTTTTTAAAAGTGTGTTTTATATTCATAATATTCTGAGCAAAGTGTATTTAGTACTTTTGCAGTGGAAATGTATAAATGTTTCATTCATATCCGTAACCTAACCCCTCATTTTGCATTATAACCAATATTATGCCAGAAGGTTTCCTAAGCCTCTAGGAACAGGGGCTGCCATGTTTAGGGGAACGTATCAAAGTCTGGAGGTCCTGCTTTACAGAAACTGAAATGCATAAAGCACTATTGCATACTAATACATACTATTTGAAATCTGTATTCAAAATAAAATAAAATATAGTTGCTTAAATTGTGTGCTTATTCTAGATAAATACATCAGAGCCTAAAACTTATTTTCTGGCAATACTAGTGACTCTAATATGCCTCTGCCTGATTGAATTCTGGTATTGCGTCACAAACTGAATGGCGCCCCATCCACCCTGAGGAATTGGAACATTGTGCTGTTTGAAAGGGAAAAGGCCAGTAGATTAAATGAAGCAAAATCATAAGAACATTGTTCAGAATTATCATCAGATTCAGTTCTTCATAAATGCTTATTCATCCTCTAGTGAAGCATACCAGAATTGTAAACATATGTATGTGAAATAACTGATAGCATATATACTAAGATTTTCTCTACTAAAATGCTGATGAGAGAAAATATATTTAACATTTTTAGATGATCGTTATTTTTAATTCTGAGAAACCGGTACTTATAAAGATGTGAATTTTAGAATTTTTCAGATTTCCTTTTCCGCTGGTATTTGGAGAAAGGGAAACGAGGAAAGCTGTTATCTCAGCCCCTTGCTCAACATGGTCAGTTGGCCAGTTTCTTACAAGCCCATGAGCATCTCAGTTGGCTGCATGACATCAACAGTAGCGATTTTGAAAAGGTAGGCTTTATAATTTTAACCTAGTTTAACAATGTCATTAATGAAAGTCCCCTAGTGCTCTGCTTTTCCTTGCTCTCTATCTCATACTCAGCTTCAGTTTTGTCAACATGAGTCTCTATACACAAGTACACACCTCCTTTATTGTACAAAACAATCGAGAATATCTGTGTATCTTGTACCTAATTTTGTTATCTGTAAAGTATTGAGTCTTCTGAATGAAGGATACTTGAAGAAATCTGTGAATATATTTGGCATTAACTTGTAAGCTGAGTCCAGAGGCATCCTTCAGGAACAGAAGGGCTATTGCATGAGAAAACATAACTGAAAATCCACTGGCGTGTTTCTTTCAGTCATCGTTTTGTACCATTTCTTGTCCAATATTAAACACAGATTGAGACTCTGCCCTTCTGCATTTGTTTGTCCTCCCCAATGTTGCAAGATATGTATCAACATGCAAACATATGCTTGCATTTCACAAGATGTTCTGTGTAGCCTTCCAAATGCCTTTTCCATGACAGTGTGCAGAATACTTCCACAACCAGAATTTCTTCCATTAGTGTCTCTCTGGAACATAACTTAACTGTACCTAAAGTAAGAAAGAACATGTGTATGAGGCAACCCTTTTATTTGAAACATTGCTATGTATAAAAGATTTATCACCTCTTCCTCTTCCTTCTTTTTCCTCTACTTCCACCTACTCCACTTCTTTTTCTTCTTCCTCCTCCTCCTCGCTCCCCTCATCCTTTCACTGGACTTATTCTATTGAATGTCTACATTGCTAACTCTTTCTTTCAGCCTAGTGAGGATGCACACATTTGGTACGTAGTCCGCAGAATGTAAATCTACTTTCTCAGTAGTCTCAGAATTTTAAAAAGATACTTGTGAAACTTTAATTTGATATCCAACTATATGCCATATAATTAGTATTTAAGAATACATTTTCAGAACATTTCAGAAATTTGTAAAAATCTGAAATTTAATTTTTTTAGGCTCACCGAACACTGCAGAATTTAGCCAATACAGAAACTCGCTACTTTGCAAAGAAGAAAACTCTCCTTGGTTTGAGCAAATTATGTGTCCTGGCTTCTGATAGATCAGAAGTGATACTAAATGAAGAAACTGAAGGTAGGCCTTGTTTTCATAATTGGGGAGAAGGAGGAAAGGAGAAAAATTAGCTGTACAAACTGTCATATTCTCCTACAATTACTGAATGTAAATCAATTTTAATATTAGACAAAAACATTACAATAACCCAACATTAAATAATTAGTAATATAATGTAAGCTGTTAATTATAAAAGCCACTATCAGCATAAGTACACTTGTTTTAAAAGGAAGTTTTACAGAAAATAATACAAGCTATTTTTTTAAATTCCAGGTGCAAAATTGAACTTTGAATTAGAGTTCTTTTGCTATATATGTAGTTAGTTAATGTCTCAGAATACCTTGTGACAGTTATGTAGATAATTATTTCCATGAATTGTTTTATTTAAAACATACTTATTTGAATAGGACTCCCTGGTGGTGCAGCGGGTTAAACCGCTGAGCTGCTGAACGGGTCAGTGGTTTGAATCCGGGGAGCAGGGTGAGCTCTGCTGTTAGCCTCAGTTTCTGCCATCCTAGCAGGTCAAAAATATACAAATATGAGTAGATCAATAGGTACTGCTTCTGGGGGAAGATAACGGTGCTCCATGCAGTCATGCTGGTTACATGACCTTAGAGGTGTCTGTGGACAACACCGGCTCTTTGGCTTAGAAATGAAGATGAGCACCACCCCCCAGAGTCTGACACGACTAGGCTTAATGTCAGGGGAAACTTTTACCTTTACCTATTTGTATAAGCCAGGTGACCTTGGATAATCAGCTAACAATTGTTTTCTCCAAATAAAACATTGCGATGACCTTTTGGATTTATGCCGAAATTGACTTATTCATGGCAAGTTTAATAATTAGGAAAACAAGTTTTTTTTCATAGTCCATGGACCCATTATCTGTAATATATTATTAAGAGATGAGAATAATGTATGCATTTTTACTGTTTACAGAAATTGCTGAGCAAGAACGCTTTTTGTTGCATCAGGAAACTCTCCCTGAACAGTTGTTGGCTGAGAGAAATTTTAACCTCAATGAAATGCCTGTATTAAGTGCCCCTGAACTGATTGAGGTATGCATTTCTATTTGTTTAAAGAGTATTGTTTTCTCTTAATGTAAATTTCTGAGCTATTTATAATGTTGGGCTGCTGTGAGTTTTCTGGGCTGTATGGCCATGTTCCAGAAGCATTCTCTCCTGACGTCTTGCCCACATCTATGGCAGGCATCCTCAGGTTGAGAGGTCATAGAATCATAGAATCAAAGAGTTGGAAGAGACCTCATAGGCCATCCAGTCCAACCCCCTGCCAAGAAGCAGGAATATTGCATTCAAATCACCCCTGACAAATGGCCATCCAGCCTCTGCTTAAAAGCTTCCAAAGAAGGAGCCTCCACCACACTCCGGGGCAGAGAGTTCCACTGCTGAACGGCTCTCACAGTCAGGAAGTTCTTCCTAATGTTCAGATGGAATCTCCTCTCTTGTAGTTTGAAGCCATTGTTCCGCGTCCTAGTCTCCAAGGAAGCAGAAAACAAGCTTGCTCCCTCCTCCCTGTGGCTTCCTCTCACATATTTATACATGGCTATCATATCTCCTCTCAGCCTTCTCTTCTTCAGGCTAAACATGCCCAGTTCCCTAAGCCGCTCCTCATAGGGCTTGTTCTCCAGACTCTTGGTCTGTTGGAAACAAGGCAAGTGAGATTTATATATCTGTGGAATGTCCAGGGTGGGAGAAAGAATTCTTGTCTGTTTGAGGCAAGTGTAAATGCTGCAGTTTATCACCTTGATTAGCATTGAATAGCCTTGCAGCTTCAAGGCTTGGCTGCTTCCTGCCTGGAGGAATCATTTGTTGGGAGATGATTAGCTGGTCCTGGTTGTTTTTTTATCTGGAATTCCCATTTTTGAGTGTTGTTCTTTTTTTACTGTCCTGATTTTAGAGTTTTTTTAAATACTGGTAGCCAGATTTTGTTCATTTTCAAGGTTTTTCCTTTTCTGTTGAAATTGTCCACATGCTTGTAGATTTGAATGGTTTCTCTGTGTAGCCTGACACAGTAGTTGTTGGAGTGGTCCAGCATTTCTGTGTTCTCAAATAATATCTTGTGCCCAGTTTGGTTAATCAAGTGCTCAAGCTTGTGGTGTCAATCTTGTTGCTCAATCTTTGGCCCTCCTGATGTTTTGGATTTTAGCTCCAAGAAGCCAATGGCCAGGGATTTTGGAAGTTGAAGTCTGTCACATCTAAAAGGCAAAAGATGAGGAACCAGTAGTATACATTGCTCACATCTCCTCACTATCCTCACTAGAGCCCTATGAGATGGAATCATAGAAACTTTGATTAATTTCAAAATAAACTCCGTGATCATTCTATAGATCTAAATGTCTTTGGTTATACTATTTACATCTGTTATAGTGCCCAGAGATATGTATTAGAAATAAGATTGTTTCTATATTCATATAAGTATTATATGAATATGGAAACAATATGCCAGAGATATGTATTAGAAATAAGATTGTTTCCATATTCATATAAGTATTAGTAATGTCTCTATTGCATCTGTCATGATTGCAGTGGTCACTGGCTTAAGGAAAATACATTGTGGTTTGAATTGAGAGTGATTGGCCCAAAGACTTTGAGTTCCTTCTCCCAGTGGGACCACAGTTCGAATCCCCTCTAAGTCCCAGCCCTGCGCCCTTATCATGGCCTTAGTCATAGGAAATCAATCCAGAGTAATTCAGTTGCAGGAACAGTGTAATTGAATTCTCCAGAGAATTACACACTCATCAGAAGTGAACAGGACTAAAATCTCAACTGTTTTGGAAAAAAATAAATAAAACAGTTGTGGCTGATAAGAGCTGGTTATGGTTCTAATGCTGTTTTTGTGTGCCTGCCCTTCAGTGTTGTTATGTTATGTTCTTGGACGAAAATACCTTGAAGACTGTATGTCCATTTGGAAACTGGCCATATTGGCATTCACTCCATCGCAGTTCATGTTGTTTCTCTTTTTGCTTCTCTTTTACCCCTTACGCCTGCCTCATATCAGTTAATTTAGATCTCTAATAATAAAAGTGTTGTTGTTGTTGTTCATTCGTTCAGTCGTCTCCGACTTACCTTCCCCCAAAACAGAAAACCTTAAACTTTCATCAAACCAAGATAGGCAGGGATCCAACCTACTCGAACCCTCAGCAATGCATGTATTCTTTGCTCTTGAGCAACACATCTATGACAGATCTAACTACAAATCAAACCTTGAATCAGACCATCCTCCCCCACCTCCATATGTGACCCTTGTCAAGCAAAACAGAAGGAGTCAACTTGTAGTCCAAGAGATCCTTAGTTTGCTGCCTTGAAGATTAGCATATAACAACTTATTCACTTCTGAATGACAGGATCACAGATAATATCAAGTTTTCCTAAGCTGGAGAGGATGTCTTAACAAATTCATAAAATGATATGTTTAGTCAATCCACCAGTTCATGAGAGTTCTGGGGAATCCTTGTAGACGCAGCATCAGAACTGGCGAATTTGGACATCCTGCCTTTTGTTATGAATGTTATTTTTGCTAGTGCAAGGCCACTGTGGGATGAAACTTGATACTTAAAAGAAAAGGAATTGTGGTTGTGATTTATTACAATCTAATAGTGTTACTATCGAATATTTGTGTTTGCTTTGTATCAGTTAAAGTAGGACAAAGTATTGATTAATATAGAGTGTAATTTTAAATGTTTAATATGCATTAATTTTAATTAAATTGATTTTAAGTTTACTGTTTGTATGTGTTAAGGCATTGAATAATTGCCATATGCAAACCGCCTTGAGTTCCCCTTGGGGTAGAGAAAGGCAGGGTATAAATAGGGTAAATAAATAATAAATTGATAACAAGATTTTTTGCTAGTATATTAAAATCAGATTTCTTAATGTAGTATTAATCCTTTGTATCATGGTTACAGAGGAAGTTTCCTCCTCTGTTTCCCCATTCCCTGGAGACCATCCTAAGAGACAAATAGGAGCCAGAATGTATCCATGTTTAGTTTTGGCAAGGGAAGAAGAATTCAAGGAAGAGAGGGGCAACAAATGTCCTTAACAGCTGTCTCAAAGCAAAAAGACCTCTGATGTTTCCTATCAATCTCCCATCTTGAGTCATTACCAGGTCCCAATTTTAAACTGCTTGCTAAGTAAAGACGGCGTGGTTGGAAATAAATACTGTAAAACAATTGAACTTTTTAAAAAAACTTGTTGCCATCTTTATTTTCTACATAGACTGCAGACACTGGGAAAATCAAGTGTCATGGCAAAGTTAATCCAGGAGGTTTAACCAGCTAGTTGTCATTGGCATAGCAGTATTTCTATTCCTTTTCATCCTTTGTCCTTCGGTGCTCAGGGAAAAAAGAGGGAAAAGCCACAGTTACTGCTTTAAAAGAATAAAGGGATACCCTTCCATTACTTTTTCCCCATTAGCATTTACTGTTGGCTGGAGATCACAATCTGTTCTGTTGTTGGCTGGATTTGAGAACTGAAGAGCAGAGACATTTCCCACAGGATGGAGGCTTCGTCTAGCTCAGGGATGGACAAAGGGTGGTATGGGTGGATGTGAATGTTTCTCTCTCTCTCTCTCTCTCTCTCTCACACACACACACACACACACGACTTTTCTGCAGTCTTTGACTCTTCCAGGCTAGTCAAAGGGAAGCCTCTGGAAATAGCAAATTACTTTTGAAATAGATCACAAGGCCCTTTTGTAAGATTTAACATTTAAAATACACCCCCCCCCCCTTTAAGGAGCAGAAGTGGGCTTCCAGCTATTTTTTGGTTGGAATATATTGTTTTAGCAAGCTGTATGATCTCTAAAGATTCCCAAGGACATGGGGAGAAATTTGCACCATGACTGCTTATACTTTCTGTAACCCACAATATAGAGTTCTTCTATTTAACTCAATCCTTGACTCCGGAACTCCTTGCCTAGGGAAGCCAGAGTGGTTCCTTCCAGTGGCTGGCTAAAAGCTTTCTTTTTGGGCAGACTTTTCAAGAAGAATGTTTTTAAAATCAAGCCAGAGGGTGCTGTGTTTTCTGTAGTTTAATATGTCATTAAAAATAAAATAAAATATGTATGTTTAATAAGTCTTGTGTTTCATTCTATTTTAATGCTTATATCCTTTGGGTTTTAATTTACATTTAGTATGATTTTTACTGTTAGCTGCTTTGACTCTCCTTTGAAAGAGAGGAAGCAGGATATAAATACTAATTGAAAGATTACTTATCAAACCTTTTTTCCAGGATCATTTAAGTAATTCGGGTGATTGCAATAATGGAAAATCTACCCTTAGTCAGGAAAATTTTGATTGTATGTTTCCCTGGTCTCATTGACTATTTTTTCCCTAGAGGATCCTAATTCTACATTGCTCTTGTTCTTAAAACAAGCAGTCATCATTTTAAATGGCTGTTTGTCAAATCACAAACTAAAGAAGCCCCCTCCCCAAAAACAACTGGGGTTCTGCAAGATCTGGAGGGTGTGTGTGTGGTTTAATGCATCCTTTTTGTCTTCTCCTTTGAAAAGTCTGTCAATTTATCGTCTACCTTGAACAATGTTGGTCTCTTGGAAAATGAAATCTCCCAAAATTATACATATCCCCCTTTTGGATATTTGTTTATGTCATGGCTCTCACAGTATGAGACCCAGCTTCTGGACAGCTGTCTTTACATACCATAACCAGCTCTTATCAGCCACAACTGTTTTATTTATTTTTTTCCAAAACAGTTCATAGTTCAAGGGACACAAACCTCCAGACAGGCTTTTCATGTAACAAAGCTAACTGCAGAGTTGACAAGAGAATGTGAACAAGTATTCCTGTAAACTTACTTCTCTGAATATTAGCTTTCATAATTCCATTACCTATTGAGCAATATCAAATGGTCAATGTAAAAATCTCTTCTTATTTTTTTCTAGGTGTGTGTCTGTTACTGGGAACCATTTTTTAAATATAGAATAGTTACAGTTATTTGTGGAGTTGCATTCCTTACACAATAGACAAGCAATGCAACAACCTTAAATGGCATGTGCATTTGAAGCTGATCATATAGCAATCTTACACACAGTGTAGTCTTTCCATTGTCATATGGGTGGAATGCATTTCTAAAACATTTACAATCTTTCTTACTATAAAAAATACCTACAGCTGAATTGAGGGATATTTCAGTGAAAAGGTCACACAACTTAGAATCTGGGGTAGTCTTCCCACAATGATCTCTTTTGTCTAAAATTACACTCTTTTGGAATCTAAAAAATATTTTCTTTCAATCTTACAATAGTTGTACATATGCAGTGACAACAAGAGAGCTAATGAATATGACTTCAAGAAGGCACTCGATCTGTTGGAATACATTGATGAGGTACGAGAGTGAATTAGTTTTGCTGAACTTTGACTTAATTTTGAAATAGCTAAAGCTGTTTTTTCTGTTAGATTGAAACACCATATGTATTATTTTTGTCAAGCCCCTAGATTCCTGAAGTCCTATGGCAACTTCCATTCCTCAGCATCCTGTCTCTACCTCTGTTCAGTCTTTCAAGCACTTTCTTGCTTTTACTTTGTCTATCTTTAACCATTCCTGCCCTTCCACTGGACTCTCCGGAGGTTTTTCCCTCTCTCCTTTTTTTTTCATATTTCCAGAATGAAAAACAAAATGTTTCTTTTTGGGGGCCCTTCACTGATTAGCTCCTCCTTAGTTCTCAGTCTTCTCAAAGCTTTTCCTGAAGCTTCATTTCTTACTTTCCCTTCCATTTTTACATAACTGCATTTATTTTCTTAAGGATGCAACTTTGTTAGTTTCCTTATGCCATAGGACCTCATTCTGTATGCTTAGGTTGCTTCTAGATGAGGTTTCCACCTCTCTCTCTCTCTCTCTCTCTCTCTCTCTCTCTCTCTCTCTCTCATGGAAATTTAAAAACGCCTGAGCAGCTGAATATTCTCATATCTCTTGGCCCTTGGTGATTTGCTCAAATCTTTCCTCCCCCTTTGCTAGGATCATATTATAGTTGGCTCTCCACATTAAGTTTGACATCCGTGGTCTCTCTAGGAATCTCTTGGCCTTCTACCACAACTCTGCTTATCTTCCAGCAGATGTTGACCATAAAATGACCCTGAAGGACCTAGAGATACCTAGAAAGTTGCTTTTTCACGTTTACAAAGTTTTAAATTTGTGTTTTTCCCACTCCTGCCACTAACCCTGGTGAATGTGGAAGGTTGACTGTATATTTCTTTTTATGGAGAAACATAATTACTATTTTGCACAAGCTATGTGTTGCTGCTTGTAGCTCTGATACCCCCATGCTAGTCAACTTAAGCTGGAGCCTTTTTCTTTTTCTGTTAATTACTTCAACATCTGATGTTTTGATGTTTTTTTATGTGTGTTCTGATTTGGCTTTAACCTCTTTTCCAAAGTAAATATTATCCCCTTTTCCTTCAGAATAATTATTTGTGGCAAGTATACTTGAAATCTCTGCTTTCATTGTGTTTCTTTCAAACTTACCAAATTTGCATGTAATTATAATGGATGACTATGTACTTCCTCTGCAATTTCATGTCTAATTGTAATATTTTTAAATGAAGGATGAAGAAGTTGAGATATATGATCTTAAACTTAAAATACTTTGCAAAGCTCTTCTCAGAGATGGGTAAGCATATACAATTTTATTTATTTCTGTGAATTGTTTCTTTTTTTATGCTTCCAGAACAACCTATTCTAGTAAGTGATCTCATCCCACTTCAGAAGTTAGGAAGGTTAGGGTTGTGTTAGCATTTGAATAAGAGACCACCAGAGAGCACAAGGCAGCTGACATTCTATAGCAGAGATGTCAGACTTATGGCCTTCCGGGTGTTTGGGCCTCCAACTTTCAGAAGCCCCAGCCAGCTTGTCCAATGGCCAGGAATTCTGGGAGCTGAAGTCCAAAACACCTGGAGGGCTAGATGTTTGACATCACTGGTCTATAGGATTTGACACAAAACACAAAGTGGAAACAAAGGAAACGTACAAATTCTCTGATAACCAGCTTGTATGAAAGCATTTTGTGGAAAACTGGATGGAATGGATCTCCCAGGATTCTGCTTCCCAAATTTCCATATGCAGTCGTTTTATGATGACTCACTATAATTCATGTTTTCGACTTTTCCTAGTTTTTAATATCAAAAGCAGTATGTACTGTTTCAGGGCACCAGTCAGCATAAAACACAAAGATAACAAAATGATAGATCACTTAAAACAGACTAAGGTTTGTTCAGTTAAATCACCAAAAAGTTTTTAAACACCTCCTGCTTGATGCCTAAATAATAACAGCATTGATACAAGGCAGAGAGAAAGCATTCCATCACTAGTTCATCACTTTGAAGAAAGCCCCCTTCCTTGTGGATGGTTTTCATCTTTCTGGTGCAAGAGATCCATAGAGAAAGGCCTTGATGTTTGGTCTTAGAGAATAGACAGGCTGACAGGAGTGTGAGCATTCCTCATATTAACAAGCTATACAGATACCGTACAATGACAGTTCAGAACAGTAACATTTCTTCAAGAAGAACCTGGTTTGATTAAAAGTGTATCTTATTTCCTTGTATACAGTGAGAACTTGCAATGCCTTGCTTAAAGCTATCCATCAAGGTGTGGCTAAGACAAACAGGAATTTCTGGGTTCTGATGTTTCGCCTGCATCTATGGCAAGCATCCTCAGAGGTTGTGAAGTCTGCCCTTTTTCCTAGTTCCAACAGACCTCGCAACCTCTGAGGATGCTTGCCATAGATGCAGGCGAAACATCGGAACCCAGAAATGAAAACCTTCGACAAAACAGAAATTTATTAACCAGTAGCTCTTAAATACTATAATGTACCAACTTTTGTTGCCTTATGGAAAACTTGGGGGGGGGGGGGGGGGGGAGTAGAGTCAGTTCCCAATTTGAGATGAGAATTGTTAGTTGTATATTTAATTTACCTCCAGGGCATCTGCTATAGTAAGAATTAGCAAAGTGCATCCCTCCAATGTTAGATACAGTTATTTAGAATCTGCCTATTTGCAGATTGTACTAGACTCCTAAGATGCCTTGCAAATCAGAGCTGCCATTTCTGCCCTCCAGTGTTTACATTTCTCTTACCCAGTCTCTAAAGTTGGCTGAACAAATGTGCCGCTGTGGCTGTGTGAAGATCCAAGTCTGCTTCTGAGGCCACTGACTACTCCATGTCCTTTCATTTATTTTTGAAAGTAATGTGCCTCTCCTGTAAGCTTTCACAAGCAGTTCACACTGCCGGTCCACCTCCGAGCCCAATTCAAAGTGCTGGTTTTGACATATAAAGCTCTATACGGTTCTGGTCCAGCTTACTTGCCCGAACGCATCTGCCTCTACGTCCCATCTCGCAACCTAAGATCATCTGGGGAGGACCTGCTCTCACTTCCGTCAACATCGCAAATGCGTGTGGACGAGAGACAGGGCCTTCTCGGTTGTGGCCCCCCACCTATGGAATGCACTCTCAAATGAAATAAGATGACTCCATCCCTCCTGGCCTTCAGACAAAAAATTAAAATCCTGGTTTTGGGACCAGGCCTTCGGGCAGCAGACATAATTTGCACCATAATGGACATTGACTGGAATGGCGTTGCGGCAATGACATTGTGACTTTGTTTTATTGCTTTAATTAATGTTATATGTATTGGTTTTAATGATTGTTTTGTATTTGATTGTGTTATATTATTGTAATTGTGATGCAGTGGTCTTGCACCATTACTAATGTAAGCCGTCCTGAGTCTCCCTTCGGGGGTTGAGAAGAGACGGGGTACAAATGCCAGTAATAACTAAATAATAAAATAAATAAGTCAAAGCTACCCTCCCATCTTAACATATTTCTTTCTAACTAGAATTGGACTTCTGAGTACTCAGCGGCTGTTGCTTTGCTTTGCTCTGCTTATTTTTTTTGGCAGTCCATACACCCTGGATAGCCTAGTTCCAAGGGCAGAGAACTGGGCCCTTGACCTGCCAGAGTTGCCCATTCCCCTGCTAAAGCTCTGAAGAAGCAGAGAAACAGAAAACAAAATTACTCAACACTGGGTTTCAAGATGGCTTAATTTGTTGAATTATTAAACCCACGTATGATTTAACTACAGTGTACTTCAAAATGTTGAATAAAAGTGTGAACTACACATATTTCAAATGCTAAAATAAGATAGAAATCTAGAAATATAGTCCAATCCAATATCTGCAAATTTACTGAAGGAATTCAGTCTCTGGTGTTTTGAGTCTGTTTCTGCATAAGCTTGTATCAGACTGCAGAGTTACTTTGTTTCCAAACTTATACTAAAACAGTGTAATACTAATACATTCTTCCCTAATTTAACAATTTCCAGATATACTATAGAATACCAGTTCCCAGAACAATTATTGTCACATTCATTCTGGCTGGGGCAATGCAATGCAATGCATCAGGAAGATACCACAAGGCAATAGCAATGATGATTTGTGTTGAACATTTTAACACAAATTCATAAGTAGTATTGCATTATGGTAAATTAAAAGTCAAATATAATTTAAATAGTTTGCTGATGCTTGATATTGAAATAGATAGGTCAAACATTTGTTCAACATTTCAAAAGAATGTTCAGCATTTATGGTGTTTGCCCAACCAATGGAGTTTAGATGACTATTTAGATGATCTATTCATAAGTAAATGCCCTTCTGAACGTCAAGGCATCTGTTGGTCTCTTCGTTAGCGACACTTTGAAATACCTGCCCTATATGTACAAACTTCACTGCTTCATATCTATATAAGGTAAATGGGTTCTTAAGTAGTATCCCAAGGCTCATGAGGAACACCACTTCATGACTTCCTAAAGTGGAAATGGATTTGGTTTCTCATTCATATTGCTCACTTCTACACTTTTAAAAAGAGAATTAGTAGAAAGAAATTTATGGAACCAAGTAGTCATTTTCCCATGCATATTCAGTAATTTAATTCAACCCACAGTACAACGTTGGATATACAGTCAATTCTTATAATAAAGAATTCGTAACAAGTGAACCTCTTCCTAGCATTACCATTTTTGTAAAGAGATTTGATTTTTTTAATGCTTCTGAATACCAGATTTAATCTGAACTGGAATTCAGAATATGATTTGAGTTATCTTGGGTTCAGATCCTGCAACAAAGACAGTTTGTCAGTTTTGCCTGAGAATTAAATAAATCTGCAAATTAGATAGTTCATCCATTATCACTTTACAAGCTGCAAGTGTAATGCAGCTACTCCAAAAATTCCTGCCTGGTACTAGCACCTCCATGTATAGGTCCTGCAGACTTCTGGAGTGCATTATATAAGTTGTAATTAAACTTCCAGTGAGCTTCAAATATTATGAAAGCAAATTCCTTCCTTATTCTGCTTGTTGCAGTCTCTGCCTCCCTCCAAATCTCCATATTTCTGAAGCAGAATTTAGGGAACATTAAAGATTTAGTAGAAAAGGTTACAATACAATTAAATAAATCTGGCAAAACAGAAAAAGTGCAATGGGAATTCTCATTTAAAATGTCATATTCAACTTGATTCTTTACTTTTGGATTACAGGTGGTCAAGTTCAGAAGGTAAAGATGACCCAATTGAAGCATCTAAAGACAGCATATTTGTGAAAATACTACAAAAGCTCTTAAAAGAAGGTATATGTTGTTCTATGAATTATGTTGAGAAATACATTGCTCATAGTGCTTTTAAGCAGTATTTCTGTTGTCAGAGCAACAACAAAATGACTAGCAAGATTTAAATATAGCTGACAAAATTTAAGAAAGGCTAGAGTTATTAAGGAAATTGGCAAATGTGGTTTGTCAATAATAAAAAATAATAAAATTTTATTTATATACCGCCCTATCTCCCCTAAGGGACTCAGAGCGGTTTCCATATATGCAAATAATACAAGAGACATACAACGTGAAACTTAAAAATAAGCATAAACTATTAACACAACATATATATTAAAACCAATTTAAAAGCCAATTCTGCTTTCTTCTTTTGTGCAAGGTAAGGTAACTTACTCATATTTGATATATATTGTAGCAGAACTCATAACAAATTATTCTGCAATGTAGATAGCATTTCCATAATCACAAAAAAGTAACATAGCTAATACAACATTCTCTCTATTTGCTGTTAGGTGTCCAGCTCAGTGAATATTTGCCTGATGTGAAAGACTTGCTGGAAGCAGATGAACTTGAACATTTAAAATCCAATACTTATTTTGAATTTGTACTAAAAGCAAACTATGAGCTTTATGTCTACAGGGAGGCATGAGAATTCTGAATGTAAATTTAAACCATTTTCATTTTTTACATTGTGTTTTGCAATAAAATATTTACTCTAAACCCTATTTGTCTCAATGATAATGAACTGGGTGAATGTATGTCTACACAACGCTAAATGGCATGCCTATTTCACCAACAAAACATTCTAAGGCTTGTGAAAACTGTTTTATACAAGTGAATTTTAAAATATATTGCCTTTCCTGACATTCACCATCCTGCTTCTGATATCTACCTCTTCCAAATCTAAATTAATTACAATCAGTCATGCAATTTTGCATCCTACCTTAAATAATATATCCATGTTGAAAACACAATACATATAAAAATGAGTACATATAAATAGACATTTAAGTTCTCACCACATACTGAAAATATGGTTTACTATAACCTAAGTAATGATGTGAGATCTAGAAAGCAGTTCTCCTTGGAAAGTCTTTCCTGGAAGAATCTCTTCTCCTTTTCTCCATTTGAGATCAAGTCGGTTCTGGTTAATGACTTGCCGTACAATCCATATCATTTTAATTTCAAATTCTTTAAGAATTAGTTGATTTAATCTGACACGTTGTAGGCGACACTTTCCTACAGGCTGCACAAATGGACTGCAAAGCAGTTTGCATCACCTTAACATTTTGCTTTTATTCTTGGCTGGATGCCTAATAGAAGAACTTGATCCAACAGCTGAGAAGGTCATAAGTTAAATCAGTTGAAGAGAATCCAGTTTCTAGTTTTAAAAGCACAGCTACCATTCCATAGCTTCCCTTCTTGCTATGCTAATATGGCTCTAAGAGTGGAAGAGCTGAATCTCTTTGGAAGAAGAGACTTATCAGGAAATGGTCACGCCAACATTGAAAAAAAGCATATATGCCTCTCTGGAAATAGATTTTAATTAAGGGGTATCAAACATAAGTTCAAAATATTAGATAGCTCTGATTCGATAAAAACAGCAAGTATCTTGGGATCAATAAAATAGTACATATTTTTTTACAACTGATGAACTTTTTAAAGGGAAGAAGAAATGCATGATATCAGCTTCCATTTTGAAGTATTATCTGCCTTTTATAGAATCATATTTATTATTTATATTTATTTAAAACTTTTATCCCGTTCTTCTCTACCTCCTTGAAGGGACTCAGAACGGCTAACAGCAAAAATTCAATGCTATACAATACACTAAATTACATCATAAAAACAACATACATATCAAATACGTTCTAAAGTGTATATAAAACAGTTCATCAAGTTAAAAACATCATCCAACTCATCAACAAACTCAATTAAATTGTTATCCATTACCACTTAAACTGTACCGGATCATCCATCAATCTGCGAATGCCTGATTCAACAGCCAGGATTTTAGCTGCTTCCTGAAGGACAGGAGGGATGGGACCTAATCTCGCCGGGGAGAGAGTTCCATAGCCGGGGGGGGGCACCACAGAGAAGGCCCTGTCTCTCATCTCCACCAAATACGCCTGCAAAGGTGGTGGGACCGAGAGCAGGGCCTCCGGAAGATCTTAACATCCTTGATGGTTTATAGGAGGAGATGCGTTCGGACAGGTAAACCGGGCTGGAACCGTGTAGGGTTTTGTAGAATCAGAGTTGGAAGAGACCACAAGGGCCATCTAGTCCAGCCTCCTGCCATATAACTGCATCCAATATTATGGACTGGAGGCGCTGGTCTTCTCCGATCTAAAATCTTGTCAGATTTACCATATACTCTCGAGTATAGGCCAACCCGAATATAAGCTGAGGCACCTAATTTTACAAAAAAAAACAAAAAAAAAACTAGGAAAACTTATTGACTTGAGTATAATAAGCCAAGGATGGGACATGCAGCAGCTGCTGGTAAATTTAAAAAATAAAAATAGATACCAATAAAATTACATTAATTGAGGCATCAGTATGTTAAATGTTTTTGAATATTTGAATATAAAACTTAAGATAAAACTGTCCAACTCTGATTACCTATGTACTTGAGTATGAGCTGATCCAAATATAAGCCAACCAGGACCCTCACTCGAAATATAAGCCGAAGGGGGCTTTTTCAGCCCTAAAAAAGGGCTGAAAAACTCAGTTTTAACTCACAACTATATATGGAACTTTACTGTATTTAACATTTAAAAGTATTACTGCTATTTGTTTTCTCTACATCCAATGAGTTTTCCTTTGGGTGAGAACGAGGTGAGTGAGAATGCATTGTCCAAATGCCAGCCATAACTATTTTCATAAAAGTGGCCAGTATGTGCAACATGGGCAAAATGTACAAAATGGGGAATATATGCAACAAGAAATAGGCCAATGACTTCTGCCAGAACAAAAGTGTACTTCTACAGCATTTTGCAAAGAGCTAAAACCTGCTGCTTAAAAATGTTGTTTTTAGCTGATGCAATGATGAAATATATCCATTTGTTTTTGCAAAAAAGAATGTTGCAGCTTCCAAGCAATCCTTCTGAAACCATAACATGATTGAAATAGGCAGGGGTGTAAAGTTGTTACAAATATCAAGACAGACTTGAGAAACTACAGCAATTTCTCCTATGGAGATCGGCTTTGCTCTTGCTCATCTCTCATTGCTGGAATTTGACCTGACTTGTCTCTGTTGTGGCTGAGTACTAGCAAAATATTGGTTTAGTCCTTCACGCCTGTCTTCCTGCATCATAGTCTTCGGGAATGTTTAGAGGAAAACTAACCCCTGGTTTAGAGTGACTTCAAAAATGTATATAGTTGTGTTTTTTACAATATCATTTATATCAATGTTGCCTTAGATATTTATTAAAGGAAAGGGGAATTGCAGGTGCTATGGCTTATGAAGACTGTATGACTTTATAAAATCCTACAGGCTATAAATATGATTTCTGTATTACTTATGTAGGAAATATAAGGAAATGTAGTGATCGGTGATTCTATGCACATTTGCAAGTCCTATGAAATGATAATTTAACAGTTCAGGGTGTTTCCCAGGCAATGTCTTCAGAAAGGAAGATAGAAGTCTGGAATATGCAGAGAAGCAATCCATAACCTCAAGCCAAGATAAGATCCAGAAGTCGAAAGTTCTTTTTCAGGTTCCGGCCCATCTTACCTATCCAAACGTATCTCTCTCTACAAATTCTAGGAGATTAAGATCTTCTGGGGAGGACCTGTTCTCGGTCCCACCTCCATCGCAAGTGCGGCTGATGGGACAAGAGACAAGACATTCTCAGTGATGGCCCCTCAGTCGTGGAACTCCCTAACAATCTAAGATCAGCTCCCTAATTCCTGACCTTCAGGAAAAACTGAAAACATCGATGTGGGATCAAGCTTTTGATTTATTTATTCATTTACAGTACTTATATTCTGCCTTTCTCACTCCACAGGGGACTCAGGGTGGATTACAATGCACATATACATGGCAAACATTCAATGCCATTTAGACATACAACATATATAGACAGACAGACATTTCAGCTTTTTCTGGCTTCATGAGAGTATGCTTGGTTCCAGCCACAGGGGGAGCTTCCGCTTTTCCGTCCACTTGTGATATTGGGTCCTTTGATGGAGTACTTCCTCATCCTTCTGCACGCTGCTGGAAGGTTTTATGGTGTTATAAATTAGTTAAAGTAGCCTCCCTGAATAAAGCGGTAGCTAAATTTCCTACTTGACAGATGCAACTGTCTTTCAGGCTGCATAAGTCAACAGCAAGCTAGACTATTAATGGTCGGGAGCTTACTCCAACCCAGACTGGCCTCGAACTTATTACCGCCTGGTCAGTAGTGATTTAATGCACCTGACTACTAACTAGATGTGCCACAGCTACTAGTGCAATAAGTAAAAATGTGAAATGGTGCAACAGGAACAGCATTGGATTTGGATATTGGATTATGTGATTTTAATAATTTTAGTGTTGAATTTTAAGGGGTTATTTTTATAGCAGATGTATATGTTTTGTCTGCTGAAAATATATTGTAAGGCACTGAATTGTACCTTTATGTGAGCCGTTCTGAGTCCCCTTTGGAGTGAGAAGGACGGAATATAAATATGCCAGATAAATAAATAAATACATGTTAATTCAACTCAGCAGTATTTCAGCAGAAGATCATAGTTAAATGGAAGGTCAATATTACACTTACTCTTTATCACTCTTTCTGTGGAGTAGTTTAATCTGAAATGAAAACATACTAATGGACCTAACAATTTATACTTGTTTCCTGTGGTATGATTACTTTTTAAACCCTTCTCTAATCATTGTATGACTGGGTAAGAAAATCTTCATGGACTAGGTTTGCCAAAATATCAAAGAGCTGTAAAGGGTGCAAAGCAGCTGAGAGGAGAAGTTTGGGTTCAGTAGTTTTCATTATTTACTGTCTAGGGTGAGAGGAAGTGGATTAATTTATATTTGCATAAACAGGTTTGCAGTCTCTATTTTGCTCGGCCCTGCCCATATTGAAAATAATCCATACCTACTGGAAAGGCTGCAAACGTAGCTGTTACTTCCTCTCCTTTTTGGCAGCGCATTGATGCTCTCCTCCTAAGGTATCAATTCAGTTGGATCTTCCCTCTCCAAAAGGAGCTGCTGTCTCTGCCTATCCTATGAGAGACCAATACTCCCCCTCATCCCAAAACTGCCATTAACCTCCTCCATGCCCATAACTAGATGTGAATCTCTTTAGCACGTTTTTTTTTTAAAGTCGGCGTACCCAAGCGGTATAAATAGCATGAAAGTATGGCAGTCCCATGGTGTAGATAACTCTTCAGTGCAGTCTGGCAGCCAGCCAGCCCCTTAGATATTTATCATCATCTATATATAAAACTGATTTTGCACAGCATTTTAAATTGTACTTCAAAAGTACCTTTCTAGTAGCGAGCAGTTCCCACCCACCACCAAACCACATTCCTGTGAAGTCAGCCCTGATTTGCTATTCTGTCTTTTGCAAGCCCTTCAACAACCTTCATGATGATATGAATATTCATTAGTAAAGCTCGCCAGGCTCCAGCCTACCTGATGGCCCCTTTAACAGGCAAATATTTTCATAACTGGCGTGGAGGGCGGGAGGAACAGGTCACGGTTAGTAATTCCAGTTCAGCCA